TACATCATTGCACTATTTTCGCCTATCAAAAATTCGAAAACAAATAATAACGTCATTTTTAACAGTCAACTACCATGAACGCAAGCACGGCAAGATTGAATCATCAGTTATATGAATAGTTACTAGTTGCTTTCGTTTCTTTTTTTTGTTTCAATTACAGAACTGCGAGATACGTCGCATAAGCAACCAGTCGAGCTTTTATCAACTTCGGTCATCTTTTCTCATCATCATTGTTGAGAGAAAACAACAAAGAAGTAGTCTTCAATTTTGTATCTATTAAATGCATTAGACAAAAATAAATGAAGCACGAGCAAATCGTTTAAATAAATGAAATCTATCACTGCTTATGAAGACATCACTGTAGATGAATTAGTTTTACATTTTGCCGATTAGACTAAAGTTTCATAGAAGAATGCACAAATCCATTAACTAGTCATTAAGAGCGTGATTCTAATCGAGGTCAACAGATAACTTCAAACGATAAGAATGTGAAGAGATATAGAGAGATATTGAATCGAAATAGGCCAATTATTGTTTTACTCATTAGTACTGCTCCAATTCGATTCATCAGCGCACACTCACGAAAAGTTCATTTTCGAGTACCGGCGATCTTATCTGTCAAAAAAAAGAAAAACACTAGTTATGATGCATACGGCAGACTATGACGAAATTAGCGATGATCAGATGAGACAAGATGACAATTACGAAAAAAAATCACACTTCAGTCATGAATCTAGACAATAGTGACAAATAATTGTTTGTCGGTAAATTTTCACCCAGTTATATTACAATGTTATTTCAAAGATAACGATCAATATGTCGGCCCGCATACAAATGATATGATACAATCGTGTATCACATTCGAATGCGGTGTTTTTCTCGAAAAACTACTATGTAACTTTCTTCCATTCTCATCTCGAAACGATGAATGGTCGTGTCTTTCTTAATTTATACCAAATAGAATTCATCAATTACATGCGACCAATAACAAGTGCGTGACAAATATCGATACATTCGAATTCACGTTTGAACTCAATCAAATAACATTAGAAAAAGATAAACATTAACGCAGCAGATGAATACGTCAGGGTTTTCGTTTCGAAAAACTCGACAAGATTCAAATAACGATGTGAATGATCATTGACTTTTGACAGGCAAACGACGTCGTGATTAAATCGAAGATGAATTCATTGAAAACTAATGAATATCTCCTTTCGAAAATCATGATTTAATTCGATTACAAGTGAGAAGATAATATGCAAATTCACCTAGACGTGCTCAACTAGAGTTTTCAGACAAATTCGAAATATATTTTTAGTTTAAAACTTTCAAAGTAAACGTTGTTTGATTAAAAAATAAATCACATAAGAGAGAAATAAATATACTACGCGGATGTGCTTTCCTCGGGATTATCGAGTATGTTCAACATTTTCATAATTAGTAATTTGATATTTTTTGTTGCGTCGCCGGCGTCAGGAAGGTAAACTTTGTCTCGATCGATCGGTGCTTTTGTTTTAGTTTTGCCTTTTTGCGGTTGCTTTTGTTCTTCTTCGTTTTCATCTTGATTACTAGAATAGCGAAATGTAATGATTTCGGGGAAGTTCTTTCGACTGGTAATTTTGGTTATTGTCTGCAATGGACGACGTGAGACAAGATTCGCCATGGTTTTATGCTCAGGTAATTTTCGTAGGATGTATAGATGAGTAGATGAAACCAAGAGGAAACTTAAGAAGATGAAACAGCAAGAATATTGGAGGAACATGGAGATTTGTTTGGTTTTTTTTACCTTGGATGTGTTCGATTGTTTTCATCAATGTGCTCGCATTCATATTTATGTATAAGATCACTGCGACGGAACCATGATTCGATATCGACGAGTTCAGGCGCATCTTTTACTGTGGATGAGGATGCAAGTTCTAAGTAATTGGCAAAAAACGGGGATAGAATGAGAGAACGATATTAGGAGTGGTGTTTTACCGTCTTCATTGTCGCTATCAAGGGAGAATACAGATGATGCATTGGGCTGGCGATAGAGTTTATCGACTTTGTCTTGTTTACTAACATGCCTAAAGGGAAAAAAAGAAATGAATAGATAAACTGAAAAGGAAATGAATGATGAGGAACCTTGGCTCGGCTTGGGCTGGGTCAGTCGATGAGGTTTGGACGATATAATCTTTCACTTTATCCTTAACTTCTAAAGATTTGGTCTTTACAGCGCTTGATATCATATTCAGTAGTAAAGTTGTCTAAAATGATCAAAAAAAAGATGTTTTATCATCTTCTCCAACAATGAATATTTTACTTGAGTGTTAATGACAGGTAATTTCTCTACAATATTTTGTTTGATCGCTGTTCCAATAGCTAATGGGTCAAGCACCGATGTTGCTTGTGTTGGTTTGTTCGCTTGTTTCGCTTTCGTGATCATCGCTGGATCTTCAATTGCTTTTGCAAGAGCTATTTGCAAAGAAAGACATTGGGGAATTCGTCAAATACACAAACTTACCTCTATAACCGCCAGACGCAATACTAATGTACTTCGTATTACGCTGAAGAAAGTACGCGACAACCATACGAACATATTTGTCTTCTTCTTCACGACCAGAGCCCATAAAACACAAGTGTTCACCGCCAGCATTGGAACCTGAGTAGAAATGTAATGATATCATCAGCTGAAAACAAGATTTTACCACTTTCAATGGATTGTTTTTGTGCTGCGAGAAGTGCATCGACGGTTCCGGCGAATTCTTTCGGATCTTCTAGCAACTACAAAGATTTGATTCGCGATGAATTTCTCAGATGAGAATAAATCTTACAAGATTCGCATCGAGGTGAAACGCAGTGTAAAGATGTTTAGAATTGTATTGCTCTGCTGGTCGACAATCGACAATGAAGTATCTAACACCGGCTGTCTGCAAACAATCGATTTCTTCGATTCAGATAGAAAGACAAATGAGATATGAACATACTCCGCCGAGTTGGTTTGCTTGGAGTAATTCTTGCACTGACACAGGTAAACATAATGCTTGATAAATCGAACATGCTTTCTGAGAAACATTTGAATCTGTTTCACTGAATAAACATGAATAGAATTCCTGCAAACAAGCATGAAATGAATGCAAATTTCATGAAGGGAACTACTTTTCGAAACGATTGGGGTGTATTGGAAGCATAGTGGTTAGCCAGTGAACAGAAATCTTCTAAATCAGCAACTTCCAAATTAGCTAGTGCTTTCGAAAGAAATTCTATAAAAACACACGAATATTAATTTGCGACATTTGATCAAATAGTTTACCGATAATTTCCTGTTTGTCTTTATCGCCTATTTCAAGCACTTGTTCTCTGTAATGAGTTGCATTCTGAAAGATTTGACCAAAATTCATTCTCTTTCTTACTTTGCAGATATAAGCAACACAAGTGCAAGAAAAAAAGCAAAGAATTGATCGGCATGTTGAAAATATCGATCCCAAAGAGGAAGTATAGCGTTGGATGAACATGAACCAGCATAGAGACTTCGAATCTATGGAACAGAACCTAAATGACTATGATCTAAACAATGTCAAAAGCCATACCCAAGCATGTGCGTATAAATCTGGTGTGATTTTTCTCGTATCAAAAAAACTACACAATTCTGGATCGTGATAGAGTAGTAACAAACGAAACAGATGATAAGACATGCCATCCGCATCACAATACCTTCAAGAGATGGAGAAATGGAAGTGGAATTTTGACGCAAAACAAGTTTTCCTACCGAGGAATGTAAAGATCGCGTATTTTAACGAAAATTGCGTAAAGTTCAGCACGATCTTTATACTCAAGAGCAATCAGTGGTTTAAGTAAATCAATCCAACCGTTTCCTTTTTCGTACGTTTCATTACTAGAACACTTGATTGAAAAAGGACAAATATCCAAGGGATGACCTACTTTTTTTTACAATAGAAAGTAATTACTGCTTCGATGTCACTCATTTTCGATGCAGCCACATCTTGATTGATGTTTGATGTTCCTAGAAAAGTTAACTTGAAAACTAATCTCGATTCTATTCCATCCTGAGTACTTACGAACTATGCGTAAAACATCTTCACGTATTAAATTTTGTTCAGGTAAATCAAATACATCACTATCAACATAATTATATTCGTTAACATCATCTATATCTAAACAAGTCTAAACCAGAGCACACAACAAATAGAATCTTCTCGAATTTCGAATAAGATTACCTTCCAAACAGGTAAACGTAGATCATCGGTTAATGTTCGGCATTTTCCAATATTTCGAATGGCTCCTAGATCACATCCACGTTCCAATGCTGAGCGTAGTTCATTAATCCAGGAGTTTTTCTCCTCTGTTTGAAAAACTTCATTGTCATTTCCATTCACGGTGGCTTCGTCCTCGGCTTCGAAGACGTCCTTATTGTCATCAGACATAATCTAAAACCAAACTTAAGAAAAACAGTTAGATATTGGTAAAATTTCTCTTTGGAATCATTTGCTAGCTTTATTCATCATATAAAGAAACTGTACAAGACACACAAATCGATGAGATTACGAATCATCAGCCAAATCAAATTGTCGGAATTTGTCACAGTCGTAGAATTTTGCTCGTACCACCCGACCAGCAAAATATCGTCCGTTCATATCGACGACAGCTAAAATTTAAGGATAATAATAACAATTAGAATTCACCGATCTTTGCTCAGACATGTATTTTTGGCTCTATGATATGGAATCATAAATTTGTATCATACCTATCATTTAAGTCATCATAGCAAAGACTTCCCTCAAATGGGATTCGAACATCGTACCGAACAGTTCCCTTCGATCGGAACCATTCAACTAGATCTGAGACTATCGACATACCTTTGACAGCGGATTCGACTCGTTTAAATTCAACAAATATTCGAACAGCTTCCTCAGCAGGCGCATCTGGAATCTAAAACAAAATCATTTTTCAACATACATCTTTCGTCATGTTCACATACCTCGTATATAAGACATTTTTCTACTTCACCATATTTTTGACATTCTTCTTTCGTTTCACCTGAAACAAACATGGTCATCGATGTGAAATGCATTTGTTCCCACTTACTGTCAAGTAAATCGTCAACTTCACCAGGTCCGACCATGTTCTTAAATATAGAATTTTAATAAATTCTTTCTGTCTCTCTTTCTTGCAGAAAATCGACATACTTTGAGTAGAACAACTTTCGTTGCACCTCTCAGTTCGGTAGAAAGGTCAACGCCTGAATCGGCTTTCGGAGTAATGATGGAAGGTGGAAGTAATGATGGTGGTGGGGCAGGTAGAACAAAATCTGAAGAAATTGATGAGCAATTGTCAATCGACAAGATGAGATTACCTTTCATGGGTGGTTCCTTTTCTAGGACGATTTTGCCACCACGTTTGCTGGTTTTTTCCACACTCAACGCAGAGCTGATGCCTTGTTGAGATTTACCAAGACCTTGCCCTTCTCGATAACCCATTTTTGCCATCATCTTAGCAACGGCGGCGGCACTAACGAAAGGAAAATGAAAATTGAGTATGAGTATACATCATATTAAATATTATTTACCCTTTCACCGACCCAAGACCAAGTGTAGATGTGACGCTTTCTGTTTCCATATCTTCTGCACGTTCATTCGAATCGAACGGTGGTATAGATGAGTAATCATCTTTCATATCTAATATAAACATGTCTCAAAATCTTCGATGACTAACGAGATCTACCTGATTCATTTTGACTATTACTGCTCGCCCGCTTATCCTCTTCAATTAAGGATGGTGGCGGCGCAAAAACATTTCCCTTCCGTACTGGTCGATCATTTGACTCTCGATTCAAATTCTCGTTATCTTCATTGTCATAATCATCATCATATAATCCTTTTGGTTCACTTTCCTCTTTTCGTTGTCGTTCTAGCTCTCGATCACGTTGATATTCTTCCCGTTTCCGTTGTTCTTTCAATTTTTCATAATCATTCGGCTTCAACGGATCGTACTCATCTGTATAACCGAATACAGACATATTCGATGTAATATTCTGTATTAACGCCGTTACTGACGATGACGGTTCACTGGTATCCTTAGGTTGAGAATTACTATCACGAACCTCCATCTATGAAGAAAAAAGGAGAATGTCAATGATATAACGTCGAGATGAACAACAAACTTTGCCGGTGAGACTATTGAATGTAACTTCAGCATTGGGATGACGTGGTAATGGTGCTGCTCGTTTTTTCCGTAGATCGGCAACTGGCGCTACTACATTTTTATGTGCATCTTTCTACAAAAGTATAGCATGGAAGTAGCATCGAAAAAGAATCGATGTTACTTTGAGTTGTTGCTGTTGTTGATGAAATTTCTTCGCATGAATTGAACCATGCAATAACTTTATCGACTCTGACCATCCTCCAGTCGATCCTACAGATAAAATCAGTCAAATCTCTGAATTTATTTATGTTTTTGTTCTTACCTTTCGTACCGCTTTCCTTATTTGGCTCTGATATATCAATATCATCGTAGAGTGACATTCTTGTTCAATAATCTTATTGAAGACGATGATATATTTGAAAGATAAATATGAAGTAGCAGCTGATTGGTCCAAATCGAGATCAATCAGCGAGACATATTTTTAAAGGCACGTAACATCACAAATTTCTTTATTTTAGAAGAAAATAATCGGACAAAATTTCATCCTTCACACTTCGATAATTTACTCAAATTCGAATCATAGAATCAGTGGCGTCACCTATAACAATTTTGAATATATACATAATTTTATTCATATATTTCTGTCATTATGGAAATTACTTTGATCTTGTATATTAAATCAAGTAGATTTGCAACGAAAATCGTGTAGTATGTAAGTTATTACTTTTCTCTCCAGACAATTTCCGATTAAATCAAGACCATATAATCAAAGTTAGAGTCAAATTGCTAGATCGGCATTCTGCATTACATTCTCCAAGCGCAAAGATTTGCTAATCTAGTTTTAAGAAATTGATCCTCCCTTGATATCATCTTCTAATCCAAATCTGTCGGACTTATCTTTCATGCATCGTTAACATAAAATCCGTCTTTTCACCCTCATTCGCCAAAGAAAAAGAACGCACAGCATTCTGTAGTATCTCAAATAACAATAATTTGTCAATCTTTATTGTGTATGGCTAATCAATATTGATTGAATCAATTCGAGACAATAAATTTACCTTCATGTTAAGTTTTTCGATGCATCCAATGGGAATATCGATTTAATCATTTCTTATTGGATCATGCTCATCTCATCCTTAGAACTGAATGATTCATTCGATGAGTATGTTCTTCCCTTCTCATCATCATAAGATAGTCAAATCATTCTCGATCAATCAATCATCTTTGCTCGTATCGGTAAGTCATAGTGAAAATCATTCTTCACCTCTTTCTTCAGTCAATATTTATTCAAACAATACATCCAATATGATTATTGATTCGTTTATCTGATTTACGACACTTTCTTTCGAATACTTTCAAGTATACGAAAAACTGACTCTTGTTCTTTGTTCCTCTATTGAAATAACTCAAACACAGTAAATGTCTATTGTGTATGTGTGGAGATTCGATTTCATTTACAGAAGATCGAATGCATGAAGTATATGTTTGGAGAAATGCCAGCTACGCATGAAAGACAACATCAGCTGGTGAAAACAACTTTTCATTCCTTTTTCTTTCCCACATCGTGTTCTCATGAAGAAAAAGAAAACGAAACCCATCCGAACAACAAAACGTCGACTATCTCTACATTTGTCAGTTCGGTTTTTTTCAGTAAGATGTGCTTGATTGAGATCTTAATCTCTGCCGTTCTCTCTCTCTCTCTTCTCATCTTCCCTTACATATGATTATTGTGACGCTTCGTGCATACATAAACACACAACGAAGAATCCAAATCAATTCATTGTACACGTCTTGACTTTGAATTTCGCATTTATTTTAGATTCATGTAGCTGAATGGATCGTATGATTTTCTATTTTATTTTCATTCTTACTTCATTTCAATGCTGTCAAGCAAGTAGTAACAATAAGAATAATAATAACATTGCTTACAATATTCCTGATCCCGGTAGGACATTTAGTTGATGTTTCTGTTTGTGAGTAATCGTTGTTTTAGATTGTACTGGAGTATTTAATCTATGTACAGATGTTGATAAGGAACGACTTGGTCGTCAAGCGATTAAGGCAATTCATGAACAAATGGATGATGATAAAGATGGACTGATCGAAGCATCGGAGAGTCGTGATGTAAAAGGGAGAATTTGAAAAGAAAAGTTCTTTATGTTAGAGTTTTAGTTTATTCATGAAGAACTGGAGTCTAAAACTGATTCTGTTCGACATCGTCGATTTCAAAAAGCGGATCTACAAATCACCATTGAAGACTTATGGACACAATGGAAGGGCAATCCTGGTTTGTTGTAAACTGTCATTGAAATCAAATATGATAACCTTCGATTTTTAGTTTATAATTGGACTAATGATGACGTTGTTCATTGGCTTGTGAATCATGTTCAACTTTCGATTTACGCGGAATACTTTCGTCGAAATCAAATCGATGGTCGAATGATACCAAGGTAAACTCTCCATCGTTTTGCTCGTCAATTTTTCTCAACTTTCTGTCGATATATTTTAGATTAGCAGCGAATGAAAAACAGTATCTGTCAACAATTATGCAAATACGTGATCCCCGACATAAACGTCGTCTGATAATCAAAGCGACGGATATTGTTCTATTCGGTCCACCACGACGTACCCATAATTTCATTAAAGATATGATTCTCATATGTGCTTTGCTGATATCGATTGCTGCTTGCCTGTATGCATTCATTCGGCATCGAAAAACACAAGAAAGTATGCATGTGATGATGAAAGAATTGGAAACGTTACAACAAGCTGAAGGCGATTTAATTGCTGTAACGGGAAAGTACGAGTGAATGAAAAATCGATAATTGTCTTCATAAAAAGCTCGTCTATGCATAGGATGAAAGCAATGGAGAATGAATTACAAGACAAAGCGAAAGTTGATCGAGGATTACTAAATTCTTGGTTTGTTGAAGTACAACGAACGAAAGTAAACAGAACAACATACTTGACGAATGTCGAGAAGATTACGCTCAACGTTGTTTTCGTTTCTTTTTTCCTCAGGAAGAAGCAGATAAATGTCGAAAGCGACGTGATACAACATTCGAAGTCGATAAACAATTTCGGCTAGCCATTCAAGAAATTGAACAGGTAGATATCAAACATGAGAAAAGTTAATTAGTTGAAAATGATAAGTTCATTTAGTTACGAATTGCTTTACGAAAAGCAGAAGAACATGCTCGTCATCAGTCATATGAAGCACCGGCGGAGTTAATCGATTTACTCAAACGTACATATCATAATGAAGAAGCTGCTTTCGAAACAAAACGTAAATTAGCTGAAAATGCGATGCTCACTGCAAAAGAACAGGTACGCTCGTCAAGTTTATTACTCAGCAAACAAAGAATTGCATTTCAGATGAACAAAATTACCAAAATGCAAAAAGGCTTCTTCGGAGCTGTTCGCATAGCTCATACAGGTTGCATGGACAACATAGGTGAATTAATCAATTCAGCAAAGTAAATTTTCACTCTTGCTAAACGATATTGATTTTTCTGTTCTTTAGGGAACGCTTAGCAGAAGTTCATGATGAATATGAAGAACGTGAAAGACGTTGGCATAAGATTGCATCACTACTCGATCGGGAAGATTTGATTAATCTATCAACTGGTAAATGATCTTCGAATAAAAACAATGAATGTCGACCTCAAATTTTAGACTCAATCAATCGATCAAAGCCGATTTCATCAGAGTCAATGGGTTTAATCAACACAAACAATGAGTCCACAATTATCAGTAAAGCCAACAGGTATGAAGATAAAAATCACGTAGTTGCAGTGCATGGTATTTAAAGGAATGTGAAAATAGAACACATGATAGTTATTATAAGTGTTTCTTTGTTTTATTCTCATATCTCGGAGTGCTAAAAAAAAGCATCTTGTTAATCATGACTTAAATTTTTGTGAACATTGATTAACAAGATTGTATTAACTGAAACTATTTTGTTCGTTTTTAGTACTTTGAACACTCGTGTTATATCAATGAACTCGCTACTTCCAACTCAAGTCTCTCAACAGGATACTATAAGTCAATCAGATAGTGGCATCGAACCATCGAACTCATCATCTGTGACGCTCAAACGACGTGCAATAATGAATAATCGTTCATCTCAAAACCCGCCTGTTTCTCAAGCCAGTTCAACGAATGGTAATCTTGATTCTCATCTAAGTTCAACTTCAACAGATCGGCAAAACTCCTATGAATTGTTAAATAGTTCTTCGTTATCTAAACAAACTAAATCTTTATTTCAAGGTATACCTGATTCTCAAATGGATAATAATGATTCCATATCAGATGATCAACAGCAACATATGCAACATGATCGAAATTATCAATATGCTCATGAATCATCGAATGATGAAGGTCATTCATCGTCATCACCAGAGAAAATTCGCAAACCGATATCAACTAAACTTTTGAGACCTTTTCAAAATATCCGTTTTAGAAAAAAAACTAGCAATTCATGATACTCTTCTCTATTCATCGTTATTTCGGTGCTTGTTCTATCAATCTCAGTTCTTCTTCCACGTTTGTCTGTTGTTTTATTTCATATACCTATTCCTACTTTTGTTTTTTGCTTGTATAATTTTATCTATCTGGTAATATGTATGATAATGATGAATGAATGAATGAATAAAGAATCTGATCATAATGGGATGAAATAACACTATTTCTTTCTTCTTAGATATTCCGAATGTCGTTACGACTGACTAGACGTATAGTAAATCAGTTGTTTATTCGACGATTTGCATCGAACGATTCGTCAATAACAACAACATCATCACCCGATGCAAATAAAGAATTAACGACAAAAAAACCTTCGGAAGTATCAACGCCGAAACGTGCTTTCACATTAATCAACCCGAAGACTGCTCATCAAATCAAACGCATTGATGAAACGCCTATTAAAAACGAAATGGATTACATCCGACATCGATTGACCGAAAACCGTAAGAATGATTAACTGCACTTGATAGTTTGAAAGAATAAACTACGTACTGGTTTCAGGTGTGAAAAATATTCCTATTGAAACTGATATTTTAATCATTGGTGTAAGTATTCTCCTATTTCTACCACTTCTGACCTATGCTTTTCGTATTCAGGGTGCTATTAAAGGTTCAGCGATCGCTTATTTTCTGAAACAACGGGCACCCGATACGAAAATAACTGTCATTGAACGTGATTGGAATGTAAGAGAACCAAGATGGTCACGTTTCCACTTTGAAAAGTTCTATTCATTTAGTATACAACGTCGAGTACGGTGCTTTCGGCTGGTGGGCTACGTCAGCAATTTGCTCTTGTAAGTATTGACTTAATGATACAGAAATGTAGGAATTTCGCTCTCGATTTAGGAAGAAAATATTCAAATGTCTGTTTATGGTGCGGAATTTCTCAAACATATTCGTGAACATTTATCTATTCTTGGTAAATGATGAGATTTCGTTTTATTTGGATTGCTTAATTGACCTTCTTTCAGACAATGACCCTGTTCCTGTTTCATTTCATCATAATGGTTATTTATTATGTGGTAGTGAGAAAAGTGTGAAACTTTTCGAAGAAAATTACAAAACACAAACGTGAGACATCCTCTAGGCGTCTCGACTTGTGTTTGTTCTATATACAGTTTAGATCATTAGGAGCAAAATTAAAATTGATGTCAGCAAATATGCTCAAGGAGCAGTTTCCATGGCTGAATACTGACGGAATTGCAATTGGATGTTATGGTACCACGATATGAGGGTCTAAATGATGTAGAAAGTCTTGTTTTTCCTCTAGGTATTCAAAATGAAGGTTGGCTAGACCCTTGGGCATTGCTTACTGCATTCCGACAAAAAGCATTATCACTCGGCGTCGTGTATTTGAATGGTTTGTGTGTACGATTTATTTGTTGAATACTTTTAAAAACACAAATGTTTGATTTTTCGGTAATTTATAGCGGAGTTGGTCGGTTTTGATAAAGCACAACGGATCTGGGCCGATGGAACGATCGAAAGGCAATTAGATAAAGCTTTAGTAAGTGAAAGAAAGTCTTTTTCGCACGCGTACTACGGACAACATTTGTTCCAGCATTGAACAGTGCGGTAGATTGAAATGAGATAGCTAACACTGTTCAGGTGGTTTTGTGACGTCAATGCATGATATGTGTATCGATAATTGCGCGATGATTTGAAGAATATTTGATTGAATAGACACGGAGAAAATGATGTGTGACTCTCCACGTGCGCACCTGTATGAATACTTCCCCTTTTTCATGTACGCACGGGATGATAAATGACTTGATAAATCATCATGCCAAAAATGATTAATCAACGGAAGACTATGAGAAATTTTTGTTTAGATATTATCTGCGGACGATAATCGAATCTATCCAATAGATGCGACATTCTTCGTCAACACTGCTGGCCCTTGGGCTGGCGAAGTAGCAAAAATGGCTGGTATTGGTGTTGCTGATGAATATCCTGTTGCATTACCCGTAGAACCGAGGTAAGACAGAGAAATGTACTAAAACCTATTTATTCAACAGGTTTCTGTAATTTTATTTACACTTTATTGGTTTTCTTTATGAGAATAATGACCCTAAGCTCCATCGACACTTTCTACCATACTCTCATTGACATAGCTATTCGTTGTATAATCATTGTCTTGATCTGGTGAGAGAACTTTTGTTAATTTCTCGACATTTTGCCGCTCGAGAACCCATTTCCAAAATGACGAACTGTCTGTGGCATCGAGAACGAATCCGTACCGTTCGAAATAGTTTCGCAATTGTTGTCCTGTTGTATGAATAGTCAGTCGATTAGCACCAGCTTGTCGAGCGAATTGTTCCACACATTCGAGCATTGCCGCGCCGATGCCATGATTTCGATAGCCATTTTTTACACCGATCATTTCAATATAACATTCTTCCACATGTGTCGGAACGTAGTTGGCTTTATGTACGAGCCATCGATGTATAGATGTGAAACATGAATTGTGTGAACCCGTCGATAGCGGAATTATCGTTGGTGTTTCGTCCGGAAATGCCATGGTTAATGCTGATAGAACTTCGCCATTCATTTTCCCCAGAAGAACATTTTGAAATTCACGTGCATTAGGATTCGAATCTATGAGAAGCGAAACAGATTAGAGTTTGACTTTAGTTTTTGCCGTTACTTATTCGATTCTTCATTGCCACACGAAATTGATGTATTTGATCATCATTCCCGATATAATGTCTTAAACGATCATTTAATGTATCAAAGTAAATATCGAGATAAGCATCAACATCTGCTAAACTAAATTGATGAATTTCAATCACATCATTTTCCGCGCCACCACCTGTTGTGTACGATGAAACCATTGTGTTATCACGATCATTACTCAGTTGACTTGCTCGTTGAGATAAATATCTCTCTCTTTCATTTTCATCGTCTTCATCTGCAATACTAGTTACTTCGACTTGATTATATTTTTTAATATAATCAGTGGGAAGGGAAGGTTCGTGATTGGACTTTGTTGTTGTAAATTCGCCACTTTGAACGGCAGTTGCTTGTCGAAGTGGTGGCCGTTGGCCACGTGTCGATTTCGCTGTTTCCACAGTCTCATCAATAACACTCTTCTCGCTGATACTTGCTAAAGGAAATCCGTCTCTGTCCATTGAATATTAGTACATGTGGATTTCCAAGTAAAATGACCCTGAACAAGCAAATTGTCTCTACTATCTCTCAATAAATAGAATGACTATGACTGATACAAAAAAAAAAGTAAAAAAAAAATGCTTGTATGTAACAAACAGAAAAGAGAGGTAGTGAAGCGTAACATCATTTTCCTGACTATACCACGCTGTTCTGTTTTATATGCTAAGAAAAAAGACGATGAAACTGATTGATTTGTTCTTTTTTTCTGTTCTACTAACGTTATCATTTGTTTACTACGAAACAATTTCGTTCGACATATTGTCTACGAATTGTGAAAAGCATTCTCATATTTCGACGAACAAACAACTTGTCGTTTAGAAAACGTTATGTATTTGTCTTCGAATCGATGAATGGCCCTGGTCCATTGGCACCATTGTTTGTTGACATATCCGGTGTTTATTTCCGACCAGAAGGTATAGGAAATACATATATTTGTGGATGTAGTCCGACTGAAGTAATGAATACGCGACTAGTTCTGGATTACATGTGATCTTGATGTTTTTTTTTGCCCAGGAAAGTGACAAATCGGAAGATAATTTGGAGGTCGATTACTCAGTTTTTGAAGAGCAAATATGGCCAGCTTTGGCGAAACGTATACCAAGTTTCGAAACATTGAAGGTAAGCGAATTTCATTCTTAGATTTCTCAAATCAATCTGTTCTAGCTGAAAAATGCCTGGTGTGGCTTCTACGATTACAATTATTTCGACCAAAAGTGAATATCTTCGTCATATCTTCATCCTATCTTTACCTTTTTCTTCTCCAGTCTTATCGTAGGTGCACATCCACAACAGCAGAACTTTATTTTCGCTAACGGTTCCAGCGGTCATGGTCTTCAGCACGCACCCGCCATCGGTCGCGCTATCTCAGAATATCTATCCGATTTCAAATATCATTCAATTGATTTAACACGTTTTGGCTTTCAACGTGTTGTCAATAATACTCCAATCTATGAGCCGATGATTGTTTAATTACCATTCGAACTGATCTTTTCTTATTTTTATACTATTGCACAAGAAAAGAAATTTAAAAAAAAAGAAGAGAAAGAAGAAACGTCATTTGTCTAATAGCATTCAAACAAGACATTAACAACAATAAATTTTTTGTACAAAACAAAAAAAAGATGAATATTGTTAGAGCAATCACCACATTTATGAGTGTCTCTACAAAGAAAAAGAAAGCAATAGACTAAAATAACCCTATTTGCCATAAAAGAACAAGAGAAAAACACAAACAGAACAGATGAGATTGATTTTTTTTATCAGAAATGTTCATTGACTAGGCGATGTAGTTGTTGTTGCACTTGAGACAACTTCGATCCAGCTGAAAAAAGACATTCAATGACGAATAGGAATAGAAATTTATCTTACCGATCGAAAGCGTATTGACTTTCGGCACGGAAAAAATAGACGTGATTTTTAAATTGAAGTTTAAACACGAAATCTTTGTTCACACCATCGAATTCCGATGGCAATGAACTTCGATAGCCAAGCAGCGGCAATGATGCCAGCGGATAATCATCCTGCAGAACGAAATCGGTAAAAAATGTACGAAACAAAACGTTCTTACCTGATAAGTTTTGTAAAAGAATAAACAGAAATTTGTAAAAACGACCCAAAGCTTTTGCCAACCGTTGGAATTCTTGAATTTTCGTAAAAGATAACCACTTAATTGATTTTTAACCGTTTGTCGATCATCATTGATCGATACAGATAAATTCCTATGCCAACAAACATGCATCGTTGTGTTCGCACGATGTTGAACACATGAGCGTTCGATGGTATTCGTTGGATCATCATCCAATGTACCGATCATTGAATGTTCCAGATTTTCCGATGAAGCTGAACAGATTCTCGTATTCGAAACAATCAACAATTCGTGTCTGACATCTTACCATTCGATTTCAAAGTTGATGTATAAGAATGTTTCTGATCTTCTGTATTAACTCGGAGATTTTCGATAGCAGATTGAAGGTCATGCAACCATTTGACTTTCTCAGCTGCCGAACTGGAAAAGACATAATCATATTAAAGTCAACTTAGATCTTAATAAAACATCTGTCACTTGAGTACTCTTCAACCTCGCACATGCACGACATCTTGTCATGAAAGTACGAATGACAAAAATGAGAATCTTTACATACCTGGCAACAACGAGTAATGATCGGTTTCCAGCATAGATGGTTATCGAATTAGGAATATTCACACGTTCATCGCTGTCTTCCACCTAAAATCGGAATAATATCGAGAATTTGAATTCAATGTCAAACTAACCGTCATCGTTCGCAATGGAAGTTCGCCATGAAGTTTGAATTGAAGAACTGGACTTGAACTTCGAGCACAGTAGAGTAGGACATCGGAGAACTAGGGAAAGACATAGTGTGAAAACGTTTTGAGTAGAGATAATGAATTTACTAGGAAAAACATTCGTTGTTGGTAGCCTTTTCGAGATAGTTTTTGAAGACAACCTTCACGAATGAATTGCTAAACAGAAATTCGATTAGTTTTTGCTGAAATCTATCGTTAAATTACATACACGTTCGTATTGATTAGAAAGATTGTCCACCCCAATCAAATCTCGTTGAAGTTCAATTAACTTCTGTCGATTTAACTGAAACAAATGATCATTCGATTGAAAAATACAAGTTTAGCACATCATTTACCAATAGTGTCAATGAATCAGCAAAATTTTCGATTAAATCTTGAACTTTGATGAAAACTCCATAGCAATCTTGATATTCAATATCGTTATTATTATTCTTGTAATGAATTAACAGTTCTAAACAGTAAATCATCGATAGTAAGATGTTTTTCATCGAATGTATGAACCTACTTTCAAATAAATATTCATAGTGCAAAAGTCTTTGTAACGGCTTAATCAAAAACGATATAAATGATAAATAACAGAACTTCTCCGATTCGAATTCCTTGTAAATCATATCGAATCGACGATTGTGTTTGAGAGTATACTCCAATTCGGTCAACAAGCGATCGTAATTTTCGATGTAACGTTCGTATCGCTATTGAGTTCATCAAATAAAAGATTTTTAATGAAAGAAAACAGCCGACTGACTTACAGGTAAGATTTCGATCAAATTCATGATTAGATCTCCGATTTGTTGTGATAATTTATCGGTATAGAGGCATTCATTACCCGGTATGGATCGCGATTCCCTAGAGAAGAAGATCGAAATAGACTTTACAGGCGAGATTTTTGTCTTCAAACCTACCATATTGATATTCTCTGTTCGAGCTGTCGAAGGAAATGCAGATGAAATGTGTAAATTGGCAATAAATGTGTGAAGAGCACATCGGAGAGATGAATTAATGTTTCATTTTCGAAGTTGTACTCATCATTCATGTATAAATCTTGATGGTGATTGATGGCGAGTAGTAATTCACGACGAAAGTTTTCTGCGATCACTTCCATATCTTTCTTGTACGTTCGTTCTGTCATAAGAAGTTCTTTGCAGATAAAAAATGAGCGATCATGATTAGATGGTATTATCATTGTAGATGACACAGATGTGGGCAGTGTGACAGATGATAAAGATGTTGGAGGAACAGTGCCAATCAAACGCTAAATATTTCAATGGAATTTTACTTTTCAAGATTGAGAAAAAGATGTTACCGGAATGCCTGATAATGGTGGGCTGACCTGATAAGATGCTGATGGTATTGATCTCGATGCTAAATAGATTGATGGTAGTTGGTTAGAGCGAGTTTTGCTTGCGAAGAATACATACGTGATTGTTGCTGGCGAATTTTTGTCCGTGTCTCGATTGTACTCATAGAGACTTTCGGAGATCGATATTCGTGTATAATCGGGATAGTTCGCGTCTAGAAGAAATCCTTGATATAATTATTTCTCTAAATGGCTATTCAATTACTTTTGATTCATCGAGAATTGCATCCTCAGGTTGATTCTGTGTGGATGGTGGTGTCAGAATAGGCAATGGCGGCGGAAGTGAAAAACTATTTTCGTCCATAGCACAACTAAAACACAATGGTATGATCAATCATTGAAGTGAACATGAATACACGTACGTTCTGGTTGGACTTTGAATATCGACGTGTTCGTTGTTCATGATCGTTGTTGGTTTGCCTAGACTTAGTCGCTGTGCGGCGGAAAGAATCTGTTGTTCACCATTCGATGATCGACGTGGTGGTGTATTACTTGTCAATGGTTGGACTGATCGATGACTATTCACAGCACCGCTTATAAGACGACGATTCTGTTGAAGATTTGACGTTGTTGGCGAATCTGCTAAAACAAATTCGATTTTGTATTTTTATCGAACAAGAGAACCTAATTTCATTGATGAAAACGCAATAAGTATTTCAAGTATTGTCCTTGAGTTGAACAAAGAATTACCTAAATCTCGTTCGAGTAAAGTACGTTGAAGATCGAAATGTCATATAAATATGGAGAAGCCTTCGCTATTTATAAATCGGATCATTCAGAGATAAAGTTCTCGTTGTTTCCCCAATGTGTAAATACAACGAGAAAATCTGATAAGTAAATGGATTTTCTTCATGACGAGTAACAGAAAAGAGAGGTTTTTTTGTATTTTACAATGGATTATTGCATTAGTAGAAGTGATGGCGAGAAATCCAAATTTAATTAACGAAAATCAAATGAAAAATATTTTGTTAGGCGAATGACTTCGTCAACAGAGAAAAACGAAACAAAGTCTATATAAACAATCAAATTCCCTTAGGATTCTTTTTTGCATCGACAATGAAACATTGAAACTGAACGCTTTCGTTGCAAGTTTCACGTGAGAGGAATAACCAGCGGGAAAATTTTTTCCCCAGGAAATGAGTTTTTAACTAGTTTTTCATCCCTCATTAGCTCTAGCTGAATTGAAGGTCTAAATATGTTTTTCGCCAGGCCAAGTCAAGCATATATATATATATATATATCTCTCTGGAAAACATCGTTTTCTTTCACCAGAGACTTCTAACATACATAAACATATCATTCATACGATTGAATAAACAACAACAACATGCTCTCGTCTAGACCTCAATTTATCTTTCATTTACAGCCAAGATTCAATTACCTTTTTGCACTTGATCAAAAGGATGTTGCATCTGTGTGTCATCGACATGAAAGGGTTCACTACTTCGACAGACGTGCGTTGGTGAGACACCATTCGCTTGTCTTTGGATGTGTTCATCTTCGTCTTCGTCGGTATTCTGTTCATCGGATAGATCGTATTTATCTCGACTAAAACGCGAGTCTAACGTTCGACTTCCATGTGTCGATGAATCATCGTGATACACATGTTGATAGACATCGACAGGCTCGTTGGCGATATGAGTCGGATTTCGTGAGTGTCGAACAGAATCGACTGTATCCGATGTTTTAATCGTAGGAGCCGGTGAACGATGAGAACGACTTGTTACTGGTGCGACTGTGCGAGTATTGGAATAAGATCTGTGGAAATTCAAAAAAAATTATGAATATCATTGTTTACATTCTCTTTACCGCGTAAATGTTCGATTTTTCGAATAGTTCTCTCGAGCATATTCGACAATTTCTTTTTGAGTTCGTCCGTTATACCGAAATGATGAACCCCGTGTCAGTAGTTTCTTTTTCGTTCGATGCTGACGTTGAATAGTAACACAACGAAAGAAGGCATGATATTCAATACATTTCTTCCAGAAATTCTTGCATTCATCACGTGTATCAAAATAGAATTCAACTGTATCTTTGTAATAACCCTAGATCAACCGACAGATTCATGAATAAGAAAGGAAAATCTATTAATCGTACATAGCCTTCAGGTTGTAATTTAATCAGAAACTTTTTCCGCTTAAAACTCAATTTCCGAATTTTTGCCCAAGAAAACGTATTGATTTTCGTAATATTTTGAAAGACGAGAATGCCCATGTGAGCAACAGCCAGATTAAGATTCACTTGTTCATGATCTTTTGCTGGATGCATCTTAGTGCCGTACAATTCGACTTTACGAGCGGTGTCAAGTAGATTAAGATCGGCATCCGCCGGTGATTGACCACTAAACAGAAGAAAATTGCAATGGAAGAACGTAGTTCGAATGTCTTACAGATGATTCTTGTGAAAATTCATGATTCGTATTTCGTGTTCGGCTGTTTGATGAGGAAAATACTTGCGATTATTTAAATAACTTGGATTATTGTTATACGTTTCGAGATAATCACCAATTTCAGCTAAATAAACATCAAACAAGATGAAAAGCACTTTCAATGGAAAGATCTACCTTGAACAATATACGAAGCGAGTAGAGCAGCTGTATTATCACTACATAACAACGTTCCAAGAGCGAGATCACGTTTGATTTGTAAGGCGAACAGATATCTGTCGAAATTCATCATCAATCAATGAATTTTCATGAGACAAACAACATTACCTAGTAAATTCCTCTTCTAACTGTCCAGGATCGGGTGTATAAAACTTAACACAAAAGGAGAATTTCGTTTCCGACACTTGTTTAAGAATCGGTTTATCCAATTCAAGCCAACACTAGACAAAAAATCGATGATAAATCCTTTTCTTTTTGATTGATGAACACATACCACATTTCGATGACTGTCGAGATATTCTAAACCAAAATAATCTTTTTCTAATAATTCAATGTACTTGCAAACTGAATTGAATAGATCTTGGCCAGTTGCCTTTGGCTAAAAAAAAAAGATAAAGCAGCACTATTTGAGTAAATCAATCAATCAGATCTACATATGTCTAATCAATCCAGATGAGATTTGCTTCTGTTAATAACTCGTATTTCATCAGTTTTATGGTGATCGACATGAACGGATTAGCTCTCTTGTAATTAACTTCTGCATTCGTCTCGTGTTTTCAACAAGATTATTTGAAGAAAATTGATATTGTCAAGACTGATAAGGTCCAACATCGATCGTTTACTTACATCAATATGAAATGGTAATTCTTGATCATCAAGCATGCGCACTTTGCATGCGATTTGCTTGCCAGGTTTGGTTTTCGTTGATGTCATGTCGATGGTTATGAATAATTAAATACAACGCAGATGCAACCACGGAGTACGATTGTTGTCATCATTGATAAAACATGTTTTATTTTGAAAAAAAAAATACATTGAATCTAGAAAAACAAATTGTAACATGATTGCCGTTGCTTGTTTGGACTCAAAGAAAATTCGATGATTAACATACACATGTTTCTCATCAATTGTTTTAATGACCATCAACTCATTTTATTCCTTAGTCACTAATAACATCCCTTCGGTCTGTCTCCTATCGAATGTTGATTATTATTTGCAATCGTTGTATGATTGATGATGCGAATAGGAGAAGAAGAAGAAGAAGAAGAAGACTCTATGGGTAGAAAAACTCAATCGGACGATATGTGTATGACAAATATAAAGATGAGTTCAGTTAAGAGAAGAGACAAATGAGAAAAAAACCACTCACATACACATTGGTCAATCGATTGATTAAGCAATTGTGACGTCGAACAAGGATTTTCTTTTTCTTTCCTTCAATACTGACCGATTATCTTTGCTGTTCGTTATCATCTTTCCCATTTCCATCAAATTGTCTGTCTCTTTTGCTATACAACACTGATGACGACTGACAGTACAACATATTCTTTCTGACAACGTTCCTGCTTCGACTATCGATTCTTTCTTCTCCGTTCTTCCATTCTCTTTCTTTTTTTCAGCTTTCCTCAAACTACAATAGTAGAGTAACGGCAAAGTCGGTCATCGTAACACATCCTAGAGAAAGACAATTGCTCAACATAATAGTTCTTCTTCTTCTTCTTCTCTTTCTGCTGTTCTAGCGTCGTCGTCTTTTTCCTCTTCTCTACTGTTGATCATCGCACTTCTCTATGCATATATGGGGATGCCTTAACGCATTCTCATCATTAAGCATCTCCGCTTTTTCGCCACATACATATCCGTTGAAGATAGTAGTGATGACGTTGTGTGCATGTCCTTTTGATCGGGTTCTTTCCATTATCTAGTTGGCAATTTCTTTTTTGGTCAGACTAACAGACACTCACAGAATGGGATATTGAGAATGTCAGTTACAAGTTCTATTCCTTGAAATAATGTAATCGAATAATAAAAAAAAAGGAGAGAAATCTTCTCTGTCATACATTTCTCTTCTGCTCGAATTTTGTAAAAAAGAAAAGCATGACGGTATTTGCGAAATCGATCTGCTATTATCAATTTGTGATGCGAGCAGGAAACAAGAATATTATCCAAACGGATGTCTAGTTGGATTCACTCATATGAACGTGCTTATGGGCCTCTTTACTTTTATATTAAATATGCATAGTGTTTCTCATCAAAGGTGGATGTTGATACACACACAGATGATACTTACTGTCTGATGTTTCGAAGAACGAAAAGTAACTTATTTTATTAAGAAAAAAAAAAAAAGAAACGATTGTATCGTTTCGAGTAATTAATATTTATGAGAATGAAATCGATCTTGTTCTGGTTTATTAAAAAGGATATAGAGCTTAAATTGACAGCTAGTGAATAATCACAAAAGGAGAAGAGAAAAAACGTGTCAAACTGTCCGACAAGGAATGTAAATAAATACATGCACAGTATGGGACTAACTAATATACATTCATTCCGACTAAAGAATCTTTCAATGGTTTGATTCTTCGCCAATCATAACATCGGCGCATTTCATTGGCGCAGAGAGAAGCAAGAAAATAAACAGCTTGTCTTGTCGTCGTCTCAACAGATCTGTATATTTAGACTACTTCATTTCTTTTAAGATGTCAAACTTACCGACAACTTTTCTCACACATTCACAACGAGTGTGCCGTTTATATAAAGCTTTATTTGCTCTTGCTCGTCGTGAAGAGTGGCCAAATAGGTTCTAATTTTACTATTCTTCTTATTTTTCTTCATGTCAAAGTACCTCTATTCACAGACTTAATTACCGTCAACGTATGGTGGAATATCGAGCTCGTTTCGATGCGAATAAAGATATTCAAGATTTAATGAAAGCCAAACGATTGTTAATCGCAGGAGAAGAAGAATTGAAAAAAGCAATGTATTGGCATACAGAAAACTTCAATTGTATGTAGAAGATTGAACGATCCGACGTCGCTATCTCTTTCTCTCTTTGCAGTTCCAGAATCACCGTCGGGTATTGCTGAAGGTCGATATCCTACACCAGATGATTCTGTAAGTTCCATTTAGTTTTGTTTTTCGAATCTCTCTTCGACATTTTTGTTCAAAGGCACTTGACGCATGGCATCCATTAGAAAAAGCCCAATATCCAACATACTTTGCAACACGTGAGAAACGAAAGAAAGCATATATGGAATGGTATCTCAAACGATATGGAATTCCCGATCCTCCGATGATGTGAACAGTCATTTTTTATTTCATCACACCTTGTCCTTTTGCTTGTAAAGTAGATTTTTGGTTTTTTTTTCATCCCCGATGAGAAGTATTACCTGTGGATATACACACAACGTTTCCTCCCACATGAACTCGAGGAAAATCTAGGAAAAGAACTTTTCAAACAGAAATTTGATTGTGCCATAGCGCCATCTCATTGAGTGCGAAAAAACGGAATTCTTTTTGCTTGTTACGGTTACTATGCTCGGCGAGACCGGATTGGTGTTTATTATTTTGATAGCAACTCAAGATGAATTTCACACGAAAAAAAACGTCCGATTACTATACTCAGTGGCAAGTAAAGCAAAGAAAAAGATTACCGAACGTAAGTTTTATCGCTTGCCGTATCACAACCTTTTCGTACTTCATAAAGAATCCTCATATCAAACAGATATGAAGTTTTCCTTTAGAATAACTCGATCGTTATCCATAGAGATGTCGTCTGACATGGAGATGTATATACACATCGTCGTTTGATTCTCTGATTGTAGGCATTCGTTTTTGAATAGATAATCGATTAGTAATATGTCAATATTCGTTGTTACTGTGAGGGAGTTTCGTCAATAATCGAATGATAATATTTACCTTCGTCCCGGAGAGTTTTTATAAATTGAAAGTAGGAAAAATGATCCATTCAATCAACTCACAGCAAAGGTAAGATGTTCCCGTTTTGATTCTTCTTTCAAAAACAAAAATACTTCGATTTCGCACTATCATCATTCGATTATGAAAAGTCAAAAGGAGTACTAAACATGACATAGGCATTTAGAAAACGATGACAAGTGATATTTTTGCCCAATCATACTAGTGAATCAATAATAGTCTGAAAAGTTAGAGACACCTTGTGTGAGGAGAATGGATGACTGTTATGACTGGGTTGTAGGGCATAACCCGATAGAAGATACAAGCAAAAGCGTAGTTAATCAACCGAAACATCCTGTGCTATTTTCTATATCGTACAAGTGAAATTTATTTTTGTTAGTGGAAAGAATATTTTTTGAGACAATAATAATTATGATAAAAAACATAAAATACAGATATCTGTGTGCCGAATAAGAATAGAAAGACTAATACTGACCACAGAGCATCATTTGATAAAAATAAAACTCGTATTTACAAAGTATCATTGGCGTGTTTTTCTCTCCCTAGTTGGATTCTTCGCGATATCTGTCTCGTACACGATTGGCCATTAGTGTCAGACCATTCAATGACTGAAAGAGCCCATAGTAGTGATATTTCAGCTCATCTTTGATTGTTTCGAATGAAGTTGGAACAGAAGATGTAGTGGAATTTTGTTCGTATTCTTCGGACGAAGCAACCGAGGATGTTGATGACGAACCTTCTAACATAGTGATGCCTTCATCATCATTCGAATATTTTCGTTGTTTTTCATCTGAATCGGACTTGCTCTGTCTGCTGCCATTTTCACTATCGTCATCAGCAAACGGATATATGCACTGTAATTGATTTTTCATCTGACGAACGAATGTATAAATCTCATGCCAGTTATCGGGTTGATTCGAATTATCAAAAATGAGTTCTAAAGAAGCGAAGATAAGAGAACAATGTTAACTTTGATGAACAAAAACCTTACCATCTATAGACATGTCCTTAAGTCGTATTGGTAGAAGAATTTCATCTTCCATGTTTTGTATAGTTTGAACGCATTCATTCATTGTATCGAGAAGAAGAGATGAAAGACGGCGATTGTTTAACATTCGCAGGCTTTGACGACGCTGATTAGCGATGTATTGATTGCTTTTGGTCATAGCTGCTTTTTCGGACATTGTTAACGTTAAATCCATCGAGCTGTTTGTTAGTGTCATGAAACGAGCATTAACTTTAATATTTGTTCACAATGAGTCCATCTAATTATTACATTCGACTTATAAGAGAACGAAAGGAAGCGAAAAAATGTAGAGGGGAAAAATGAAGGCTCTTTTTTTTTTCTTTCGCGCAAAACCACTACGTGTTAGGGATGGGGAAGACGAAGGCGGAGAGAGAATCATAGATGTAAAAAAAACGTCAATGGGGGTGTGCAAAAGAGAACAATCTACTTTTATTTTTAATATAGACAAGAATATTCATCCATACATCCACCGAATGATAATGGGCTGATCGTAATGTATCCGGCGTTGAATACATTTTCATTACCTCGATAGTATCAAAAAAAAAAGAAAAGATAACATTTGAAATAATTAACGACATACTTAAGTGGTTCCGACATATTTTCTTGCAAAACAACATTCAGTAAATGTTTTTTGTACATTATACACCGAAAGAAAAACAGACGTAATGTTCAGTGACTCTGATTCACTGCGAGAAGACAACAATTTACATATCGTATTGCGCATATATTTGTTTTATGATGAGATTCGAGATATCATCATATTTATCTTCGCATCTTCTTTTGCTATATCTGTCGAGTGTGTAAATAATTGCTGTTATATTTGTTACAGATATTTTTTCGGCATAAAAGAGACAATGGGTTCATCGGCGAATCAGGATAATGTCGCTTCGTTAGCAACAGACTTTTATAGTTTATTAGAATCTTTCAAGGAAACACCATTTTATCATTTATTATTCGAAATCTTTCTTGTTCTAACTGTACTCTGGCTTATTCTATTTCGTAAACCTCGTCGGATCGAAAAGAAATTAACTGAAAAAGAAAAACAAGAGTTAATCGACGAGTGGCAGCCGGAACCGTTAGTACCGCCCGTTGATGCCAATCATCCCGCGTTAAATGTTCGAGTTTTAGACGGAATTGTTGGTAAGACAATCGAAATCGATGGAAAGAAAAGTCTCAATTTCGCTACATTCAATTTTCTCAACTTTGTCGGTAATCCTCGCATTGCAGACAAAGCTATACAAGCTGTACAAAAGTATGGTGTTGGCTCATGTGGTCCACGCGGGTAAATACAAGTACACTTTTGTCGAGATTCAAACGAGAATTTTTGTTTATTGATTAATTACGTCGGATTGATAAGAATAATCATGTTACGTATTTCGCTCCTAAAGGGTAGTATTACGCAGTTCTCAAACGTCGTCATCGAACAAAACTGAATTCTGTTGTAAATTTGAGTCATTTCTATACATACGAATGTTTTGGTTTCTTAAAATAGCTACAAAAGAAAACATTGACAATCGCGAACGGGGAGACGTGACAAGCTTCGATGAATATACTGATCACGGTGTTTCATTGATTGATTTTGTTTAGGTTTTATGGTACAATCGATATACATCTCGAATTAGAAGAACGTTTAGCTCATTTTTTCAATTGTGAAGAAGGTATTATCTATTCGTATGGCTTTTCAACCGTCGCCAGTATAATTCCAGGTTTGAAAGAAAAAAGTTTATCTTTGTTGATTTGAGAAAACGAAGGTTTTCTTTTGAAGCTTACTCCAAACGAAACGATATACTGTTCGTCGATGAAGGTGTTCACTATGCAATTCAAAAAGGTGTCGAAGCATCTCGAAGTACAGTCAAATGGTTCCGTCACAATGATATTTCCGATCTCGAACGCTTGTTAGCTGAACAAGACATTCATGACAAGAAGAACCCGAAAAAGGCACGAACGTTACGACGTTTTCTTATCATCGAGGGTTTATACATGAACTATGGTGATCTGTGTCCACTGCCGCGTATGGTTGAACTGAAATATCAGTACAAATATCGAATCTTCATGGATGAAAGTGTTTCATTTGGAACAATCGGACAAACCGGACGCGGTGTAACGGAATATTATAACATTGATCGACGAAAAATTGATTTAATTTCTTCGTCATTGGAATATTCTGTGGGTTCAATCGGTGGGTTTGCTGTGGGAAGTTCGTTTGTTGTTGATCATCAACGTCTCTCTGCGCAAGGCTATTGTTTTTCAGCTTCATTACCACCATTGCTTGCGGCAGCTGCAATTGAAGCATTGAATATCATGGAAGAGAAAGATACGACCTTATGTGATACATTAATGGAGAAAAGTAAACGTTTACATCGGAAATTATTAGATATTAAAGGTTATCTCATTGTCGGAGAAGATATTTCACCACTGAAACACTTGCGTTTGACGAACTCGCAGAACACTGTCGCTCGTTTGGAAGAAATAGTTGAGTTCGCCCAAACACGCGGAATAACAATAACAGTTGCAAGATATCTCAATGATGAACATCATTTACCCGAACCATCCATTCGTCTGATATTGAACGTGGAAATGACGGATGAAGAATTGGAATTTCTTTGTACAGTTCTTCAAGAAGCACGTGTCAAAGTGACTGTTTAGCTGTGATTTATATGTTTTCGCTTTTCTATGAACTGAGATATCCAGAAGATCAGATGCTTTTTCTTCCCTTAATCTATCAAATCTAAAATATTCTGTCGTTTTCGGACGCAATTTTGTTTTGTTAAGTTTGCCTTCCAAGTTTTTTTTTTCTTTCTGAATAAATAAAAGAAAGCGTGAAAGTATCGTCAAGACGGAATTGTGTCCTTTACTATCGGCGAAAAACGAAATTCAACGATTGAAAATAGGGTGTGGAAAATACTTTCTCAAGAATGTTATCTGTTGAATTAAATATTTCCTCGAATATGTTTACTAACAATGGTATTTTCAGTGATAGAAGCGAGTAACTATGAGAATGGAATGATATTCCAAGTGGTCACCTACGTTAGTGTTTAGAAGCAATAGTCGATGTTGGTTTGGTTTTTTTTTTCTATATCGTTTACAAAAGGGATGATCATAGAACAAAACAGATGAAAAACGACAAAAAATATAATAGTAAAAAAGAAACACAAAGTTGTTGGACATTACATGCCTGGTGGACCTAGATGAATAGAGAAAAGAAAATTTGAGTTGAACATAGTTCTTCGCACTTACGCATCCCCATAGGAGGTGGTGGCATTCTCATTTGAGCTGGCATGCCACGACCAGGAGGCACCATTTGGTTGAAACCAGGTCCACCAACACCACGCACTGGTCCTTGAAGACCGGGAGCTGCAAAGCCAGGGGCACCAGGCATAGGCGGGATGACTCCTAAAAAGAACAATAGCACCATTGATTATATATAGTTCTTTAAACAAACCTCGTCCTGCTGCACGACCAGCACCTTGTGCTGCAGCTGCACTGGTTGGTACACGAGCAATACCAACTTCCTACAATCAACAAAAATTTTCTCGCTGTCGAGTAAATCAAATATTCTCTACGAACTTCTTTTGGTGGCGGTCCTTCGACCGTCATTGAGACTAAATGTTCACCACGTAATAGAATTAAACCTAATGGTCGTTGTTCTTCACGTTCACTCTTGTCAGTTTTACTTCGTACTTTACGGAATTCTTCACAGTCAGCTAGGATGAGATTCATATGTTTATCGAACGCCTTGAATGTTCCCACAAGTTGTCGTCCATCTTGTAACGTACATCGCATACCTAGCAAAAAAAGACAGATCAATTCAAATGCATTAATTTATGATTGAATTGAAGAGACCACATACGATAATTGATGTGTTGCAGCATTTTGCTGCTTTTTCCTTGAGTTGGCTATAAAAAGAAAAGAAAGGCATTTGAAACGTTTGATTTAATCCAAAAGTTCATCTTACCATTGCAATGAACTAAGTGGTTATTACAGAAAGAATCTGAAATAGAAAGAAGAAATGAGAAAACGAAATTTATTGATTCATAACAAAGTCAGCATCGCTTCATTATCTTTCAACGATGATTTCAGCCTGGAAACGAATTCGTTTCTTTTTGATTTTCTCATCATCCTTTGTTATGTAGAAAAATTCAGAAAGAATTTCTTCATTATTTTGAATTAAAAAAAAGGCTCCTTAAACCAATTAAAATTGTCGACAGATGTGACATCTTTCGCGAAATTTTCCAAGGAGGTGATTTGTTCGAATAAAATCCGGACCAATCGAGATAAAATCGCTCGAATGAAAAGAAAATTTTATTCTACAAAGGATCTTGATTGATAGACCATACATTCATCTTCTTCACTTTCAGATCGATTTCGGTTCTTTCAGAACAACATGGGACACTCATCAATCTTTCGTTCACATCCACACAAATATGGTCCAGGCAGTCGCAAATGCCGCGTTTGCTCCAACGGTCATGGTATCATCCGCAAGGTAATATCCCTTCCGAAGTGTTCATTTCAGATCGACAATAGGTCCATTCGTTTGTTTGTTTAGTACGGTTTGATGATTTGCCGTCAATGCTTCCGCGAATATTCAAGTGATATCGGCTTCAAGAAGCTCGATTAGATATTCCATCGAAGTCCAAAGCAAATTTAATAGAAGAATACATTCATAGACTCCATCAATTGTTTTTCGCTGACTTGTTCGTTTTTTTTTCTATGCGAAATGGTGGAATAAAGAAAAACGTCCGAAATCTTTTCAGAAGAAATCCCATTGTCTAACTTTGATATTTTCCAAGTAGAATTTTTCTTTAGAATAAACATGGATCTCGATTTGGAAGACAGAACGATCAAAAGATCTGATACAACCACCATCAAACTCGCTGTTGGCGAACCAGATGCGACCATGATTCCATACGATTTGTTGTCCAAGGCAACGCACGAGTTATTCAATGACAAAATCAGTACACAACAAAGTACACATTGGGTCTATGCAGAAGATGAAGGTAATCCCGATTTACGTCATCATATCGTCAATTTTCTTCATCATACATGTCGAATCGCGACATTAAGTTATGAAAATATTTTCATCACCAATGGCGTCTCGGCTATTCTCGATCAACTTTGTACAATGTTTCTTCGAGCCGGTGATACTGTACTTGTCGAATGTCCATCCTATCTCTATGCATTATCGATTTTCCGTGATCATCATTTGCATATCATATCTTATGAAACCGATGACGACGGAATGATTATTGATTCGAAATTTATTACCGATGTGCTTGAACGCGCTAAACCAAAAATGATTTATGTGGTGCCAACGTTTCAAAATCCAAGTGGTTTTACAATGTCGCATCATCGTCGTGAACTATTAGTTCAACTAAGTTTGAAATATCACTTCTTAATCGTTGCCGATGAAGTCTATCATTTTCTCGATTATTCAAAAAAAGAGCCGAACGGTAATGGTCATCATTACAATGAGAAACTCGTCGAACATCCGAAATCATTCGCTGCATATCATGCAGCAGGAACTGTGATAGCACTACAATCATTTTCCAAACTTCTCACACCCTCGTTACGATTAGGTTTCGCGTGTGCTAGTCATGAACACGTTAATGCCATGGCTCGTTATGGTTTAATTCACAGTGGTGGTGGCGCAAGTGCTTTTACATCTGGTATTGTCGATCGAATCTTAGTTCAAGGTTCATTGAAACGTTTTATCGATGAAAAATTATGTGTTGAATACAGCAAGCGAATGAATGTTATGTACGATGAATTGATGCGAACATTCGGTGAACAGTACATCACATGTCGACGACCAACGGGCGGTTATTTTCTATGGGTGAAGTTTAATGACACAGCGATTGATTGTGATCAATTATTAGTTATTGCTCAAAAGCATGGTGTTTCATTTAAACCGGGCCGATTATTTGCTCATGATCCAGAATCAAAAGCACGTTTAGCGAATTGTCTTCGACTTTGTATTGCAATTGCTGACTGTGATCAATTACGTGAAGGATGTTTGCGATTAAAGCAAGCATTCGAAGAATATAAAAACGTCGTTTTATATTAATTTGTTGACGCAATGCGAACAGAGCAGATAGATTTTCTTTTAAAAAAAAGTTCATCATATGCATATTTCCGCAATAAAAAAAAAGTCCGAACGTTTTATTTCTGAATGAAAATACACAGATTTATTTGAATCGTATAGTGACACATGAAAGAAACGTTTACATATGAACAATTATCTGCAACTACTGTGCGAGGCTAATTCAATACTTGAAAATTTCGGGTCGATGAATATTGAGGATGTTTCCGTTGGACTATGAACAACTATTTGACGAATATGCGTGTCTCGGCCACTTTGATGGTTAGCGAGGACTGCGATTTGAATCATCCAGGTTTTAATTGGATTCGAACGTGCATCACGAGTGGGAACAATCACCCAGCCAGCGGGTTCGTGAATTTCGAAACATCGTAGTTCGACAAGATTGTTATGATTAATTCCTGTTCGAATGGATATTCTACAAGAATGAAGAAGTTCAACTTCGAACTAGATCTTGAAGATGTATGTTTACTTCTGAGGTGTGTAACTTTCATCGACTTTGAAATCCGAGAAAATGCACAAATCTTTGATTTTAGTTTTCTGTTTAAATTGAATGTTGACTAGGTGTGGTTGAGGACCATCAGATTGCCAATAAGTTTCGAGATTATCATCTAGTAGTTTATCAACACCGTGTCCTAAAACGATCACGTTAATCAGAAAATGTCGAACGAACATTGCGAGCGTACATACCTGGTTTACATGATGATACATGCCAGTACGCTTGTTTAGTTATATTCTGCACGATGCCCTTGCGTTCATCTTCAGTCGGATCTATTTCTCGATTGTTTTTACTGACACGAATCGGAACTGTACATATACCTGTTGTCATACTGGAATAGATTTGGAGTGAAAGAGAAGATTTTTTTGAAAGAAAAATATATCCGACGAATCGTTACCAATGTGAAATAACCAATGTAGTTATTTCTTCCGATAGCTGTCACTAATAAAAACCCATCTATGTTTAGTGATAACAGCACGATTACTTCTATTTATTTCGTGTTTTATTACAGCTATCAAGCTGACTGACAAAGTTCGAATAGTAGAAGGAATGATTTTCACGACCCCAGATGCTTTCGACATAAGGAGAAGCATTGAAAGACTCGACATATGGATAGTTTCTTTGTTAAAAACAATACACATGACTTCGTTTGATTCGTTCTGCAAGGAATAACTTGAAATCATTTCGAATTTTAGAATGGTTGATCGAGATGGTAAAAAACCGTTTGTTATTCCGAAAACGCATACATCCAATCAAGGTAGGACAATCCACTTTGATAAACGATGATTACATTCTTCTGTATAGATGTACTACTCTCAGAAAAGTCCGATAGTCGCAACGTGAAAGAATTGTTTCATGAAATCAAATCTTGTGCGCTGGAAACTCATTTTGACTTTCGAGAAAATGAATGTCAATCATGTGATATGATACGAAATTCCAAACTACAAAAACTATTTAAGTACGTTAACTTACACGAGCACTAAGTTATGATTTGTATTGACTGAAATCTAGTGAAAGGAAGATTCGAATGAAAAAATCTCAAGATCAAATCGAACGGTATGCTTTTCATCTTGTTTTAACGCGCGATATGGCGACGAAGATCGCCACTGATGGTATATTATGTGGAGAATTAACATTTTCAATTGATAAATATCTCGGTATGCGTGTAGAATTGATTTTGATGAACTAAATTAACAATATTCTCCAATAGGTAATCCAAAAGATGGAATTCATTTATCTCGACGTCCAGACATTCTTCTAGCCTCGACTAATTCACAAAATCTTCGCAAATTCGGTCTGTTAATTTGTAAAGTTCGTATTTGAGAACATGAATTCTTTCCAACAGACAAACTCTCTTGCAGATACTCTTGGGCAAAGGCTATCCAACTGTACCAGCTACAGCGAACAAAGATCTCTCTGCCCAGTTACATCATGATCATCATTTTTGTAAAATTCAGACACTGAACAAAGAACAACGGAATATCGATGATTTATTAGCAAGTTCTCTAGTAAGTTTTTTAGTGTGATTCGGATTATCTTCACCTGTTGTGCGTGAAAACAAGAACATCCTGGAACAGATGCATTTTGACAATGATACCGTGTTTGATCATAAGATTTATCCTATTATATTAATAGGTTTTCTGTTATGAACATAATGATATGGAACCAATGACTCGGCCATCTCAGGTACTTCCTCTCGCTATTTTGTGGTATGATTTAACTGAAAAATTCTCGTGTGAACTCGTCCCCGCACTCAAACAACCTCAGCAGCGACACATCAAACCACTTCAACAAGTCAATTCGTATCGAATGAAACGAACAGTTGAGCTCATATCGAAACCAGTGGTTCCACTCAAAACAGATATTCAAAATGAACCGAGTGTAACTTCGTCAATTATAAAAACTAATGAAACTACACCCACAAAATACTCAAATGAATCAATGATTTCATATTCTTCACTCTACACATCATTTAGTACAACACGAACAACTACTACTCCCGTCGAAATTGTTCCACTGTCTCCTCTCGAAAAGTCCACATCATCAAAGCAACGCTTAGCTGAAAAAATCATTCCTTTGACTCCAGCTAATCCATCGATTGACCCGCGTTTAAAATCCTTAAAACAAACGCATGACGTGTTCTATTTGGAAAATACCGCTGTTAAACGAGCTTTACAACAGCAGAAGCGTTTGAACAACTACTGTGATACAAGAAATGAGCTATTAACCAAACGAACGAGTTACACATTGATTCCCTATGTAGTTCAACCGATGTGTATAAATGAATACGAACGTCAGCGAGAGAATTCGCTGACCAAAGATGACTTCTCACTTCATGTTTCAGTAGTTGATTGTTTTCAATTGGGTTTGAAACGATCCGACACGCAATCGCATATCGATCTAGAAGATACGACGAATCAGTTTGCTTATGAACAAATTCAAATGTCGAATCGATTGATCGAACATGAAAAATACTTGAATTCTCAAGAGAGACGTTTGAATTTACGTGAGCGACGACAGAGAAAATTTCAAGAGTATCTGAACGAACGAAAGAAATATGAATTACCCAATTCTCGAATATGCATTAATAACGGTCGAAAGTTATTGAAAGAACGGCAAGTGATTTCATCGTCGAATACTCATCTATCAAGTGATTTATTGGATTTTCTTTGCAATGAGTATCGACAAGAGACCCGACCACAAGTCAAACGTATTCTAGAAGAACTTTCCGGTATTCTTATGGAAAAATACGGATTAGACGATCCGAAATCAAATCAAACAGCCAGTGGTCAGCAAGGTAGGACTTTTGTCTTTACGTTTCTTCATTCGTGTCGTTCATTGTAATTCTCATAGTCAATACTCAATCAAACAGTGATATCGTGAATAATGACAACGATATTTCATTGACTCAGGCATTAAACGACTATGACGAGCGATTTCCTTCAGAAAAACCAGTACCGATCGAATCTCTTGACAATCGAGCAAATATCTCTTCGTCTTCGGCTGATATTAATGAATCTTCTACTCAGGAAAACTCTCAAACTGAATTGTTACCAGCGGAAGTCAATCTTCCAATCAAAGATCCTTCTTTTCAACAAATCGAAGCAACAGCCAATGATATTCCTCCAATGATCGATTCCAACTCCACTTTCGATCAATCACGGGAAGAATTTGTGAATTTATTAACTAAAGAAGCTTCTTTATCGAAATCACTAAGTCCTTCATATCGACACTCTATGGACGACGATATGGAAATAGATACAAATAACTTCCAACCGTCTACACGAACAGTTACTTTGGTATCTAACAATAATGATGATAAGCTGTTTATTGAAACGACAAATACCAATGGAGACGAAGAGCAACAGCAGCCGATAGTTAAACGCATCAAAGTCGATTTAGTTCCGATATCAAACGAAGGTGAGAGATCTCTTCTTTCTACGCTTCTTTAGCTTGTTTCTTCCATAGATATCAATCCTCGTCGAGTCATAACTTGTGATAGTTACGAAACGAATCTCAGTTTTTCACGTTCTCGTTCGAAATCCAATAGCTCACGTGGTTCTTCCATACAGGATTCTCGAACAAACTCACCTTCATCAATAATAAATCGAAATTCATCGAATAGAAATGACTATCAACGAAGAAATCGATCATATGATCGATCCTTCCATTACAACCAACGAAAGTGTAATCCAACCACGATGTCGTTAGGTCATCAACGATTCAATTATAATCATCAGTCAGCAGCTGACCATCCACGTTTTGCTAACAGTGTCGATAAAATACCATCCTTACTCGACATAAATGAGCATGACCTTATAAGAATCGCAAACAATCCATCAATAACAAATTTTAATCAGAAGTAAAGTTTCAGTGTCATTTCGATTCTCTCTCTATTTTCTTTCTTTAGTTTGGCGCCTTCCTACTACGATACACCACCTTCAAATCAACTATTTTATCAAGATACTATTGTGCCACCACCACCTCCACCTCCACCACCACCACTCATGTCAACTGTTCCACTCTTTCCAAATGCATACGAACAGTCGGACACGATCGAACGCTTACAAACACTTCTCCAGTATAGAGAATCCATGATTCAACAGGATCTGCCATTCTCATCATCAACGTTTGTGAACAATTCTCAACCTGGAAGGAATCTTCCTCAATGGTCTTCAAGTCAGTTTTCTTCGAATACAACTTTACAAAACAACCAAACATTTCCCCATACCGATGCCGAACATCTCTTAGCACTTATAAAACGATTTTCGTAATGAAAAATTCTCGATTTCCGCTTCGCTGAATTACAGATCTTCATACTTGAAAAGTCAATGTAGTTTTTTTCTTCTCTCTTGTCAGCAAATTGAATGGCTTTTGTTTTTCTTTCTTGATTTACCATGTAAATAAACAGATCAACGAAAATATCTTCATTTATTTCGGAAAAATTCGTTCACTGTACAACGGTTTCGAATTCAAATAACTCGGATAGACAATCGACAATTGGTGTGAAGGTACACAATAAAAAAGCTGATGTATTTCATGCGTTCTGTCATACAAAATACACTTTCGTGTTTGAAAAGCACGCGTCGATGGATTCACAATGGAAATGTCGAAAATAAAGCCAGGTTTGACTGGTTCGAAAGCTAATCGAACAGTTTTATGCAGATGTTTGAGCAGATGAGTCGCATCCACACTACTAATCCACAGACGAAACGTATTCAGATTTGGATATTGACTAGGTTTCAAAACTTTTTCAAGATATTGAATAGTCGTTCGGTTCAAATGACAGTTGAGTGATAGAATTTCGATGATTTCCAATGAATGAAAGCGATCGATAAGTATCGGTGTTAATTGAAATTCGTTTTCACTCAAGAATACCAATCGCTTTAGATTATTCGGACGATTTATTGAATAGAATCGAGCTAATTTTGAATGAAAGGCTAACGGTAATTTCACATCGAAGATCAACGTTTCCAAATGATTGTTCTCTTGTAGATTGAGATCATCGATATTCATTTCATAATTCGGCATTCTCATGCTAAAATGATGCAGATCTAATGCTTGCAACACTGTTCGAATAATCCGACGAATGAATACTTCATAATGAAAGGACGATTCATTGGTTTTCAGATGTTGATGAATGGATGAATGACGAATCGAATGATGTTTGTGCTGATTGAAGAAGATTGAACACGGTTCCTTCAGGTTCGTCAGATGACAAACAAGATTGAGAGAAAGAAGATTGCGATTTAAAGAATGTATTTCATATGGATCAGATGTCGACTGACAATGACATTCGTATTGATCGAGGTAGAAAAGTAAACATGGTGAAAGACTTAGTGTTCGAAGGAGAGATAAGGAATTGAAAATGTGATTCAAATCAATCGAATGATAATGAATACCAGTCAGATTTAAATTAGTCAATTTAATCAGCCAAGAATAATCTAATGGTAGTTGAAAGATCGTGGCTTCAGTATCATCAATAAATTCCAGAAGAAAGTCATCGATAACATCGTTTGATTTGACGCTGTGATCTTCACTGATCATATTTTCATCTTCGGATGTATTTATCGGATCAAAGCAATTCTCGAATATTGAAGTAAATTGTGCTGCTGCCGAATTCTTTTCTTGATTTTTCCATCGAATAACAAATCTTACAGATTGCCATTCATTTAAATTCAAAGTTAAATCTTGTAATGAATGAGAACGATGATGGCATATCAGCAATTCATCAAGACGTGTTAATTCGTCTCGATTTTTCGAATTAACATAACCTATATCCAATAATTTCAATTGATTCAGCTCAATTGTCTCCCACGTCAATGGTACACACGGTAAAACTAAACTTTCCAGTTGCCACTTCTCTTGACTAGAATCAGTAATGGCGAGTTTTAGATTTCCGCTTAGCATCCATCGAAAAGAGATAATCAAATGTTTGATTGTATTGTTTAGAAATAAATCTATCGAACCGGTATATGTTCTGTCGGAAGAATCGTTTGATGGGAATCGATCTTTGATATCGTGTCCATTCTCTTCGATTGAAATTAACGTGCAATTGTTTATTCTCCTCGAGATAAATTCACAAGCCAAACGAAAATTAGTTCGTGCACTGAGATCAGATAGACATCCACCTAGAAAACAAAGCGACTCACTCGGGAAAAATCCATGAAAATCTACCTTTTTTGTCTTGTAATACTAATACAATGTGCTCGAGATGTTGCATTTCATTCAATGTTGTACATATACTATGAAATGTCTCATCTGTGTTGGTGCTCTGACGAGTGGTTAAACATGATTCCATTGAATCATCCACAGATATGAGTAAAGTAAGATATTTTACAAAAGGAAAAAAATTCTTCACATCATTGATTAATGTACTCTTGGACAATGCAACATTTCCAGTATGGAAGGAGACTAATAGGCGAAAATGAGAAAGTAAATGACGAATATCAACAACAACCATCCAATTGAGATTATCAAGACGAAGATCGACACAATACATGGAAATTTGTTTAATAAACGAGTATAATATTGCCTTATTATGCAACGATGATAATCGAATACGGCTAAACGAAATAAAAAGAAGATTTTTCTCTAGATCCAACGTTGGAGAAAGCCAAACTTACATCCAAAAAGCACGTAGATTCATTATTGTTGGTAAGTCATAATTCAACGCAAGAAGAAGATGCCACATATCGATAGATGATGAACATTTCGATCGAATAACGTACAGTACATCTTCATTCAAGGATAAAACCGTTGTCATCTAGAAAATGACCCAATCATGCAGAAACACATCTTCGTCTCTTAATGATGAACAGAGATTTTCTATCTTTCGATGAAAACCTGGCACACACCAACCAAGGATGAAGAGCAAACCCATTGGTTAAACCAATTTCCAACGAGTACAGTCTCGGATGATGTCGTTTCGTTTGCACTTAGTTTTCTTGTCTTACATATCCTATCGAAACATTGGAATTGTTTGCTAAAATCGTACGATTGCGTCGAAACAAAAGAACGTCTATTTGTAGAGGAAACAATTTGTATTTCGACCTTTTGTTCACTGGATGAAATCACCTTCATCAACTCTCTTTCCGCCGAATGAATCAAACAATTTTTATTCAATTCAATCAATAAATGTTCTCATTAATCACTATTTCCAACAAGAACTTCTGCTTGACATCCTCCAAATCAACGTGTTTCATTTGACAATGAAAAGAACAGTTCAATCGTTTCTTCACCTAGACTCCAAAGAAAACAACTGTTAATCAATAGAGCCCATAAATCTTTTAAACATATATATTTATATATAAATACTTCACAAATGCATCTATACTACTTCAAACAGCATTTTGTTTTCATTTCTGCCAAGGTTATTCAAAACAACACACACACAGGTAAATAGAAAGATTTCTCAATCAATGTATTTAACTGATCCCATTCTCATCTTGTACATGTTCAATGCATTGCAATTGTTGAGTACCATTTGCAATTATTATATGATTTGTCTTATGTAATGTTAATGCACGCCCCAGCCGATATAATTTCACGTATTCTTTGCGTCCGCAAGGATCGACAATCCAGAGTTTTTTCTTTCCATTCGTAATAAAAACTAATCCATCTCGATTATGACGAATTTCGTGATCGATATCGCATTCACCCAATTGTATCGTACAGATTTCACGAAGATCTTTAATATCACAAAATGTTAAATGGAAAAATTTGCTTGCACACATCGAATCGGATGTTTTCTTAAATTGAAATAACGTTGCAAGAATATTCGCATGTACAGAAAATGTTGTACTATTGTCCAGAAAGCGTGGATAGTTCTTCAAATCAAAGATTTTTATACATTCGAATGTCCGAGGTGAATAAGTACGCAATTGACTTGTACGTGGAGTATCCGACCAAAGCCATAGAGATTTTTCGTCCGCTGAGATCCGCACATAAGACCATAATTGAACTATTTGCATTTGGATATCTATGGTTGTTGAATCTTTAATCGTACATGTGTAAATACCAGTTTTTGTTGCACAAATGAATTGAGACGTGGTAGAACAGTAGATCAAATCGATTATCGATTGATAAGGCCATCGACATGAGATTTCTTCGGTTATGGACGTTCCATTCGCTTGTCGAGTGGAAACGATATTTGTGATATAACATATCGATTTCGATGTGTCTGAATAATAGAGAAGATTCTCTCCGTCGCTCGCAATTCGATCGACTTCATTTTGCGTAAATATAGTTCCTTGTTGAGTGAAACGTCTGCTTAGATAATTCTGACTGGTGACTTGATCAGTTTCGTCTTCATCGTCTGTATCTAAACTTGTATCGACAATTGGATCAGTTTGTATCTGCTTATTGGTGTGAACATGTTCGATGAAGTCTTCGACCTCGGTTTCTACAGCGATTTTGTCATTGTGCAAATCTTCATCTTTGCCATAGGAACATCGCGTCGACATGATTTTACCCGGATAAGTATGAGAGAATTTATTTGGAGATGAATAGGTATTTAAAAGTAATTGACATTGTAAATCAAGGTTGTTTCGTGGATACGTCGACATTTTGATTTGTAAATTTGGCGAAGAGAAGATCTCCAACCGATTCTCGATATCATTCATTTGTTTCTGTTGAGATTCGAGCTCCAGCATGACATTCTTCGATACGCCATCCCGCGACCAGTTCTGTTGCGCTTTCGTAATGATTGGTAACAAATTTGCCATTAAATCCGACATGACCGTCTAGGAAAGGTTGACAATAGAATACTTGTTGAATTTCATCGAACTTACGTCGGCATCGTTGAATTGTTTACGAACGTAATTGATACTTTCATATCGAAGGTTTTCAAGATCATGAAGTGCTTCATCGAAAACAGCATTGACGCTCCGTATGCAATTATCTTGAAATTGTTGCAGAAATTTTCGCTTATCATCGAACAGATTTGCTAATTGTGAGAAGCGCTTTTGTAACTGAGTGTATTCTCCCACAAGTTGACTTGTGTGTCTTTCAAAACAGTCGTAACACATTGCTAAACTACAATGATTACAATTGAAACACGCTAAACATGGAGTTTTAGTTCCCAGGTTCGTTGTTGAACATATTTGGCAGTAATGTTCGTCAAGTAAAGGTATTTTCGGTCGAGAACTCATGATTGCGGTGTTTTGTTCTTCGAAGATTCTGTTGAATGGTTAATAAGCAAAAATATGTCTCTCGTCGTTGTCGCCGCTACAACTACTGTCGTTTTTTTTTCTTTTTCTACGTTTAACTACATGTTTGATTAACGTCGTGAGGAATCGTAGAAGAATCATCGGCAATGTAGTAACAATCAACAATCTTCTCTCTCTTTCTCTTTCTCTCTCTCTCTCTCTCTCTCAATTTCTTCTCGTATTAAACAATGTCTAATTGTTCAATTAACTACAAGAATTCCATGAATTATTCAAACGACATTGAACATTGATGTTGTTAACTTTACAGTACATGCAATCCTGATATAAATATATAATTAATAAAAAAGTTTCAAGGTTTTTTTTTACACTATTTAAAGAAGATCGAGTGAACTATTGTTGTCGGAAAAGAAATGACTTCGTCAGAAAAATAAATCAGTGTCTTTCATAGTTACGCAAACAACTGATCAGTAGTTCAGTCGCGAAATGGCATCTCGCAATGGAATTGCGCTCATTGATAGATGAAATTAAATGCGCCAAGTGAGTTGTTGAACATGAAAAGAAAAGATTCGAATACAACAGAAAACAATCGAATAAATACGAATATTTATTACATAGAACTGTCTAAATACAACAATGAAAACAAAACAAAACAACATGAGATGAAAATATGTTTTATCTTGTGTTTTTTTCATAAGTCACAACAATAAAAGAGAGAGTAAAATAATGAAACAACAAAAGTTCATTCGAAAAATAAATTGCTTGAGAAACCGGAATAAGGAGACGAACGTTTGCTTTTACTTTAATCATCAGACAACGAGGAATATGTACGTTATTGTTATTATCTTCTATTTATTTATTCATCTGACTATTTTGTTTCTTGTCCTTCTAATTGCTTCAATTCCTGTAAAACAGGAATGCTTGTCAACATATCTGAATCAATTTTATTCCAATAGACGCGTTCAGGACGTTGAAATAACCGTTTGGTGTAAATATATCGTTTCGGCGTCACAATAATGTCAACAGGTAAGTCATGTTCTTCCATGATTTCATTCGGTAAATCGTTTATCAATTGACTTTCATGACATGTTGTTATAACAACCGTTTTCTTATTCACACAACCCATTTGAGACATAATTCCGTATTCGAGATCGGCGTAGCCTTTACCTTTGCCAATACGTGCACCAGTGATTGGATTGACAGCAACTGATGCAACGATAATGATATCGACATGAATTTGCTTTAATGCTGTGAGTTGAAGTGCAGTGCCCAGCTCTGCAGCACCGGTTTTCGTTGCTGCCCATTCCAATTGATTTCGACGTAGGAATTTTGGATCTAACTTGTAGAAAAGTACGGATTCTAGAAAAAGGACGAAAAAGAGAAATTGATTGATGATTTGTGAGAGAGTATGAACGAACCGAGCGCTGGCGTTGGTGTTAATAAAACTTTGTTATAAGTCAATGCTAAGTAACGAAGCGGTTCCTGAGCAAGTGATGGATTGATTTTAATAACACGTGCTCGATGAAAGCATTCTAAACTAGTGACATTTTCAGCTGCTAATTCACAATAACGAAAGTTCGGTATCCGACCATGCGACGGACGTGGGAAGCGTACTTCATTTCTAAACGTGTAGAGACAAACGTCAGTAGTTAGATAAGAAGGAGTACAGAGCTATACTTTATTTCCATCAAATCCCAAACCAATTGTCGTGCTTTGCCTTTGATTTGTTGAATGTTTGTCAGCGATGGTTTATCAGATTTGGGCTCATTTCGTTCTTTTAACCAGAGATCCATTTTAATAAGAATCTCATGAATATTTCTACTTTTAAGTATGTGATTGCATGTGATTAAACCATCAATTATGTCTCGAATGCACATCCATTGATGGACATATTGTCGATGTTGATGACGAGCTTTGACGTTACGTGATTTTTTCTTCTCATCGTCTGCACTCGCAGGTTTGTCTGTCTGAGAGTCTTCGTCGATTTGTAAACTTGAATAACCAATAGCATTACACAGAACTGATGGATTATGACCAACATTCAAAGCGCAAACTATGAGAAAAAGAAGTTCCTCATAAAATGCATCTACAACTGCGTCTTACCGCATAGATCCGATGTTGGACCAGTTGAATAGAACATACATTTATGCTTGAAATCTAGCTTTTCTTCGATCATTGACAATAATGGATCGGTTGAATTATTAATTCCTGCTGCTGTCGAACAAGACAAAGCACGGCGACTAGTTTGTTCTTGACTATCTGATGACGAGAGACTTGCATCGTTTGTTATCGAACCGGTCGATACAATACTGGGTGAGTTGTTCGTAGTTATTTGTTTTAACATCATTGGCCGATCGATACCGAGCAGACCACAAAGAAAATCGGATGAACGAATGATTTCACAAACTGTTCTTTGCGAACCGTGTTTGGAAATTTCGACTTCGAATGGTGAAAGAAAATACCGGTCGCGTTTACGAGTGAAGTTATAGTAAAGTAACATATGAGGGAACTCTTCGATCATCGTCACCGGAAAAAACATTAACTTCATGTTGGACGAGTCGAGTGAAAGAGGATACGACGATGCGGAATGAATTTTAACTGTTCATATCTAAAAACAAGAAAATAAAATCATGATTATCTGTGTTTTGCTCCTGGAGAGCTGTACCGACCCGTTTTCACAATAAGAAATAAAACTAGAGTATACATGAAATAAAAATACATATTATATATATATATAAGAAAACGCATGAGGAAAGAAAGAAGAAGCACCAAACTATCTCTTTTTTTATCATTCAATAAACACAGAAAATGTTCTTCTCACAATAAAAAAACTAACTGTTAGATTCGTTGCTTATGAATATATATAATTGAATATTACACATTTACATGTTATGTTATAGATGATGGAATGAGAAGAATTTGACAGGAAGGAAAGAAAACTATACATTGATTGATTGATTACCCGTTAAAAAGTAGACAAGTCTTTGAAGTTCGTTTAGTAAAGGTTGACTTAAGCCTAATTGAGAGAAATTCAATTGATTGAAATTATCGATATGCAAAATCAATTCGAGTAGACAGCGTTCTTTCAGTGTTAATATCCATCGAGATTGTTCTAAGTGAAGTTTTGTACACAAATGAACAAGATCATCGATTCGGATTGACGGGATTTGGACTTTGAGAATGTTCAATCGTGGTTTATTCAAACACATGTTTGACGAACAGAATGCATAGAATGGATGGGTGATCAGGGATTGCAAATCAAGACGTTTATCCGATTGAAATTGAAACATTTGTTTTAATAAATCGTAGAGATGATCTTTTCGACTATAATCATTCACATGATTGGCATATTGATGAAATATCTGTCTCAATAACCGATTTAAGCGTTGTTGATGACTATCACATCTTATATTTGAAAATAACTGTTTGACATGTGCTGGAAAACAATCAATTAATGATGTTGTTAAACCACCAACAAATTGTACAATACAAAGTAATTGTAATGCAGGACCATCATTTGGCGGACGAAATAGGATCGTATTGATCATCATTTCCACCATGATGCAAGCAATTGACCAAACATCTTCTTTGGAATTATCAAACGATCCGATACTGAAAAAAAAGAGAGAAGAAATGGTGAGAAGGTTGGTAATTCGGAAGTGCGTAAGCGACTGTTGACATCCGGTCGTGCCATGAAGATTCATGTGTAGGCGTCGTCTAGTCATATTCAACGAAAGTTTCCGAGAAATGCTTAGCACGTTATGTTTAATCTATTTGTTCCAAAACTATCCTTGATGAATTCGAACAAGTGTTTGTTTTCATGCTACATCATCTCGGAGTGTCTCGTTGACTTTTGTTTAGAAAAATACAAATAAATGAACAAGTCTTTTGTATTAGTACTTCATGTGTAATGTTATTTTTTGCCTGGAGTCACTGGTGCTATTTGTGCAAAAAAGAAATCTCCTTGAGTTGCGACGAAAAATAGAAAATACTTTTGAGACTATCATCAAGGACGAAATTAACATTGTTTTTCAAGAAAACTTACTTGACATGAGATTCGCTCTCAATTATCATTCGAATTAAACTTTCTGGTGCATGTCTCCAGAGATGATGATGATGAACAATGCCACCATTTAATTTAGTTGTCGATATCGTTGGCGAACACAAGAGTATTCGATCATCACGCGTCAATTCAATGTTTGTCGTATACCTAAATGAGAATTGTTTGAAGATTATATCGAAAGAATGACAATTTACCATGGTGTCAACGGACAAAGACCTTTGGATTGTAAGTAGATCGTTCCGTTGATGATTTGGGATGACAAACGAGCAATTCGTTCCAGTGAAAATGTTTCGGATTGAATTGCATGACGTAAAGTACCTTGGATGAGGGCAGTTATTGAATAAAGACAAGCATCAGCAATATACCAAGATAGAATTCGACGAACATTCGGATGTGATAAATGACTGGTGAGAAGAATGCGTTCATATAAATGATTTATATACTGTTGAGTGCTTGTTTTTGATTTTAAACACAGATATTTCGTTATATGCACAGGTTGTTTCAGTACAGGATCAATTGCATTGATCGATGGACTATCAATACCACCTACGACGAACAGCAATAGACAAAGTTTTTCATTTAGTAGTTCGAAGCAAGTTTCTACCGTGAAATAAAGAACCGGATGTTAAATCTTGTCGAGTGATGAACTCTCGAGGAATTGTAAATGCTAAATTGGTATCATTTTCATGATGATCAGTATCTTGTTGTTGTTCAACAACGGAGTATTGCTTAAAACGCGATGGCCTGAGAAACAAAAGAAAATTCTTGTCAGATGAACAGTTCGTTTCAAGGCACGATGGATGTTTATCAAGAACACAGCACGAAATACGTGAGACTATGAATCAGTCGTCAGAAATATGCGACTTACCACATGATAAGACGAATAGAAATAATCACATGTTAACCATCGATTGCGCAAATCTACAAGTATTGAAAAAGATGCGTATTTAGTATTTTTTTTCTTCGAATCAAATTTGACATAACTTTCTAAGCACGAAAATCTATTCGGAAGTTATTAACCATTGACTATCCTTCGACTCGAGATTAAAACAAAGGAAAATCGAAAGGATCACGAATGTTTTTTTTTATTAAAGAGAAAAATGAACGCGCAAGGCTGTGTAGAGGTATGAAAAAGGGCTACAAATGAATTCAATCAAGAAGAAGAAGAAGAAGAAGAAGAGCAATCTACATACAGTGACATTACGGATGATGAGTAAAGGCAGTGTATAATATCTGTGTTAAAAATGGAAAAATAGCGATAAGTTACGCAAACAAGAACAATGATATGAGAAGATGAATAGACGGCAGGTTGATCTGATGTTTTCGTTTTCTACAAATTGTATGAATATGTTGGAAAAGAATTCAATAAATAAAATGATATTCTTAATGGACATCGACACTGTTCGAGAAGTACGAGATACAATTATACACAAATTTATACACAAAACCTACAACATCAATTACGTAAATGTCTAGATAACAGAAGAAACATTGAAGGGAAAGACTCTACTCATTTATTTTGGTTGCACAAACTATGAAACGGAACACATTTTCTTCTTTGATATTTCTTGTTTCGATAACCGGAACACAAAAAATTTACAGTCAATAGACCACAATGGCAAAAAAAAATAAGGATAGTATGCTGTGCAACGGTCAAGAATAAAATATATATATGTATATTATAATTGAGAGTTCTATAATGAGATAATTGCATCTAGATGAATATTCAAACACGCACGAGAGAAGATCTTCTATACACAAAGAAAACAGGTGATAATAGTGTGAGAAACAAAGAAAAGCGATGGTTATAACATGTTTGCTGAAGATGAGTCAGATCTAATTTCGTTGTGGAACTGGTGGACGCTCGAATGGTCGTGGTGGAATGGATGGTGTTGGTCGACTAGAACAAACAACGAAAAACATGAGTGAGTATTTTCTCACAGATTCGATGACAAAAAGAAAGCATTTTTATGAACACAGACAACGGTTGCAATGACTTACATCGGCGAAATAGGCGGTGGCAAGCCCCCAGGTTGTGGGCTTGCTCTGCCTTGCTGATTCATAACCGGTCTGTAAAAAGAAGAGAAGCATTGGCATACTAGGCATTTTGTTAGTAGAAGCGAACACATGCAAATTAGTAAAAGAGAAAAATCAATCCGTGCAAAGTATGATTAGTTCATAGCGAGCGGTGAATTTTATTGGTTCAATCGACACTTACGCTGGTACGGGAGGGTTGGATGTACCATTTTGGTACTGTGATGTAGGTGTAGCAAACGGATCTAATCCGTGAAACATGTTAGATGATGATTGCGATGAAGATGAGTTCATCGATGATGACTGAGCCCGTCTATAGAAGATTCGATATTTACGAAACAACATCAAACAAAATTGAAAAAAGAAAATTAGATGAGCAGAAATTAAGGATGATTAGCATGACTAGCTTTTACAATCGCTCATAGTCAATATTATAGCCTAGCCCGGTGACACTCACGCTACTTGTCTTGCCAATTTATCATTTAATTCCGAGAATAAGTTATTAGACGATGATGGCGTTGCTTGTAATTTATGTAATGACGTGGGCCTGATAGGAAGGTGGGAGAAATATAAAACTCAGTCATACACAGAAACATGTACGTACGATACAAGGAAAACAACAGACAAGGCTGATAGAAAGAAACTTACTGAGGCATGATTGGTGCTGGTAATGTTGAAGAATTACTACCAAATCCACTTGGTATCGGACTCGGACGAAGTGGAGGCGGTGGTGGTTCACGTGATGAAAATGCTGTAGGCGTTGGATTAGGTGGTGCCGGTTGTTTGCGTGATGGATTCGGACTGGGCGGACGATTTCTAAACAACAAATTGGTTAAGTTCAAGATTGTATTGTATGTATTATTTGTTTTACATACGTTGCAAATGACGATTGAAAATAGGATGTGTCCAGAGAGTTCGATGAAAAGTTTGATGCTCCATAATTATTCGTAGGAGCTGAGGAGGCACTTGAAAAACCTGCCGCTAATACCGAAGCTGGCATAACTGAGCCAGCTACTTTGCGTGCATTGATATGGAAGTTTTCAATAATAGTCAACGCCTAAAAATATTCTCTTATAGATGAACTCTCATCTATACGATTACATTCAACATACACTCTTGATGGCTTCAAATTCTGCAAGTTTCGCTTCTCGTCGTTGTCGTTCTTCTTCTGATTCTTGCAACAATGATTTCTGCAAATAAATATACAATAGGTACATTGAATCTATTTCGAATCATTTCTTACTGGATCGGGGAGTGCGTAGAGATGAGCCAATAATTCTTTCGCAACGAATTTTTGTATCTAAAATGTACTCAAAATCAAACAACGAACAGACGGCGAAGTTCTCAACTAACGTTTTGAACAATATGAAACATAATTGTTTTCGGAATGTAATCGCGTGTCATTTTAGCAATAATTTGCATATATGATGTTACTAATTTATTGATTGTTTCTACTTGCCGTTCCATATGTGGGTCAACAGGACCGACTTCAGCTGCAGACTAGAAAAACGTTTCAATTCAAGGAAAAAGTCATGCATACATTCCTAGCTAATCTTACTTGAGAGTCTTCATGAGGTTGTTCACGTTCAGGATAGACACCAGCACGTAAAAATGAGGCTTTCCATGTGTCGAGCTCTTCGGTATTATCGACGGATAATTCAAGAGTTTTATGTTCTTTATATACATTTCTGAAAGAAGAAATATGATGTATTGGAAATGACTACTGGAAATCAATGTACTTCGAATCAGTATTGAATATTGCGAATTGTGGTCGTTTAGCCATGAATCCACCTTCGACATCACGAATCTTCAAATTTTCTAACGGTAACATATATTTCTTTTCTTTTTCCTATTCAAAACAGAAGAGTCGAATATTCAATTGATTCTTTCATACATCATACATCAGAGTCTGTAAACCAAGATAGATTATCGGTTGAGAGAACAAAAAAGTAGTCTTTTGCTTGAAATAATTTCACACCAGTATGAACACGAAGAAAACCTTTACGTATAACCTAAATCGAATAATTAGATTACATTAGGAAAAACTAATGAAGAGAATTTTACCTGATTTGTAACAGTTCGCTTGGCTTCACCAGCAGCGACTGATTTTTCCGCACTGAAATCAAAATGAACATTCAATATCATTCAAATTCGTCTCCTATTCTTAAAACTTTTTCTTCCACACATCTCTTTGCACTATTACACCCAACTATCGCTTGACTGATTTTTCTATTCAATCATAGAAATGACATTCTACATCTGGTGTCTATCAACATTCTTCCTTATGTTTATTAGCCACGATATAATTTATCAGTGACAGTATTTTTCAAAAACGACTTGCGTGCATGTTTGATCTTTACAAAATGACATGAATGTAAATAACTATACAGACGCATGCCGAGTCAAATAAAGGTCAAAACTGTGACATCGAGATTTAATATATGAAGAGGAAAAACAGCGAACGTATTTACCCGGCAAATCCAATGAAATCTTCATTATTCGTATTGATATATGATAACTGAGTTTGTACATAAGTTGAACATGCTTGTTTAGTAGCAATTTCACGTTCACGAAGGTATTGAATTAATAAATCTTCAGTAGATTGTCGTAATAATGGATAGCGTTTCATCTTTAAAGAAAATTATTCATAATTGGAATGAAAACAGTGTTGGTTTAGACGTAAAAGGTCTTACTTTACTAGTTGCTTCGTGAATAATAGCCATCAATTCTGATACGACCATATCCACGCATTTCATAACGGGTTCTTCGAATTTTGCGATTTGCATTTGAACAATATATTCGAAAGCTTCATCAGGTGTGAACAAACCCGATCTGAAGGACGAAGACGGATAGTGAAGAATCCACGAGACGAAAGAATCTTACCGAAAACCACGAATATTTTTAATCGCAACTACGGTTTGGTTGCGCATATCTTTGTCTTGTAATTCCGTCTAAATAGCGTTTGATAAAATCATCAACTTCAGATATGTGTGACAACCTACTTTAACTAATTCGAATGGAAAACGTTCACGAAAGATATTAGCAATACGTGCACCACCAGTCAATGTCTTTAGATCTGATTCTTTCAGATGAGTACCTTGTAAAGCTGTATCGAAGTCTTCGCGCAATTCATGTGTTAATCTAAAACAAAGAAAGAACGAGATTATTTAGATTTTATGTGTGAATGATCATTACCCAACGAGAGCTTTTGTGTCCGAGGTTGACGAAGTGTCAAACATAGCTGTTGCACGATATTCTGCCACTTCTTTTGCGAGATCACGATGACGTGCGGTCAATTCTCGTTTTAAATCAGGGAGACATTTGAGAATATGTTCAGTTAATTGTATGCTCAACGTACGTTGTAAAAACGGTACACCCATACGATCAGCAATGTCACTAAACGACGAACGTTTTCATAAAGGAAACAAAAAGCGCTTTCTAGCTTTTGTTACCGGTATGCGGGTTCACTTTGAAAGAACTGTCGTTCATGTTCTAGTGCTCCGGGAATATCTAATTCTTTCGATGCTCGACCATATTCATCAAGGCGTTGACCACGAAGAACAACACCAATAAAGCCTAAATGAATCATTCCCACTCGATGAGTCATTCTCTTATTCACTAAAGTTTACCCCGTTCGAGTACGACAACTTTATTCAAAAGGACGTCACGCGCATTATGTCCTTTACCCATCATATCGAGTTTAGTTAGAACACCAATGGTACGTTTACCCATTGGATCTCGACTACGTGCCATAACTAGAGCATCTGAGGTGACAATATCAATATTTGCAGGTGTTACAGCGAGAATAAGACAATTTTCATTGCTTATGTATTCTATGATGATATCATCGATCTTTTTCACAATATCAGGCGGTTGACCCTGCGATGGAACTTTCACCATGCCTGGTAAATCGACCAGGGTCAGATTAACAACTAAAATTCGAAATTTGAAATGTGCATCAAATTAGAGCTAGTATTGTCACTCATTACCATGTGGTGAGTAAATTGTTAGGTTAATCGGTATGTTCGATACTCCCATATCGTCTCGTACAACAGCTTTTGTATCATTTTCAATTTCAGCTCGTACATCAGCATAGTTGATAAATCTTTGCTGTGGTTTATGTCCAAACACAGCATATTCTAATCGGAGTAGAACAAAGCGATTAAATTCGATCATTTCTTCTCTTATCTACCTTGTCCCTGCGATGTTATCAATTGTAATACAAGCGGTCGTTTTGTAACCATATTTCCACCGCGAGGAAGAAAATCTCTGCAGAACAAAAGCAAAATATGATGGAGAAACAAGTAGTTCGCTTTACCGTCCAACAATATTTTCTAATACAGAACTTTTACCAGCAGATTGAGCACCAACGACTGCTATTTGTGGCAATGTTAATGTCAATCTTGCGTTAACTGCGGTAAATATATGTTGGAGTTGATTGATCATTGGAATTAGCAATTCCATATCTAAACAATGTTCGAAGAGTTGTGGATTAGTTGTGCAATGAATTTCAATATTTACTTGGATTTCCTGCATGAGTCGCCATGGCTAGTTCTAAAAAACAGAGCAATAAATGTCGTCAGTCTTTGCTTTTACTTTTTTAAAAATATTTTTATAAAATTATTCTTTGAGTCAACTCAGTTCGATCGCGATCGATCGAACGAACGAATAATCACTATTCTTCTTTTTCTTCTATCACCGATGATACGAGACTGAGTCAACTGTTATTTATTTGTTTGTTTGTTGTTCTCAATAATGATTACCAATCGAACAAGAGAACGACCTAGATGGCGCTCATTTCAACATAGTCAGAGACAAACTATTCAATTGCGAGATGTTCAAATAGACGTTACCAATAAGCATACATACGTGTGTGCAGGTGATATAACAAAGACGATTAAATGTTCTATTGAAATGCACAAAAAAAGAAGAAATTGAGGTGGGGCAAATGAATCAACACGTCGATTATTACGTTAGATGAAAAAAGGTAACGAAGCACTTCACTTCTGTGTACGAATCGAATCGCTCTTTTTTCTTGCTACCTTTCGTAGAAGAGAGAAAATGTAAATCGGGAATTTGATTCATCGGTTTTGCACGATACGAACGAAAACAACTCGCTCGTCTTTATCGGACGATGAAATAGGTGAAAATATGACTATCGATGAGTAATCGAATTCATCACGAGATTTTTTGTGATTCTATCTCATTTCAAAAAACGTTACTCTTACTCCATTCTCCGTTCTATTGACAAGGGAATTATAAATATAGGATTACAAATCAGCGTTTGATAGTGTATTAGGATGAGCCAACGATTTGATACTCCCAGTGAATTTATTCTTGAAATCATCATAGATAAGTTTGAGATCAATTTACATTGAAATGAGTTGATTTTGAAGAAATCTCTGGGAGAGAATTGTCGTCTTTTCTCCAGAACTCGATCAATCTTGTGATTGTGTTCGTTTTTGTTTTGATGAATATTAGTTCTGGCAGTTTCGGTTAATTTAATTAAGAAGAAACTCTGATAAAACATTTCAATTGATTGACTATTCAAATTCTTAGAAAGATCTCAAGATTTGTTAACATTCAGGTAATACATTAAAAGCAAATTCTTTCAAAATGTCAAGGTTGATTCCATCGCGAATCTCCAAAACTTTATGTCCAAACTTTTCTGCAATGAGAATATTTTGTACGTCATCATCTAACAGGAGAATTTCATGTGGTTTGATTGTTTTCTTCCGTTGTGTTGCTAATTCTGTGACGACAGACGATAAATGTGATTGTTTGCCGAGGAAACCTTCGTCATTCGTACTTGACAAGAATTTCGGTGTATTTCCTCGAATGATAATCCGATCGGTCTTTCTAGAACGACAAATAGAATTGATCTTTCGTCACAAATCAGGTCAAATATAAACTCACGGTGTTTTGAATGCCAATTCAAGTAATTGACGTATCAATTGTTCTTGGGATGAAAAGGTCACTATACAAATGTGAAGTGTTTGACCGAATGCAGATGAATTAAGTATCTCTTGAATGAAATAATAAAACGTCGAACGGATATATTCAATTAAATTGTCGACTGTCCCTTGGTAATATCCACTCGTATGGATAGATAGTAGTGTATTGTCGAAATCGATGGCAACAAGTTTGATGTTCTTTCGTTGTATGCAAAGGACAATATCCCGAGCTTTGCTACGCTGTTCGGCAATGTATTTAGCGATACTGACACGTTTGCCAGCAGTTATCTCCATTCGTTGTTGTTGCTGTTTGACTTTTTTTCTTTTGACAAACTGAATGGCCGATTGGGAGCGTATTAGTTTAGTCGAGATTGACTCTTTAGCTATTTGAGACATGTCAGTGATAAGAACAATTCAAATAGTTAATGTATGGAGATAGATTTGTTTGACTTCAAGCAACAGAACTAATGGATCAAATGTGACTCGCGCGAATGTCTATGTATTGTTCTGTTTCAATGAAGGTGAAGATGTGGGCGATGTTTGTATGTGTATGCAACGTACATATTTTTCTCCCCTCCTCCTTCGAACTAACATACGCATATCAACTAAAAGCTCATTGTAATTACTGACGTGTATTTCGACGAAGGCTGTTTTTGTCATGACCAACGTCGTATTCGAAAACAAACTGCGCTGTTTATTCTCATAGGACAAATATATTTAAGGTTATTGCAAAAATCAACAATGACAATAAAAAGACGATTGAAATCATTAACTTAATAACATGGATAACACATCTTCTGCTTTCATGATACCCGACGAGCCAATGATAATCTATTGAAAGCGAGAATGAAATTCTATCTGCAAACGAATGTCTGCCTTTCTTACTTGTTTCTTTATTTGTTGACTATATTCTTGAACAAGCTGTATTTCTTGTGTTGTGATTCCGCCCACAATGAAAACAACTATTGCCGAATAATCGTTACTAACTAATGTTGGTTTTGTATCACCAAAGAATCTATAATCAGATAAATGTTCAATGATTGATGAGTATCTCATGTGAAATTTACCCTCTTGTCGCACTTTTAAACAGATCTGTGAATCCATCGAATGGAACATGTTCAATGTCTTGTAAGAATTGTTCCTGTTGATTTGCCGACGCTGATGATCGAGATTGACTTGCATTACTACCTCGTTTGTATAGATCGAATACTTGTTTAAGTATGGATTGACGATATGTCGGTTGTTCATCATTACCTTGAACGATTAGTGAACTGAAAATAAATAAGAAAGAGTCGAGCGAAAAGAAAAGAATGAGAACGAACTTCAAATGTTTATAACGACGTTTGTACGACGATAATAAATCAAGCTGTTCATAAATAACATCAAGAACGTGTTCGATTTCTAACGAATATCCCAATGCTAGAAGAAATTCAATAATGAAAATATGAATTTAGGTAGGGATTTGTACAATACTTTTCATTTCATGACGAAGTTCGGTAGTAAATGATGAATCTGTGAGAATTTCCTTTCCAATCAATTTCTAAACAAACAAATTCAACCTATCTTTATCAAAGTTTGACTTTTGAGTTTATTTACATGTATACGATCCTTTTCTTCCTTTCCGTAGAAAACATCATTACCAGCGAGTGAATAAATATGAACGAGTAGAATAACATAATCAATCAATTTCAATTGCCTAGAAAAACTCGTGAATGCAAACAAGATATCGATAGAAGTCAACAAAACCGTTGTTCTTCAGATTTCGCCAGATCTTCTTTCAATGTTTGCAATACAATTGAATATGGACTAGGACCTGCATTTGTTGTCAAAGCTTGGACAAGAATCTACCGTTCAAAATAAGTTATTTTCTCGAAACGAATTATAAGATCGTACTTTTTCAAGACCAATTAAACGTTCGAGTTTTTGGTTTTGACTAACTGAATCCAGTAATTGCATCAAACAACAGGACATGACTAATAATTCGTAGTTTTTACAGACAGTTATCGGCGATTGTCTGTAATATGAGGTTTAGATGAATTCTCGAATAAAATATCTGTTGTTGCTTACCGAAATTTTTCTAGACAAGCACTGATTGCCGCCGCAGAGACTTTTACAGACTTAATTTTCGTCTCCAAATTGTTATAAATCAGAGATTCGAGTAAATGACTGAAGACTTCACTTGTGGCTATCTGACAAAATATCTTTGCTATTAAAATCTCTCGTTAAAACCACATACTTTCGATTTGGAATACACGATATTATCAAATATTGACTTGATATCGACATTCTCCACACGTCGTTTCATATCCGCGAATAAATATGAATTATAATCACTCTCAAACTTCACTCTAGAAAATCTAATACATTAAAGCTGGAATATATCTCGGCACACTTACGATGAACTCTTCAATAACGCTCGTGTGTCGATTTGAACATCAATCGTTCGTTGTTGGCACTGATCAACACTTTTTATGCGTATATTCGGTAACGAATGAATCACTTGTGCAAGTAATGTATCCAGCTGATGAGATGATGGTGTCGCCAAGTCTAACTGTCGGTCGATTAGTAGAAGTGCGATTTTACGTTCACCGGACTAAAACAATCGAATTATTTCAGAATCAAAATCAATTTCGTACTCGTCGCCGTTGTTTTGTATGTTTCGTTTGTGTATATTCTCGGCCAATAATATGACTTAATGGACCAAGCGTGAAAACATCTTCGTATGCATTCATACTCGTCATTAATGTGTTTAGCATCTCAGCGTAGGTCTGAATAGAGAAGGATAGTGATGTAGTAATGAAATCTTTTGCTTACTTACTCGGATAGTTTTCATTTCATCGGCATGAAAGATGTCATCGAATGAGGTAATTGTCTACAAAAAGAAAGAACACTAGGAATAAGATCATGATCGAATAGAAAATTGTCCTACTTTAATCTTTTCATGAGTGAGCGACGTTAATGTTTCAATCGACGGTAATCGATATGGAATAAGTGTTGGAGTTAAAAAGAAATTGTCTGTAATTGTTACGAATGGAAACTGTAGATATTTTAATTGTAATAAATCGAATAGATGTTCGTCGAGTTCATTATTCGAATCGTGAATCAATGTTGATGAACTTGTTAATAACACAATTGAATCAAATGAATGTTGAGTACAAATCTGATTCAAACGAGATATTGCAATTGGTTCACTCAGGATGATTACCAAATGTTTGTGTTTATTATTTTCGAATAGATTCTTCAAAAGACAAACTGTCGAGAAGAGAAAAGATTTGATTATGATTTACTTCATCATTGATTCGTTTGATTGTCGGATGATCTAGGGAACAAAATAAATGTCCGATGAGATTGATCATCCGAAACCATTCGAATGTTATTTGATCAACTAAAACTAATGCATTCGAGCACAATTTAGTCAACGATGTGATCTGATTCGATTGAATTGATGCTAATTGTATCAAAGTCGACGACATTTACTGAGAATAGAAATGATCAGCATCACCATCATCAAGTTTTGCGAAGATCAACCAACGGCTGATGTTCGTGAGAAGATGTCGCTACATTGAAGATAAATTAGGTCAGCACAATCTTGTTAGAAAATCGAATTATTCTTATAAGAAATTCAATATAGTCAAAAACACTTTGGATATCTCATTCAGAGCTCTTCCTTCATGTCTGAAAATGCTTGTTGATTATTCACATTTGTTCGTTGATAGAGTACTCAAGACTCACTTCTTGTCGTCGGCGAAATTCGATGAAGGAGAAAACGAGAAAATATTTCTAAAAGAAAGAAATCAAAACATACGATATGAATCACAACATTCCATTGTATTGCAGCCCACATACGGCAAACGAGTTCATTCCTATTATCGATTATTTTTCTCATCGCATGAGCCCACATGTGAGTATAGGATCGGCGAATTTCGTAATTGTTCCCAATAGGAGCGAAGAAAACGAGATAGTCTAATATCAATGTTGATGGGAAAAAAGACCTTGATTGGAAATATTAAAACGATTGTTAATGTTCACAAAAGTCCGACATGATCGACAAACAGTAAACAAACACTAGTTGATGGATAAAAAGAAAAACGCTCTCGGTTTTTGTGTCTCTATCACGTTGGAAATGTTACTGAAAGATAGATGGTGTCATTAATGTCTGGAAGATGAATCGATGTCGATTTATTTGTCTCTAATAATCAGATCTAACGTGTTGATTGATAATCCGATGTTCTTCTTCATTTATCCAATAGTACTCTTGAAAAACAGGGAGAATTTGATTTCGATAATACTCCATGACATCGTCTGTCGATTAGAGAGCAGGTTCTTGTTTTTAGCGGCTCGTATTTTTTCTTGTGAAAATATCCGATGTTAATAGAATAAATGATCATTTGTTTTTTTTCTCGATGTTCCTGTCGGATGTTTGAATAGCTATTCAGCTAGGTTTTATTTTATGTTTAGATACTAATCAAACAATTGCCACATGTGTGTATCGCGTATGATTTGTTCGAAAATATTGTTCTCATCAGTGTTTGTGTGGACAAGAATAAGAGGAATCAGATAATTTTGGTTTATTGATAATAGAGCATTTCTTTCTTAAGTAAGCGTGAAAAGAAAGAGAGGGAGAGAGCATGTGTGTGTGTGCACGTCGCCATCCATACGCTCTGATGTTAAAGCAAATGGCAAGTCGTTCTATGTGTTAGCTTTCCGATTGCTATTACAAATGTGTTTTCCTATCTTCTATCAACTGGCATTCCTTCTTCCTGTTTGTTCCTATTAACACATACACGGCTAAAGGAATTTTGTTTTTTTTTTTACATAGACGAGTTTGATTGTGATTTGATCAATCATGATACTGGAGAAATCAAACAAGGTAAACATTTCGTTTTGTTAAGAACTTTGTTAAAGATATATTAATGAAATTTAGACTGATACAGAGCAAATGATTTTATTAATCAATGAAGCACAGAAATTTATCGTTCAAGTTCGCCCATCCACGAGTGCGAATCATAGTATTGATATAACCGCTGTTGCCCAAACTGATGATGGTAGAAAAACGACTAGTTTTGTTCTTTTCATCTCTAACAATTACTTTCTTTAGATGATCGACCTGATCCACTTCGCGTACCTGAAATTATGATCATTATCTGTGTGCTATTATTGTGGCTTGGCTCGATCTTTGTCTTCATTCGCCATTCAGAATTACTACGTATTCGTCATCGTGATATACCGTATCGTCCAACTGCTAAACCACCAATGAATTTGAATCATATTACTGTTGTTCATCGTACAAGTGATATGGTGATTCATTCCAAACCACGATTTTCTGCTGCCGGTGCCTTTATCACACCAATGTACGATACAACGATCGATGAATATACAAATTCAAACGCGGGATCACCATTAACTACGCATTTATTGCAAAAAGAACGACCGCGAGGTTCAACAATCTCAACTTGTTCAATAACAAAGTATCCTTCTAAAGCCGATCGGTTACTCAATCCATACATGATTCCATCGAATATCCGACGAAGCCTGCTTGATTTACATCGCAAAAGCGTGGAGAACATCGCTGCTGTTCGATATAGCATATGTTATTCACCCGCTGATGGAACACGACGTAACCAAAGCGAAGACGATGAACATGACTCGACAAATGCACGATGCATACGCGAATCACCTGTGTAGAAATTGTTCTTGTACATCACTTCGGATGAAAATCTCAACAAAAATAAAAGGTTGTTCGTTTTCCGAGTATAATTAGAAATGTGTCATACCATGATAAAGTCAACGACACACAAATCTCTAAAGATTACATCGATAATGATATGTATTGCAATATCAAGTTCGTTTTTCCATCAAAACCATGACAGATGTTGTTTACAAAGGATTTATAATGACAAAATAACATGTTAATTATTATCTACATGAAATTCATACAAATTGCTTTTAGAATATTGCGGAATCAGTATGCTCATAGTCTATTGATCAATAAAGTCCTTGATTAGCTGTATGTGTGCACTAATTATGTCGTTTAGTAATATCCAAGAGGCTTTTCTCGTATGAAGAAAGAAATCGATGATGTGATTTTTCTGGTCGCACATTCGATAAAACTAATCGATATGAAATTTGGTTACAACAAACTCGTAAACAATACGTTAAACTTGATAATTTGTTGTTGGTTCTATACTATTTCTGTTCGTTCGTCGATATCGATGGCGGAATATCTTCTATTGAATGGTTAGAAACAAAGAAAGAAGGGCAAAGGTCCACTATGAGTCATGAATTTCTAACTGAGATCATTTCAGTTCACTTTTAAATTATGTCTACGAGAAGTGAGTTGCATAAAGTTCAAGGTAAATTTAATTGAACTTAGGAAATATCATCGATAAAAAAATATCTCCTGTAACGTCTAGATTTGAATGAACTTCATCAACATGTGTACGATTCAATGACCTTTTCTGCACTTAGACAACAATCCCAAGATAATTTAGAACAATCTTGGCCACCCTATCGTCGACTAATAAAAACTCTCTCACAGTTAACTCACATACCTTCTTATTTATTAAATAATTATGTACGCACAATCGTTTGTCTTCTTTTATTTGGCTTAATGTTTCCGTTGAACCTCCTGATTACATTGTTAACAATGATTTTATCCTATTTTTGTAATCTCATTCATAAAAAGTCATCCTTACCCTCATCAAATCCATCTCGGAAACGAATTCTCATATCCGGTGGTAGTACAACAAAAGCACTTCATCTATGTCGATCATTTTATCAAGCGGGCCATCAAATAATTCTTGTTGATGAATCAATCAATTGGCTTACCGGTCATCGATGGTCGAATTCCGTCGAAAGATTTTATGTTCATCCATCGCCAAGCAAAGAATCCGACGCATATCTAACAATACTAGCGAACATTGTTCGAAGAGAAAAGATCAATGTTTTTATTCCGTGCTGTCATTCTCACATCGATGAACGGGTATGCACAATTCGATTGTAAATAGTATTCAGCCTCATGATGCAACGATTTTGTAGTTACAAGTCGCATTGGCAACGCACAATTGTTCGATCTTTTATCCAAGATCTGATCAAACAATATTCATGTCGAACAAATATGCATTTATAGAGAGAACTCGTTCTCTGAATCTATCAGTTCCATCTTCATTTCTAATAACATCACGTGAACAATTATTACAATTTAATTATGATTGCTCGTACATCTGCAAGCCAGCTACCATCGATTCTCTCCATCACGAGAAAACAATCATATTACCTCGATCAACACCATCAGAAACCATCGAATACATCAACAAATTATCAATCAGTGAACATCGTCCATATCTTTTACAAAAGTTTCTTTCCGGTCAAGAATATTCAACACACGTCACAGCGATCGATGGCAGAATAAAGCTATTTGTCTGTTCGCCAAAATCAACCTACCAACATGTCGATCAGCCAAGGATCTTACAATGGTGTATGCAGTACGTTGAAACGTTGAATTTAACTGGCCATTTATCAATGAAATTCATCATTGATGATCACGATGAGCAAGTTTATGCTATTGAATGCCGTTCATATGTTGATTCAAATATTATTTCGTTTTACAATCATCCAGAAGTTGCCAATGCTTATTTCGAACACGAATCTTCGACAATGATTGTACCGCTTGCTTCTGCGCGACAAATCTATTGGCTACCCTATGAATTGTGGCAACTGGTTCAAAACATACGATCGAGAAAGAAAATCATTGCATGTTTGAAGAAAATTTGCTTCGGAAAAGAAGCTATCTGGTCATGGAATGATCCATTTCCGTTTCTTTTACACTATCACATTCATTTCTTCTATCTTCTATTTGCTAATCTTTTTTCTAAACACATTCGTTTTTTTAATCACGTTGATTGTAATATGGGTCGACTGTTTTAAATTTTTATTTCGTAATAAACAGAAAGAAAAACACAAACCAAAGTATCAATTTCAAATAAGAAAAAATTTGGCTATTCAGCAGGACCTGTGCACATGAACGAAGGCGTTGAACTGGAGAAATGAGTATGGACAATGTTTTATGCGCAAGTAACCCATGTCAGCTTGTATCAAGTGTTGAGTAGGCGAAAAATGATCGAACGGAAATCGATTGAGACGAAAATTATTCTAACTGAGAAAATTTGACCCAATCACCGATAACAAAAGCACAGTTCAACCTATGTAGCAAACCGTGTTACTTTCTTGTTGAATGCATTCGCTTGTGGGATCAAGTCAATTCATGTAAACCGGATAAAACGATGTGATTGGTCTATGTTGACTTAAGTTTTATAAACTCGACAAATAATACCCTTAATTGAATTTTAAATAGACTGATTTCTATTTGTTCGTGCCTATCGAATCATTGAAAGTAGGCAGGGTACAAAGATCCGCCATTAAGTATGTAACAATTTCAACTAAAAGTATTCTAGATCAATTTTGAATTATGCCCGCGAGAAGTCTATTGGCTATATTATGAATTGCGGCATCAGGTTCGAAACATTCGATCGAGAAAGAAAATTCACTTCGAAAAAGAAGCTATTCGATCATACAATGAGTCACTTTCATATTTCTTACACGATCACATTCATTTCTTCTATCTTTTATTTGCTAATCTTTTTTTCTAAACACATTCGTTTTTTTAAAATCAAGTTGATTGTAGTATATAGTCGGACTCTTCTAAATTTGTTATTCGTAATATGCAGAGAGAAAAACAAAATGAGGTATCCAGTTTCCAATAATAAGAAGATTAACAAGCTTCACAGAAGGGAAAACATGTCAATTCATCATCATATAAAAGAATGATTATTTCATAAATTTCCCCATTATTTATCTCATCATGACTCGTGCATCTGTTCTGTTCCTAGTTACTCTTCTATTTCAACAATCTATCGATCTGAGTGAAGCAGGTAAACTTAGCAAATGAATACCAACAATATGTCTTGTCTGTGAATGTTCATAGTAACGTGCGCAAGTAACCCATGTCAACTAGTGCCAGGTGCGTTCGATGGATTAACTGGCTATTGTTGCTATGATTTGCCACCGAACTATAATACAGTTTTATGCACATGTCCGAATAACATTCAATCTGTGGTCAATGCACCTTGTCGTAAGGAGCCGAAGTCATAATTTGATTGAAAGATGCATGTTAGAATCATTTGCTTATCAGGTACTGTCAATCCATTGCAAGCAGCATGTACGAAAACATGTGTCAACAGTGGCGTTTGTAACGTTGTGAACGGTCAGCAAGTTTGTTGGTGTCAATTGGGTTTTAGCGGTGAACATTGTGAAATTCAAGGTAAACAAAATATGTTAACTGAGTTCACTTCTAGTTGATTGAGATTACCTTAGGCATATCCACACGTTGCTATGCAGGTTTATGTCAAACTGGAACATGTTTCGAGCAAACAATCGGAGCCACCACCTATGCTTACTGCAATTGTGCACCGGGATATCGCGGAGTGAATTGCAATCAATGTTTGTATACACATTCAGACTTTCCAACTTTATGTATACATTTGATAAATAGGTTACTTTACATGCACACGACAAGGTGTTTTCCCTGATACAGCACAATGTGGCATCGGTCGATATTTTTACTGTCCACAACCATTCGGTGGTTCGTATCTTTTCTAAAACTCAATTATGGTATACTGTAAAATATTTTGTTCTAGCTCCGCTCTCTGCGACATGTCCTGCCGGACAGAAATTCAACCGTTTTACAAGTCAATGTGATAGCACATATCAATGCACATAAAACGGGTGATATATGATACATTTCGAATCTGCATATTTTTACAACAGAAAAGAAACGAAATCGTTTTTATTTTCCATGTCTTATGAGTGAAAAATGAAAAGGTTTTTCATTGATATAAAATTTCCAAGACTGGCTTCAATCACAGATTGAATTTCATCAACTAGAAAACATTACCGGATGCTGATTAATAGCAAGAAATCGAATGTAAAAGAACTAGAACTACAAGACATAAATATAATTGATAAACGCGCAATTGTTCAATGGTTTATAGGAGAATTAAATATCGGATGCCATTGGATTGGCTTGAATATCGATCGACTTTTTTGTTTCATCTACTTGTTTCTTCTCACGATGGTTAATCCACATCAGATGGAAGTGCATTAGTGCACTTACAAGAAAACTTATACCACCAATAATAAATGCAATATCAAAACTGTTTGTTACATCACGAATAGCACCCATAATCTAAATAGTACACTCAAAAGATAGTTCATTTGATTTCAAATTCATTTACCGGTGGAGCACTCAATGATGTGATACCTCGAAACATCAATACTAAACCCAGCGCATTGCTGTAACGTTCGAGACCTACTAAATCACATGTGATCACTGGACTTAATGAAACATGGAACGCTAAAATATAAGTGTTCATGTGTTATATGAAGAGAAACGAATTAGATTTTTACCAATAAAGCCACCCCATACAATGCAAAACAGAATTAAAAGCAAATGGCTCGTGCAAAATGGTAGAAGCAACGATGAAACACCAGCGACAGTTAAACCGATGTTATTCACGAGTAGAGGTGTCATGTACGGAAGTTTCGTTATCCAGCCGGAGAGAAATCGAGCAGGAGTGTTGCTAAAACCTAAACAAAAAGGAGACATATTTTAAGAGAATAGTAAATATTAATAATATTATCGAGTTTACTGATAATTGATAGCAGGAAAATAGAGCTTATTTCTGGAACTGATCTTTCAAACTGAGCGTATTTCGGAATGAACAGATACGGTGTGTAGTAGCCAACCATTGAACATACATTGGCCTTAAAGAGAAGGATTGAGTTGAAAAGCATCTGTTATGACGAATTATACTTTACCAAACAGAGAATAATCATTTTCTTATCAGCTAATAAATCAAAATTTGTCATCGAAAGAAAAATATCCCAAAATGCTTTCATTTTTGACTTTTCCATGACTTCAGGTACTTTAGTTGTGTCTTGAATGTAGCTTGGAATATCACGATGGGATCGGTATTCAGGTAGATCACGTGTATCACCTTGATAGAGTACATCTTCTTTATACAGCCTAAATATTTTCGATAATGAGTGAACAAAGGAACTTCTTTCAATATATGGACTTACGGACGAACGGCATCCTCAGCTTTAATACTGTGTCTGGACTTGGTTGAAAGCGCTGACTCCGTTCGGGAGCGTTTCTTTATTTTATCGTCGATTTTCAGTTCTGAAAAATTCGAACTCGGAACATCTTTTGTTGGTGTTATAACAGCTGCATGATTAACTACTGATGTTGCCTATATAAACTTGAGATAAAAATATCTAGATGAGATCAAATGCGTAACTAACCGTTTCAGGAAATACGCTGTCATCGACTCTATGACAATGAGAACATTTTTTAGATGTTTGTTTCAAAACAAATGAGAAACTTACATTTCGTTGGATGGTAAAGTACGTCGTTTTCGCATTGGTTTTAAACGACGCATGAATACGCAGCAAATAGCACAGCAAAGAAGAAATACAGAGAGAATAACTAATCCATATCGCCAACCAAATTGTTTGAATAAGAATTTTGACAAAGGTCCAGATCCGATCGCACCAATTCCAGTACCAGTCGTCACGATTCCTAAGAGACTCGTTCTACTTCAAACCAAGGAAAAACATATATTGTACCTGTAGCAATAGCACGTTTCTCTTCAAAATAATAGCCAACCATAATAATACTCGGTAAATATACAAGACCCATGCCAATACCACCGATAAGACCGAACGATAACCACATTACATATACGTTTGGTGACAGAACAGATAGTGCAACAGCTAATCCAGCAGTTACACTTCCAATGATACCAACTTTACGACAACCCCATTTGTTACAAAGAGCAGAAGCCACTGGTCCTAAAGAAAACGAAATTAAAATAGCAGACTGCAATAAAAGTGCCTTCGTTACCAATGAGAAGATAAAAGCCACAGGCAAGTGACATCACTAACGAAACTTCCCATTCTTGACAATTAAAATGTTTTTTTATATCTTCCGAGATTGCTCCAAATGCATATAGGAAGCCATCAACAATCAGATTAATCATCTAAATGAAAATCTGTGATTATTTGAAACTTTCAAGCAATAGTAGTAACTTACGAAACAAGCGAAGAGCACCACCCAACCAAAGCCTCCATCAGGTGGCACAGTAATATAATCATATTCTTCGCTGTCATCTAATTCGGTTGATTTCGGCTGCTTCTCAATATCCACATCTACGTTCGAATCCGATTTGACTGTCATGTTTATACTTTTACACTGGATTAATAAAGTAAAACAAATATTGAATTTATCACGTCTTTTATAGATGATTTCAGTTATTTTAAGTATGACAAGAAGCACATTGTTTCATATACAGGATGTGCAAAACGCATTTGACATACGTGCGAATAGTTTATCAAATAATTTCGCGATTATCATGTTGAATTGGTACTTTTGCTAAAAGTAACAATTGATTTAATCACGGTGGCAATTCTATTCGATGAAATCGGTCAACAAATAAACGTTTGACGCTGAGACAAATCAAAACGAAGGACATGTTTTCGAATAGTTGGTTTAAGGAAAAAACGGAACACGAACGGTTTTTAGTTTTAGATGGCGCAATTGAAGAAAATATGTATAAAAAATTTCTTGTGGATCCTCATCGGATAAGTACGTGTAAGTATGGTGAAACCAATCGACTAAAGTACACATTTTCCCCATTGATATGTAAGCAATCCCGAGTCTTCCATTTGCATCTTAACATCGATCATGACTTGTAAATACCTATATGGAGTTTCATTATTCAGTTTAATTAAAGTAATAGATAAAGGCGAATTATTTAGTGCATCTCTATTTACCATCACGTGACTTGTGTTCGATAATTGTAATCAAATAATTGTGTATTTATTTTTTTGTTTGGGATTTGGTTTGCTAATCGTTAATTCCTGAAGAATCACTCAAGTATATTCTTGATTTTATTCCTCTGAAAGGTCTATCGGTACGAGTGATTGTTACATTGAATTGATTCGATACCATTGCCACAAGTCACATGGCAAGTGCTGATGGATTAGAAATAGTATCATCACTTATCTAGCGAGTAATATTAATTTTCAGTATTTCAACTCGTTTATCATCGCTTTGAGTGACAGCAGCAAACGCGAACGGCAAAAAAAATGTAATCGCTGACAACAGCAGGCAAAAATTTGCGCCATCGATATCTCTGTGTGTATATGTACACACGTATATCTGGAGCGTATATATATATACACATATACTCTCGCTCTTCTGCCTATCAGACACACATCTATATCTTTTTGCATTCGGTCAACACGTCTATACTACTCTAGACCATGTCGATGAGATTCTTATTCTTCTGTAAGTAAATATGCCTATGTGGAAATCAAAGAAATATATGGTATTGTTTAATTCTAGTTTTACTGATGATATTAGTTAGTTGTCAAGCAGCTTCAGTATATGATGGTGACGAGGGTGGCGACAGTAACAGTGACGATACGGTTGAATTGAATAATCAATTTCGATCACTAACTCGTCAACAATTGGCTGAACTTGATGAATTTCTTTCGCGTAAACTTCTCGATGAATCTTTATCTGCAACATCCAGTGAAACATTGTATCGCAATACCCGTCGTCCATATGAACATACAATTGTTAAACGTGCGCGCGATGGATTGTGGACAACAACAGAAGTTCTTAATTGTATTCAAGGCTTGCGATATTCGAAACACTCGAAACTTAACATGGTAACACAAATGCTCAACTGTTACCAACGTCTCAAATACAGTGGCTAAAATGAACTATATTTTGCATTTCCTTCAAATAAATTCTCATTGAGTTCTTCACAAACGAGCTTGAAAAGTAATCTTCAGAGATGTTATATGTCATCGACTAACAATCGATGGGAGAGAAGAATAGAACGAAAGAATACAGCAGAGCGGACTAAGTAAAATTGGTACAAACGTCTTTAGTTCGAATCTAGTACAAGGCAATGATGTATACCATTAGATTCCCTATTGGCCTGAACATGTCTGAAGACAAACTGTGATCACTACTGAGCCTTGCCCGATTTTTTAAGTTAATCATCAATTTGCAAATGTTGAATTGCAAAGCGACTGCTGATATGCAAAATGACTCGCCGATCTTGACGATAAGAACACAAAATTATCAGCCCGATCAGTTCCATATTTGACACGAGCAGCTGAAAATAATAATTGGATTAGGTAGCGTACAGGCCGATATCGAGATTGGTCGGAAAGAGTTCGTCTCGTTATTGTCTGTTCGCCTACTGAAAGCACTTCATTCAATACAACAATTACCTACTTTATCATACAGATAGGACTAAATATTATCTATGCTTTCAACTCAAACCGATGATTAATAATACTTTCTTTGTCAATTAGTTGTCTGTATATGAAGTAAAGATCACATACTGAGGAGTATTGTTTATTACAATATTGAAAAACCGGCTTTATCCATATGGTCATATGCTTTGAATGTAATTAGCTGGATGAAATAAATGAATTAAGACAGAAGTGCTGTGTATCGATGCATTGTACTGGTAAGAATTTGATCTGCCATGTAAAAAACATCTGTCGGTGAAAAATGAATTTTAGACTTGAAAAGAGACATTCAGATCTCGAAAAATGAAGTAGATCTATTCAGATTCGTTAAATTTTAGTACTGTGTTATATCTTTTCAAAGAAATAATATGATATCATTTACGAAGCTACATACTTTCACGTCGATTAATCGAATACTTGTTCGTTTCTTTGCATTTCATCACTATCTTTCTTCGAACGTTATCTACTTATTCACTATGTACATCTTTATACTTTGTTTTTTTCTCATTACCATCAATGTTCATGGTAAAATCTTTCGTCACTGAATGTTGTTACATCTACACTGATTTGATACTTTAGGTAAATGTACCAATGAGACATGTTTGTACGGTCATTGTTTATATGACAAATGTATTTGTGATCCGGGAATATACGGTCAAACTTGCAACAAAGATATTGAAGATTGTGCTGTCGATTCTTGTTTGAATAATAGTACATGCATTGAATTAGTGAATGGATTTGCTTGTCAATGTTCACCGAACTTTTACGGTTCACGTTGTCAATATCATCGAAGGGAACACGAAAATTTTTGCACAAAAAAGTGTTTAAACAAAGGCAAATGTATTGTTATAAACAGCGTTGAAAGATGTTCATGTTTACCAACATATTTTGGAGCTCAATGTGAACATAAACGGGCACACAATCAAGGTACACTTCTAACTCAAAAATGTTCGCTATTAAAACGTCGCGGTGATCATGATGAACCAACATGCATAGCGATTGCTTTAACACCAATATTTGATGTTCATTGTGAATGTCATTGGTCTCTTAACAATCAAAATCGAGCCACATGTCAAATAACTCCATCGCCTTATTCAAGTATGATTTCTACTACAAAGAAAATCTCCTAAAACATCTTCGTTTTTCTTAGCTCAAAAGTGTTTTTTCAATAAATCTGTTACTATCCAACTATCATCAACACTACCTGAACCAATACACATCCCTGTCTGTCCGATCAATTGGGAAATCTTAGATCAGTATAAAACCAGCGAAGAGAAACTTAATAGTGTATACATGGCCCGTTGTCAATTGTATTCGATTTAGAAATGACATCTTTCAGCTTGATTATATTTCCAAATCAATGTCTGATTCCTCATGCGAATAAAACAATCTCGTAATTCTTTTGCATTAGAAGCCAGTTCCTCGGTATCATATAAACAAAAATGTTTTCAACCGGTCAACTGATTGACTTTGCAAAAAAATCGTATTCCAGACGGAGTTCTGTTGGTGTAGCGGTTATCACATCTGCTTAACACGCAGAAGGTCGCAGGTTCGACACCTGCACAGAACATTCCGAAAATCAATTTTTTTTTCATTGCATTCGACAATCCGATTAGGTTTTTAGTTGTTGAAAACGATGTTGTCTTGTACTAGACACCCTAAACTATTTGACAAAAATAGCTCTCTCTCTCAACAATCGTGCACACACGCACACACATCCTGTGTTCGTGGAAAATCAATTAGGAAAAAACATGATATTTCTTAAGTGATCATAGTTTTCTTTTTCCTCTAATTGAATAAATATCTATCCCATCTGGGATCTTAGCTACGTTTTGATTTATATGTCAACACGACAGATATATTTGCAGGAATGGCATCTACTGCGACAGATTACATCGATTATTTTCTATCTATTTTCCTTTGATGCTCGCAATTATTGTTTGTTAGTAGAATAGAGAATTGTGTTTACAGAGAATTGTAATTCTGTTCATTAGATGGAAAAATTCATGGCCTTGAAATCTACAAACGGACCGGCATTGATGTATATGATGAAAAAATGTTCTCCCATGAAAAATAATGAGATTGCTATTAGGAAAACAAGCGTAGTGATTCGTTAAATGAAAGTGTAATCGCATCTTATTTGATCGGGAAGAGTTCTTAAGGGAAAGAAAATTGAATCGAACTCATTAGTTATTCTATTATCAACGTATGGTTTTATCACCTTTTTCAATATTTATAAAAGTGGCTGGCAACCTATTGAGGAGACGAAATCGATTAATTATGAACTAAATTTTCTAGTCCAATTCATATCAACTCGGGTAAAGTTGACCGAAGACGAAGAAGATCGCTGATTGTATAATATTCAGCCTATATGGAAAGAAAAACAGAACATTTCTTTTTCTAGTCGTGTCATTGTTGTCGTTTTTAGTTAGATGGACCAAATTTCATTAGAAATCGTTCTTTTGTCATATTCATGTCGAATATTATTTGAAGAACAAAACATTTCATTTATTATGTTTAAGCAAACGAGGCATTTCAATAACTCGAGCGTAAACTGCTCGAGAATCGTTATTGAAACTACTCATTATTAGAAAATATCATATTCAACAAATATAGTCTTATGACTCTAACAATTTTCCATGTATTTCTTTTGTTTATCATCACAATATCACATCAACTTGGCCACGAGTGCGAACAAGATATCCGCTTGATATTTGTTCACACGAAAACATCTCCTATTCAAAAGTTATGAAATACAAAACTGAAATGTCGTTGTACAATCACGTCACTAAAATGACTTTTACCTTTGAAAATCTTTTTATTCATGATACTTTGATATACAATCTTAATCTTATGCTTGCAACATGCTCTATGATCTTTTTCTTTCATATTTAATTATGAGATGACATGAAATATAGGAATTTGAAAAACTTTTTTCTTAATTATACTCAATCTATATTTAGAAGATTGCAACCAATCAATTAAACAATTGAGCATGTCGTTAGAGAACCGAACTGTGAGCTCATGCTTTGAATGCTTGAATGCTTTAACTAGAATATGTGACTTAGATAGAACATATGCCGTACACTTACTACTTTCACGAAAGGATCACTTAGGAGATGCGAAAGGAAATGAAACGATTTACCAATAAGATTAGAACAACATGACAAAAGAAGCGAAAAGAAAGAAAGAAAGACAATTTTGAGTTCTTTCTATGGTGTAAACGTATACTCTAATTTTTCTGACATCTGTAGTTATTGTCTGCATGAAAAGAAAGAGAAGAGAAGAGAAGAGAAGAGAAACGAGCGAAGAACGATAGCAAACAGTATTGTTCGTATCATCTAACAAGCATCAACTAGATCAGTTCGGAGTATCAAGTCTAAATGATCTGTCAACAACAGTAGCATTCAAAAAAGACAATATTGTAAACTATTACTGTGTTTCGCTTCAGACGAGCCCGAACAGAAGTTTTCTGTTAATTACAAAACATGACAACAATGTTTAGTTGTGACATTTCATTAGAATTATCATTAATATTTCAGTTTCTTTCCTTATATTTCAAGTGGCAACGTATCTGAGTAAGATGTCTTTATATTTATACTTAACTTTTCTTTGAGCAAAATATTTCTGATAGTGGCTTGTATACGTTCACAACAACTAGGATAACCAGGGTGAAGTGCACATCGTGCTAGATAGCCTCGTTAAGGATAAATAAAAAGTACAATGCGTGTCTGTGCGGAGGCGATCTAGCTATCGTCGTTATTGTTTCTCGTTCGTTTCCATAATAGTTAGTGAATTGATAGTATGATGATCAGAACTCAAGATAAAAAGAGAAAGAAGAAGAAGAAAGACGATCGGAAAAGAAAAGGAAATCAATCAGAGCAAAGAAAGACAACGAGAAGAGCATAAGACTTCGCGTTCCCTCACTCATCTTTATCTTAAGGTTAGAAATTCAAGTAAGTTCTATTGCATGCTTCAATAAAAAGAAGTTATGTCTTCTAAACAATTACTTCAGGAAGATGATGAAGATGAATAGATAGGATATATACTATTACTGTTTTCCTTTTTCTCATTCATTTTAAATTAATAGAGAGCATAGTGTATGCATCTCTCGTCGAAGAACTTTGTTTCATGTTGTTTTAGATGCAAATGTAGTTTGTAAAAAGGCAAAAAAGAACATTTTCGAACAATCCTGCTGTAAACAATTTTTTTGACAAATATAATTAATTATGTCATTCTCGTGGCAAACGATAGAATTTCTGTCTGTCTGTTTTGCTATCATTTTGATTATCTTGTTAACAGTTGGCGGTAATCTTGTTGTTTTATTTGCCTTTTGTAATGATCCACATCTTTTAACACCATCGAATAATTTTCTTCTTTCAATGGCTATCGCTGATCTACTTGTCGGTCTAGTTGGTATGCCGTTTTATGCGTAAGTTTCGTGTATTGATAAACATCTGCGTAACATGAAAAAAATACTCTCCTTTAGATACGCACAAATGAAAGATTCCTGGCCATTCGGTGAACTTTTCTGCAAGATTTGGATCACAATTGATGACGTTGTCACAATGGCAAGTGTTCTCTCGATCGTCGCGATCACCATTGAACGTTACTGGAGTATTAATCATAGTGTACATTACCGTCGTCATACAACAAAGACACGCATACGATTATTCTCCATATTAATCTGGCTCATTCCATTTCTGAACTTTGCACCTGGTATATGGCTATTGAAATCAACCGAACAAACGAGTGCATCGATTCTAGTCGATAATGATACTAATAGGACGAATTACGAATGTATCGGTGCTTATCATTCACATACAGTCTATTTAATCATGTCACAAATCAATTTCTTTGCTTGGCCATTAGTTGTTATTATCGTTCTCAATGTTCTCATCGTTGTTAATCTTTATAAACGATCACATCGTTTTCCTGGTTTTGTCAGTTTCCGAGTGCTACAACACAGACAACCACCACCACCATCAAAACGGCATCGTTCGAGTTCGTTGAGAGAACAATGTCGTCAGAAAATTGAAATAGAAGACGTACAACAACAACAACAGCAGCAGCTGCACCAACACCCACAAAAGATTAACCATAATCCACAAATAACAACAGTTATTAATGGAACCAACTGTTATCAAACAAATAAAATCGATTTCGAAGTAAGGTCATATCAAAATCGACCAGATCAACGATCTTTTCTTTTACAAATCGAGTCAGCAGATGTTTAAATACGCTGTTTTTTCCGGCTTAGAGATTTTTCATCGTTTGACATATGATCTTCTATTTTCTAGCAAAACAATATCAATCATGTCGATGAAAGACAGTCTGCTAGTCGAGATATAAGCGATGTTCCAAATGAAGATGGTTCAATTGAACTTCAGGAACTTCCGTCGATGGAATTACATACTAAACAGCCGAAAAACTTCTATTTCCGTATTAGACAAGCGTTTTTATCGAATGGAACTTCAACGATTACACCGCCGAGTGAACGTCGATCGTCCAAATCGACGCAAACATTATGTTTAAAGTCCAAAACCAAATCTAAACCAAGAGATAATTCAATCACCGTTTGGCGTCACAATTCGGTCAATATTCCTCTTTCCGAGCTACCGAACACGGCCGCCAACAATCTGGCGACGACCGGTGCAGGTGAACAACGTACTGTTCGACGTTTAAGACGGGATAAACGTGCGGCGACATCACTCTTCACCTTAGTACTCGTATTTATGATATTTCTGTTGCCTTATGTATTCGTCGTTGTTGTTGGACGAATATTTTCACTTGAAATCCTGACTGATACACGTGGACAAGTTTATTCTGCATCATTTTGGCTTTTATGGCTTAATTCAACCATCAATCCCATTCTTTATCCATTCATTCAACCACGTTTTCGTGAAGCGTATAGAAAACTTTTTGTAAGATTCACCAGACGACAACGACGCCTAGCTGCATTGATCGTGGACATACAACGCGGAAAATAAATACAAATCTCTGTCTCTCTCTCGTTTTCAAGTCATTCTTTGAAAAGCAAAATCTACATTTGATGAATAATCAGTCCTTTGTTATTGTATTTATCTTTGAATAAATGTACAACATTTCGTTTTCCAATGAGTTTTGTCTAAAATATTAATATTCGAAATATTTATTCAAACTAAAATACTTTCAAAACAAAGAAGTAAAAGAAAAAGAGAAAGACACACACACACACACAATGCACAAAAAAGAAAAATACGCACTAGTTTGATTTACTACACACAGACTTAGAACTATGACACTGATTAAATTATTGGGACAGATTAAAAAATTCTTCGGAGTTGACCAAAACTTAAGATGAGAAAGCGAGACGAAGGGAAAAGATCGTCACTGTGCATTGCTTTATTTTGCTCGTTTGTTTCGCTCTTCTACTGGCGTTTTACAACCCAGTATGTAACATACGAAGCTGAGAACAGCGACGACAAAGAAGAAACCTGTAAATATCACCAACAAAAGTTGATTTTTTTAAGAAAAAATTTAAAAAAATGTTACTCACATGCAATTAAAAATTGAATAGCAGCCCAAACTGGAAAGAAACCGTTAAGCAACGCATCAGGATCTTCGCGGCGGAAATGATCACGTGTTAATGCAATACGTTCTTCGTCTGTAACGGAAACTCCACGAAGATCCACACAGTAAACTAATAACGAAAACAGAAATCATCCGATCTTGTTAAGATTGTATCACTTACCAGTTGTAATCACTGTTGCATAGACTAAGAAGAGACCGGCAAAGGTGGCGGTGAATGAATTCATTGCTTAGATTTTCCTATCTGCTGAGAGAAGATTTTCAATCTGCAAAGAAACAAAATACATTCAAGGTAAGGTCATAGAACGAAGTAATAAGAAAAAAACAAAAAAAAAAAGTTTTTTTTTCTTCCACTTCTCGCTCCCACCATTAATGACGCACGAACGTAAAAGAAAAAAATCGCATTAGATATATTGACCGTAAATCGATGTAAAAAAAAAAGAACGCGCTACGGATATACTTTTCGAGGCTTTTTTTTGTACTTCAGAGAACGAGAAAGAAAAAATTGATGAAATCTAAAGGTATAGATATCTGTTCTTCGTTCGTTGTAAAGAGCAAAACGAAGTGAAATAAACATTTATCTCATTCGAGTAATGTGCTGTAATAAAAATTTGATAGAGAAACCAAATATATGTGAAGTACAAGTACAAGAAAAAAACAACCTTGAAAATACAGAAGGAAAGGACCAATCTGCGCGAAGGAATTTGCTACTAAGTTCGGAATGGATGACATGAGATTGTGGCGACTCACATTTACAATTGGGTGATTCTAAAACACCAAGTACAAGACAAACTTATAGATGGAAGTAGTGTATAACGATACAAAAACCGCATTATCACTAATCCGAAAAGGATCTTTTCATTCAACAAATATGTACAAACGAAGTTCTGCATGAAGAAAAGATAGAAGTTAGCGGGATACGATGAAACTAAGAGATTTCTCTCCTAAACTACCTGTTAGAATAATCAATGGTCCATATTTTTATGAAATTTTAGTAATATATTCATTTGTTTGTGAAAATATGCCTTGCGATATGATTGTTCATACCTAGAACAAAATTGGTACCTTGACCTACAATTCCACCTGACAATCATTCTATTTGCCGAAAGCGCTTCATTAATATTAAGAAATGTCGTACGGAAAGCATTGTTAATTTGCACTTGTGTCAATTCCTAAAAGAATAACTCAAGCAAAATGTGTTGTTATTGTTGTTGTCATGTACTTTCGGTTTCTTTGTTAATCAAGCGTTTGTGTATTTCAGCCCTGATATATCCTAATGATGATTGACAGAGAGAAAGTCGCATAACGACATGTGAATAGAGTGGACCAATCATCGCGTAGATGATTCATTGCTTTCACATAGTTAACCAACGAAGAGGGAAATAGGTTGTCTAAAAACAAAAGATCTAAGTATGTGTGATATTCGACCATATAAAAACCAAGTCTATGAGGTTTTGAAAAGTAAACATGATTCGGATAATCTCTTCGTTGATTCGGAATTTCCGGCAACGAACAAGTCAATCTATCATACTGGAAAACACTTAGCAGATGTGAAATGGTATCGACCAACGGTAAAGATTCTCTTGATGGAATAATTCATCTTTATTTCGTCTGATTGTAGACAGTTTTTCAAAAACCACAATTCGTTATTGATGGTTTCCAACGTGGTGATCTGGATCAAGGCGAGATCGGTATGCTACTATTTCTCTTCATTCACTTCACATGAAAGTTCTCGATTTTATCTAGGCAATTGCTGGTTTATCGCTGGAGCTGGTGCTGTAACACTCAATCCCGACCTGCTTCAACGTGTTGTGCCGCCAAATCAAACATTTGACGAGGATAATTACGCAGGTAACGATGCTTGTTTGTCCTTCAACAAAATTATTTTTTTTATTCAAACAGGTATTTTTCATTTTCGTTTTTGGTTGTATGGTCAATGGTACGACGTTGTTGTTGATGATCAATTACCATTTCATTCGGATGGTCGACTTGTCTTTTGTCGCAATAAAAAGGATAAAAATGAAATGTGGGCACCACTGTTAGAAAAAGCCTATGCCAAGTAAATGAATGTACCGAGTCAAGAAGAGATTATCTCGAATATTTGTGTAGATTATGTGGTTCCTATGAGGCAATGGAAGGTGGATTTACTACAGATGCGTTGATTGATATGACTGGTGGTATCGAAGAAGCGTTTGAAATTAACAATCCTTCAGCGACGAAAGATTTTAAAGAGCAAATTAAACGTGTTCTTTGGCAAGCATATCTACGTAAATCGATGCTCGGATGTTCAATTACAGCTGATCCAAGAATAACCGAAGCTAAACTGCCGAATGGACTCGTTAAAGGTTGTCGTTTTTGATTTGAAAATCATCGAAATCAAGATTGTTCTTTAGGTCATGCTTATTCGATTACACGAGTTGCTGATGTTACAACTGATCAAGGAAGTGTAACATTGATTCGATGTTTAAGTAAATGCATTTCACGCTACGTTTCTCCTATAAAAAATAACTTGTATTATCATTTTAGACCCATGGGGAAATGAGACAGAATGGTTAGTTAACTGATTTGAGTGTTTGCTTGGTTTTTAGTTATTGTTTTTTTTTTCTTCTAGGAACGGAAAATATTCGGATAAGTATGTGGAATTAGCGTAAAAATGCAATCTATGCATTTTTGATTTAGCTCGGACGCTTGGGATGATATCAGTGACGAAGAGAAACAAGAAATAGGTGTCAATGTTTTACATGATGGCGAGTTTTGGATTAGTTTCGATGATTTTTTTGCAAACTTTCATCAATTACACATCTGTCATCGAGGTCCAGCTAGTTTAGGAACCACCGAAGAAGATGCAGGTGTCTGTTCATGGAATAATCTCTTTCGAGTATACAATTTACGGAAAGAATGTCTGGTTAATGGACTTCTGCTTTTAGGATGATAAATTAACCTGGAACGAAGAGTTATTACATGGCGAATGGATTCCAGGTTCGACTGCAGGTGGTTCGGGTCAACCGAATAAAGGTCTGATTGTCTTGCACGAGTGTTGATTTCAATTTCGAAGACTTATTTAGAGAAATATTGGACAAATCCACAATATTTAGTTCGATTGAACTTTATTGATGATGGCGATGATGAAAATTTATGTACAATGATCATTGCATTAATGCAAAAAGATACGCGACAACGTCGTATTCGCGGTCTTGAAGGTGAAGATTATGTTCAATTTCGTGTTTTTAAGGTAAGACATTAGGAATATCAGACCAAAGTTCTTGCTCAGCAAGAATTTCTTCTTGTCGTCGTAAATCTCGTATTAATCGCGTTTTATCGTTGACAAAGAACATGAATAAACTAAACACAATCGAATTTATCAGATAAAAACCTGAATATCTTACTAGTAGATTAGGATTATTAAGATAAGAAGAAAGAATATTGACAGCCATTGGATCATTCGCATTTGATAATAAATCGGTGTTGTTTGGTACTTGTAAGATGAGCCTAGAAGATAAATCACGATAGAATGTTTCAGACAGAATCGATTGTATTCGCTTTTAGTTCTCGCTCTATTCATTACAATTTTATCGATGAGAAAAGCACTTACCATCATCATATCGAAAATCTCGATAACGACAATAGGTGATATTCAATTGTTTTCCTTGATGAACTTCTTCGCGATCGTCCAAATCGTTTATATCGAAATATGATAATGTATAATTGATATAATTCGTCAAACTATTATTCTTTTCAATGTACATAAAGAACAATTTAGGAATTAGATCGCAGGTGATTAGGAGATAGAGCACATTTGCAAGAATTGCGAGTTTAGACAAGACATCGAAGATTTTCTCCCAGATGCCCAGAGTGTAGGCAAGTTCACCGATCGGTCGACGAAATTCGAATAGAAGTTTGTTCGCGTCTGTACGAAGTTCGAAAAGATTGTTAATCATTGCTAGAAACGGAGCGACAGGAAGAGCGATGGAAAACATTGCGACAAAACCATATTGAACCATGATTTCCATATATCTTTTTTCAGTAAAAATGAGACATTAAAATCGATGTCATTCGATCAATTTTACTCATTATATAATTGCCAGCGACCTAGCCGTTGCAAGTATATATCAGTTTCCCATGCTGCTCGTTCTCTCGTTGATGTTTCTTCTCCTGCAGTGACGTCATCGGTAATGCCTATACAGAACGGAATGAGAAAAAAAAAGTTATTTGCCAGGGATGGGGATCGAACCCATGCTCACTATTGTGAATTGGATCTTAAGTCCAACGCCTTAACCACTCGGCCACCCTGGCACGTCCTTCTACATTGTTAATTCTTCGCATAAATTGACACTAATGGTTTTTTTCAATCGCAAGTTTTGAATAAAAAACACATACTTCGTAATCAGATTCCTATTCTATTACCGTTTATTGACAAAAACGATCTTTGCCGTTTGGAATTCAACTCTCGTCGGTGATACTGCAAGTAATTAATAAGATTCAGAAACTTCGTTGTTAAGATTTCAATCATAGCATTGACTAATTGCTTGCCAATCAATGTTATTAATAGAATCACACTAATTTCATACGAACACCCAGTTAAATCATTACACGGCTCTAATTTCTCGGTGAAAACAAAATAGGACTTGACGCCTGCGATTTCATTTCCCGGTAACGACGGTATCCATGGTTTGAAGAAAGCAATGTAAATCGGCACGGAATAATAATTGACAAATGCGAAAACTACGAATAGACCGATAAGGGTTTTCACAATACCAAGCGAAACCTACTGAACAATTTCAACGTTAAACTTGCATCAAAATCGGATTGGTATCGATGCCGTTCAAATTCAGTCATTCGATTCGCAACATATCCAAACAGGAAATCAAGAATGACACTGATAGTCAACGAAATGGTAGATGCTATGATGCTGATAACGATGAACGAATTTTCTTTCCCAAGATCATTTCTAATCGAGTGGAATATATGGAACAATTTCAAACGAATATAAAGCATTAAAATGAGATTTAAGGTTGATAATCCAAGAAAAATCAATAGAACAAGAACGGACAGTAAACGACAGACTAATACAATCCATAAGGAAATGAAGGGTTCTTCGATACCATTGATACGATTGATTTTCGTTTGTGTAGATTGGATTAAAAATGACGATCGAGTTAATTCATGACGACGTTCGTCTTCATCTTTGCGAAAAGAAAATGAGCTCCTCTAGAAAAGATTTTATGTACATACAAACACTCCAGTAATATTGAAATCGCGCTAAATATCTTTGCCAGAATCGTCGTAGACAAAGAACCCAGAAGATCATAAACACTCCGAACATATGCGTCGAATAGTTATCAAATACCGTGCTGAATCGTTTTGTAAGACAATCATTCCCAATTGACACGTACTTCTTACGTGTTCGTTGTGGACACAGGTATTCTTTACTGATATTGACACCTGAAGTGGAACAAATCAAGTATATTACTCATTGTCATTCGAAGAAAAAAAACTAGCCGTGACAAGTTTCGATTGTCGGAATATCGAAAAAGGCATTGATAGTTGAGTATATGATCACAAAACATCCGATGATCGATGGTAACATAAGCATGTATGTATACCATCCGAGAAAGACAAAATAGAGTGCGACATTTTCCCCGAAATAAGCTCGTATGAGTTCAATTGGTTGAATCTTGAACATCTGAAATCTGAATATCAAATGATGAAGCGAAAACAATCGAGTTGGATTTCTTACATGTTTTATTCGTGCCCAATGTAAATAGAGTAACTCGCGAGTGTTGTTCATTTGCTTGTCTTTTCGGCAGTCTTCGTGTGGTGCGTATGCAGTAATATATATACCGATTTTGATTAAAATATTGATTCCGTATGCATATTGATGCGATGAGAGGATTTGAATACTTCGATGTCGATGAGATTCGTTTAATTTTTCGATGATGTCATCATGAGCAATTGAGCTAAAACTGGCTGTCGTTTCCACGGGCAATGACGGATTGATAGTTAAGGATTGAAATGATGTATTGCTGAGATACAAGGGAGATATGCGTTTGAGTTCGGATAGTGGAATGTTTGTGTGTAGTTTTGAGGACGAAGGCGGTGAAATAGGTATACGAGATAGAATTTCATAGGTTAATCGTGTTCGTTGTGCTAAGAGGATCGATTAGAATGGAAAATTGTAGATAGAGAATAGTTTACCGATGGTAAATGTATGGGTTTTGAGAATTGTTTGTACATTCGAACGAAAAAAATGTCGAGCAAATTTCTTATGTAATCGTTTTGAATATGGATAAAAGACGTAATTGGATCGTTGGATTTTCTCTTGAAATACAGAAGAATCTGGAAGAAATAGTTGAGGAAAGTTGTGAGTTAACGGCGGATAGGTAAGCAGTTGGCGTAAGACGGGATTGACACGATCGAATGGTAAATATGTCCCTAGATTGATAGAGAAATTATATAGATTTGCAATAAATGACGATGAATTACGAGTAATTTCAGCCATTTCAAGAAGTTTCTCGAAAGGTGTTGTAATTAGAACAAAAACTCGTTGTTGTTGATGTTTCAACCGAATTGTTCGGTAGTTTAAAACTAATCCATAATGTTGTAAATTTGCTTCGAAATTTTTTCTCATTGCTTTCTGTGCACGTTCAAAAGGATCGATATCTTCCGATGCAGTTTCCTCATATACAAGGATAAAATCGATCGTCTCTTCTCTCTCATGATTCTCCGTCGATGTTGTCTGTTGCGAGACGCTTCGGATAACGGATGAAATATCTTCAGCAATCGGATATAGATCACGTAAATCATGTTCCTCGGTCGATAAGTTCGTGTTCATTTGTGAAATAGAAAGAAAAAGTAAAACGCGCTCGTTTTAGATTAAAGATGGCGTCGATGTGCAAGAAAATATCGAGCAAGGAAATCTCAAATTCTACATGTCGCAACTCGAACGTGTCGGTGCTAGTGGCTCTTACATCAATCGAAGAGAAGTTACTAAACGTTTTCGTGTACCACCCGGATCATACATTATCATACCCAGTACATATGATAGCGATAAACCAGGCAAATTTCTCTTGAGAATGTTCACTGAAAAACAAGCCGATCAAGCGTACGTATTTGACTCCCATTACCTCCGAATGAAATCCACTAAATTTCTTGTCGTTTCAGTCAACTTGATCAAGATAAAGAAGAACTGGTAAGATTTGATGGCTTATTCAAAGTTAAAAGACGCGCTCGTATATTTTTCTCACAATTTTAGACGGAAGCTGATGTCTTCTTTCAAGACGAAAACGTCGATAGTTTATTCGGTGAATGGTCGAATCTATTAGGTCCAATTGATGATGAATCTGCACCTGTACCAATCAATCCCGATATCGGTGGCGTATTCCCAAGTCCACATCCTGAATTACCCAGCAATTACGATGGCGGCGAATTTGATGAAGATCAAATGTATCCTCAAAAACGCTTCTGCTCAATAATGTGAATTGACAAAATCAAACTAACACAAAAGATAACTGACACGAACTTTTTCTTATTTATATACTTTTTCTCTGTTAAAGTATTGCATTTTATGATCTTATGACATATTTTTATACCCGTGCTTTCACAAGAACTGTTTGATCCCCTATTTGCTAATCTGATCAGTATTTTAGATAACGATGGGTAAAATTAGTCTTCGGAAAAGTAAATCGAAACCGAAGGAAGTTCCAAAAGTAGTCGAAGACGATGAAGTGGTAGGTCGAAATCAATTGATTAGCTTTAATTGAACTGAATGTTTCTAGTCTATGGACGACATCGAAGATGACGGCGATTATGAAGAACTAGCTGAACATAATCATGTTGATTTCGATAAGCATAGTGTCGTCTCCAACAAAACAATCAAGTCACTTGTATCGAAGAAAAAAGATAAGATAAAACTGAAACGACAATTTCTATTGAAACGTAAGCTCCATGCGTCGATCGTTACCTGGAAAACTTTTCGCACATTAATTCATTTAGGTTTACATGCCGAACATGAATCGAAGCGTGAAGCGAAAGAACGCGCTGCACGTCGACAAACTGTTATTATTAGTGATATGAAACATGAATTTGAAAATTCTCTTGGTCAGATCGAATCCTATTTGGAAGAACAACGATTGACAACGGCGGCAAAGAAGAACACTCGAAGGCAAATTCCATCCCAACTCGAACGAAATCGCCAAAGGTAGATCTCAAACAACAAATCAAGTCACTCTTCATTGATCTTGTTCTCTATTTTAGTCAAGTCAATATCGACACATTCAATAAGGTTTGTCAAACGATTGAAAATGCAGCAAATCCATTCGATTTGATTAAAAAACAATTGCAACAACAGATCGCTCCAGCAACAAAGAAGAAAAAATAATGTTCTTGTTATCTGTGTTTGAATAAAAAGAAAACTAACCTTTGAGTTAGTTCACAATGACACAAATGGTTCCGATTTCAATTACTCATTCGTCTTTTAATTACAGAGACATATGTGTTTTTTGCCGTATATTCATTGTAATCTTACGGAAGAAGAAAACAAGGACGAATAGCGCACTACGAAAGCATAGATTATTCACAATGGAACGAGAAAAGTAGATGAAGAAAAGCTTTTGTCAAGCATCTCATTTCGCACAACAATAAACAATCGACGTTTTCTTCAATCGTTGAACGTTTGAAGTCACCACAATCATTTCATTGTTAATGCTGAATAGAATTTCACCGCAGCTGGCGTTTGTAACTCGATCTTCAATGAATTTCGTTTAAATGACGATGCTGATGATGATGGATGTAGAGTTTGTTGGCTAATACCAGTTGCCATTGTCGCCGCTATGTTCGACGTTGACATGAAACCATTTCCGTTACTCAACGTACTACTTAGTTCACGTTTTTCAAAGCGCGAATGAGGATGAAAGCGCTGTGAACGTTGATAATACTGTCCGAATGGATTGTCACCCGCATTCGAGAAGAAACTTGCAGATGACGTGTTCTTGCCGATATGTTTGATTGACTCCATGAGTGACGAACGAAAATTCTTTCCACATAATGAGTAGAGAAAGAAGTTTATGGAAAAGTTCGTATAAAATAAGTAAAATGTCAGCATTTCGATCATTGATTCAATAGAGTTCTTCTCGTCATAGCTGTCATCATTCGAGAAGAAGAAATAATAAATTTTCAATAAGTGCATCGGTGTGTTCAGCAACAAAAACGTGGTGGAGATGATTAATAGCATTTTTGTTATGCGTCGATGATATTTAGAACGACGTAAACGGTGCTCTAAGAGATTATGCAGAACATAAGTTGATGGCTGAATGTAATTACGTTCTAATAAACGATCGTAATGGCCGGATTTCAAGATAATCAACGTGTTTAATGTGAGAATTGTAAAAAATGGGATGATAAATGTTAGAAAGAAGTCGATGATATTCATTTGACGTGTGAATTTAACCCAAGGGCGAAGGGTAACACAACGTGATTCACGAGCTGACGACGTTGATCTCTGAGTTTCAGCTATTTCAATCCCTGATGTCCATAACGACGAGGAATATAGAAGAATAGCCAGAAATGTTAACAGAAGAATAACATAACGGGAACGAGTAGCCGAATTGTACTGCGAACGTTTCAATGGATACGCAACAACAACAAAGCGTTCGGTTGTGAAAGCAACAGTGAACCTATTTTAAGCAAAATACATAAAAAATATCTGTTCATGCACAATAATCACACATCAAAGGTTTTGCCGGTTGCTAAACAAAGGTATTCGACACCCTGAAGTAAGAGTAAGTTTACAGTTAGTTCCTTCAATCAAATAGGATCACTTTCTATCTCAACCGTTAGCTTATCTAGCATCCTCACGTGATACAATTAGACTAGATCGGTTTCCTATCGATCTAATCGAATTACTTATCGAAGATACAATGACGAATATCATATTAGTATGACGGAAGTCGAATATAATTATATTTTATTCTCCACTGACAAGGAAAAGAATGTCACAAAACACACGGGTATGAGAAATTAACAGTATCTCTATAGGCATGTCTTTGATGATCGATAGTTAATTGAATCGGCGAAAGTTTCAAGACTACTTCAGTTTCACTTCAGCAGAAAGAATCTTTTCATCTCGATTGCTAGACGCCTTCATATCAGATTTACTTTCCTATCTTAGTGTGCTAAAAATATGTCGAATTTCTCATGAACTTTATCAAATTGTTTATCATCAGCGAAGTCTTCTTTAATGAAGATTATACATGAAAGGTATTTTGATCAAAAATAAACATGTTTTTTTTTAATTGTCATGTACTATGCACATTACTCAGTTAATACTCGACTGTCACTTGGCATCGAACAGCTTGAAATCCTACGCAAATCTTACCAAACAGATAATGAACTGAAAACGGTTGTAAGATAAACAGCAATTTGGCAGATTCCGTTGTTATGGAATATGTAGACACGTAGGTTTTCGAGCCAAACAAGACTTAAGCATATTAAGTAACCATTATCAGATAAAGATAAAGCGATTAAGTATGAACTGCAACTTAAACGTCTAAAAACATCCAATCTTCGCACTAGATTCACCTTTTTTTTCTTGATAAACTTCTTACTTGAGTTTACTTCGAATGAAAACATACGACGATATGGAATTTCCAATGAATCCAAGGATGATAACAGCTGCCATGTAGATAACACCAAACTGTTTTAAAGTACGGCGGAACGACGCAGTCGAGATCGAAGCCATGCCCAGAGAATTGGTTTCATTGAAATTATTCATTGTTTTTCAATCTGAAACATTCCGAATGTATTGGTGCATTGCTAACAGACTATTCCTTCTATCTGATGAAACGTCTTTCAGCAGAAACACATCATCAATAAAGTAAAAAGTGTCCTGCCAAGCAATAATAATATTCTTCGCGAAAAAAAAAGCGAGATAGAATAGAACATAATTAACCATAATTATCAATGTAAATCAAGAATTTTTGAACTATACTAAGAGGAAACGCTCTTTCGGTATGCACGGATCGCCTTTCATGGAAGAGAGATGTTCGTGAAAGCGAACTATATGGTTAATTCTCGTGTTCAGCGATGAATATACATTTGTGTTATAGAGTAAAGCAAAAATATGAAGACGAAATAGATTATTAAGTCAATTATATAAAATCAGAGGGAAAAAAGAGAATATTGCTCGCAAAACTCCTTTTCTTCCTCTCATTCTCTAACTCTTCGCTCGACTAACGTTGTTATTAAGAATATGATCGTTTTCCAACAACGTGGATACTATCTGAAACGGCTTCAATAGTCTTTTCTTTCTCTTCAATGATTTTATCTTATTATGTTAAAATGGGAAAACATCGATTGTCAACGATTTCTAATAGGCTGGTCATAAGAAAAAAAAGTCTCATTATTTCTTTATTCTTCACGAACCATAAGGAAATTATTCAATGATCATTATATATCAAATCGAATGCGTCTACTCACCTTGACTATCGGCAAACAAATCGATAAATATAGAACCAGATTTGATAGTGACAAGAACACAACAGTTTACTAGCCATATGCATAGATTTATCATCAAATTGACTAATCGATATCTAACACTCTCCCCGATGATCGTTTATTTGTACAAAAAAAAGAGTGTATATCTCTTGAACGATGACGAGAGTGACCATGAGAATTAGTTCTTATGAACACGTTTTATTGATGAAATGGCAATAGGAAAGAAAAGGGAAAAGAGTGACGATTTTGGTATCACAGAAACGAATATGGCGAAATTACTATCATTCTTTGAGTTAAATCAAGGTCTGCTCTAATTGAGACATCTGCATACATCACTGAGTAAGGTCATCGAGAAACACAAGCGCGGACTAGTCTAGTTCACATTATGTAGCCTTGTCATGACGGAATGTCGATTAAAACCGGCATATTAAAACGAAAAAGGACATATACTACAATAACTGTTCCTTCTCTTGGGATTCATTAATAACGAACGTCAGAATACAAGGAGAGAAAAATAGTCCACACCCTCAGAAATCGAAAATATTCTTCGATAGATTGTTGATGAAAGAAATGCAATTACTCTCATCAACATCGTAGAAAAGCAGAAGATGCGATTAGTTGAATGGTATTTTTAAGGATGTTTTTCTCTAATATTTCGATTCAGACAAAAAAAAAAACTTTCGCTTTTTCTCCTGTCCATTGAAATTCACTGATAGAATTAGATCACATGAATGAGCTCAATCAACGATGAAAAAGAAAGATCATCACTTCGCCATCTGATAAGTATTGATATCTGATTTGACTCATCGGATAATAGAGAACATATTCCAATAACGTTTAGTGACATTGTATCTAGTTGAACATTCTCTATCGGCATGTCTTCGACTCGAAGGTTATTCTTAAATAACATCGAGAGATATGTGATAACGATAGGTCGAATACAAAAGAAATAGGAATAATCCAAACAATTGCCACCAATGACTATCAATCACCTGTCTGTCACAAAAGCTGGCAAGGTTAACATGCTAACACCAATCGATTGAATCATCACCATCATCTTTCAGAAAGAGAGAAAACGAGAATGCCTCTATCAACGATAATACCCATTTCTATCGAAAGTTCATCTTTACAAACGATTACACAGTGTCAACTCGGTTCTGCCTGTCTGTGAAAAGTCACGTTGGTATTTATGAAAGAAAATGCATGTGAATATTGACAATATTTATTAATCTCGACATGAAAGATTAGGATTTATAAGAATGACATAGATGAAGCATGACATGTATAAACCATTATCTTACAGCACTATTCGAGATTAAACGTTGCTTTCTCAATCGACCAAATGACACCAATTAGATATTTGTAATTCAATTCTAACGTTCTATGTGTATTTCTCGTAACATTTGTCAGACAGATCGACTTCTGATCGACTCGTGTAGTTAGAACATAAATTAACATTTTCCCAGTGTATTATTCATCGTTATATGATAATATTACGTAAAAACGAATCCCGATGGAATATGATTGAGTCTATGATGATTCAATGGCTTATTTACTCTCTTTTTTTTTCTTCTTATTATGGTTACTATTTAAACAATCAAATCGGTGAATAAAGAAAGGAAAGCAACGTACTTTTACTTTATATTCTCTTCGTCGATATAATCAGTAGAAAAGCTTTGTTTTGTAAAAAGAAACATGTCGAACAATGAATCGAGTTCGTCGCTTGAAATGATGTCAGCCGCTCTTCGCGCTGCGACCAAACTAGCAGCTGAAAATGACCAATCGGCGGAAATAACACCAGAAATGTTAGCTAGCGCAATTAAATTAGCAGCACTTTCAGCTGATAAACAAGAACAATTAACACCTGACAATATTAGTGCTGCAATACAAGCGGCCAAAGCTACGACCTCCAACAAAGTAGAAGAACGTCACCAAAACTTGACACCTGAATCATTGGCAATTGCATTGAAACTCGCAACCAAAGCAGCGGCAAACAGTGGCGATGACGACGATGTGGATGATGATCAAACAATAAATCCAGTGTTAGCAGCTATGAAAGCAGCGATTATAATGACACAAAAAGAACAATCCAATGACCTAGCAACCGCTGAAACATTGTCGAATGCACATAAACTAGGAAAAGAATAACAATTTTTGTCTCGTAGAACCCGTTTTCGGTACATATGCATTTTGATTTTTATGATAAATAGTTGATGATCAGTGCGTGACTGTGATCGTATCATTTGATGCTGATCTCAGCATGGTTTTATCAAAATATAAAAGATGTTCGTGGGTGAGGAAGAATAATCACATCCTCGTAATTAAACAGGAATTATTTCGGGATAAAACTCTTCGGTTCAATGTTCACCGAACGAATGAAGTATTTGCATGTCAAATTACAATAATCACTTCTCATCTCGTGGTCCAACACGCGCTGTTTTGGTTATTTTTCAATGTCGAATGTTGTTTTTTCTATTAATTGACGAGAGATTTTCAGTAGCTGAGAAAGAACTAACGCATTAGATTCAGTACAATGCCCCTCCGGCAGCTGCTATTCTTACCATTGTTCAAGTAGAGCGAACAGGGTAAAAATATCTTGCTTTATTCATTCCTCAAACAAATCAACAACCAAGAATAGCGCTTGAAAAACAGAAATTAACACATCACGATCTCATACTACCCACGTAAACTTCAATAGCAAAAAAAGACCGCCGAGTTCTAAGGCAAATTCACACGCACTGGAATGAAATCTCTCGTGCATTTCACTCACATCGATTGGATACGAATAGCTAAAAGATTGTTTTCAACGACATGATAACTCTGATATGATCACCAAGATGAATCCTTACTTTTTATTTTCTTAGCACTGTTTTTCACATAACAACAATAACAAAAACAGATAGAGAAAATCATCTGACACACAGTCACTAACAAAACACATGAGAAAACGACAAAACATCTGACGCACACACACACACGCACACAAATATGGACGAATATACCGGTTTCTTTTCTTTTCACATAATCTGCTTACTAAATATCAACGAAAACAAACGAAAAAATAAAGAAAACAATAAGATAAGTAAAAGACAGTTCCTGTTCTTTATTCTTCTTCATCATCGCCATCATCCTCACCATTATTGACATTTTCATTAACCTCTTCCTCATCTTCTTCCTCTTGTTGTGGTTCTTCCTCATAGATCGCATAATCTTGAACTTGATATTGTGCAATTGATTCAATAATGAATTCTGGCGAACAAAATCTTATGCCTAATTCCACACATTTCCAGTATTTATCTTGCCGTTCTTGAACGTACGATTGTTCACAAAGAACAACAATCATTTTACCTTGAGCTGTCCAACGTGTTACTTGATCTGTACGTAATGAGGAACATGTATGACCACCGCATAACGTGATCAATGTACGTAATTCTTGATTATCCATTAGCTAAAATTGAGCTTGTAAATCAGAGTAAGCGAAGAAAAGGTTTTTTGTCTTACATTTTGTACACCTGAACACTTGAGCATGAAGATGTGTTTCGAAAATAATGAATGTCTTCGTGTAATCAAACGCGAACGTTGCATACCGCCGTGAAACATTGTTGCACATGTTAGATCGCCACGTATTTCGAATTGTAAGGCTAATTCATCGAGTAAAAGCTTATCACAACGAAGACATTCGTCAATCCAGCGTATTGATAGAACAGTCAAATGGCGTGCTAGGGCGTGAACAACTTTAGATGAGAGAGCACAGACAAATGGAATTGTTGTATCATCGGTTATCAAATGTGTTGTTTTTTCATCGATTTCATCCGAATAATAGACATTAAAACGTTGCAGAAATTCATCCAGACGATCCTGGTTGAAATGAGAGAGGAATTTCGGTGAGAACCTTCGTTTTTCACTCCTCTTACCATCTGTTCATCAGTTAGACGAGAACCAGTAATTGAAATCGATTTATGCGTCATTACGTAATCATCAAGACGACTATCCATGGAACTAGCTGATGAACATGCTTGATTCGACTAGAAGAAGAAAAGGCAAAGATCAATTGAAGGTGAACTGCGTATTCAAATCTCAATTTATACATCGGACGTGGCAGCTGATTCATCTAAAGTTGTATTCGTTGTTGTATTAGGTAAAATTGATTGAACAGGAGGTACTAAAATGCTTCCAGATAAGACAGATTTCGTTGAGGAAAGTTTATACTATTTTGATTGACATCAAAACGAGAACGTTTGAGAAGCACCCATTCATCAGACTTTCGGCGTTTGTTGTTATTGTTGTTGAATACATCGAATAATTCTAGTCAAAACAGGAAATGAAAAGAACGATCGTTAACTTCAAGATTCTTAATGGTAATTCTCTTTTGAGTGACATTCACATCTGTTGGAAATATTGTCAATATTTGAATATCTGTTTACCGTTATATTTAGCTTTAGTGTACTTTCTATATGATTATCATTCACAATATTTGTGAACTTTTTATAGTTGTGTCTAAGTCGTCTTATCAGCAATAGTATTTGACGAATATAGAAAACTGTCAGCTGTCATGCACAATTATATTTTAACAAGAAGATAAATCTGAGTATGCTTTTGATAGGTGCTGTCAAGATAAACTTACAATTTGGTTGTACTGTTTTCCGTCGCCAATCTAAATTGACAGTAGAACAATATCATTTACAAAGAAAGAAAAAGCCTTTTTTGCTCAGCTCACTTTTTAGACCAAGAGATAGAGGTGTTTCAATTGCTAAAATAAATCAAACGAAAACGACATTTTTCTCTTCTTCTATATTAACTCTCAATACGCACAGTATCGAAGTTTGGACGGTATCACTGATGCGGCGGTAGTCGTATTTGTCGTTGTTGCCTTGGATGATGCCACTGCCGCCGCTGATTGTTGAATTAGCTGTCTACGTTTCGATTCATTAACAGTTATACCTGACGTTTGATGATAATGGCCAACGCAAAGGCTTCTATAGGCAACAAAGGCTTGACATTCTTCTCCGCCATCATATTTACACAGTTGTCTCCAAACACGACCATTGAATCGTTGTCTTTCAATTGAACCATCTCGTCGAACATGTACACGAATTTGATCCTTATCTGGGAGGATCGATGCTGATGAGGATGAACTTGTCGTAGTCGTCATAATTTTTATTAGTTTCTTTTTCTACTGTTAATCTATTGTTACAAGACAGAAAGAGAAGAGTGAACAAACAAATAGCTATTTGTCCGGTATAATAATATTCATTCGTCATCAAGCTTATTTTGATCGTTCTCTAACACATTTTTTACATATTAAAAGTAAACAAATAAAATACGTATAGAAACGTGCATTTATAATGGTGTTTCAGCAAACTCTTGAAATTGTTTCTGTCGGTAGTCAAGGATCGACGCAAGTACCCAATGTGACGATACAAAATGGATGCCTAACGATCTGCATTGATCATAATTATGACGCCGTTCCGAAACATAGAGCTTATCACAAAGAACGACAACGGCATATTGATCAAGTGCACTTTGAGTTACACACGTTATGATTTTCCCACCGCATGTCGTGATTAAACCTTGCAAACGTTCATTGGTTAATTTAATATCATTATTTTCTGTACATTTAATGATGAAACAAATGTTGTCAAATAACGAATGGCGTTTGTCGATCAAGCGCGAACGTCTTGGGCCACCAAATATTTGCGAATGAGTCGTATCACCTTCGATTTCAAAGCGAGCTTCATCGACAAGTCGATCGTATTGAAGACATTCGATTATCCATTGATAGGAAACACAATAACAATGGTTAGCAACAGCTTCTACCAACTTGATCGATAGCGAAGAACGAAACGGATGTTGCTCGTCATCAACAATTAAATGGGTCGTTTCAAAATCGACGACCGATTTTAGAAGAACTTCGGAAGAAAACTTTCGTAAGAATTCGTCTACTAGATCCTGCGAAACACAAGGGAACATTTTCTTCTCGCTTAGATTTTGTTTTAAACTTACTAATTGATAACGCTGGAGACAAGTTGTGGCGATAACGAATTGTTTACTCGATTGTACCTAAATAGATGTGCTAATGAGAGAAAATTTTCTCAGTTTGAGTCGGACTACATACATTAAAGTCGAGATGTCTCTCGTCGATATCCATTGCTGCAACATTAATCATCGATGGAGAATCCGTTGTGTTAACTGGTGCGGATTCATTCGAAATCGGTGAAGTTGCATCTACAGGTTTGTCAACAGTCGATTGAATTAGATCAGGAATATCCTTCGGTAAAGGTGATGACGGAGGTGAAGGATGAGCGCGTATTTTGTGTTTCTAAACGAATAAAACATAATCATGTGTGGTGTTGTTTGAAAGAATCCAGTTTGCGACAAAAGAGTTTTTCAATACGAACCTTGATGTATCCAGCATGGAAGAATTTATTACATATTTCACATTTAGCTTTATGTCTGGCTTCATTATTTGGTTTTATGTTCAGTCTTGGCCGTAATCGACCTTCTCCAATGTCCCATTGATTAACGAGGAAATGGGATAATTCACTGTCGGTTTCCGGATCATGAGCTAAATATTCCAAATGATGAAACGCTATCAATTCAGTTCATTTCCTTTACCTTGGGTCTGTTCAGTCGTAGTTGAATGATCCGAAGTATTATCATTCTAGAAGAAACAAATGAAAATAAGAAATTTACTACAAAGAAACAGCGAGTGTACTTTAGTTAAAACAGCATCTTCCGATATTGATGGAACTATTCCGTTGTGTATGTTTTTGATATGGCGTAAATAAGCCGATCGATGCGAGAATTCATGTTGACAAGCTGTACAGAACTTTGGTTTTTGATTATATGATTTTTCTTTGTTAATTATTCCATCAGTTGAACCACGTGGAGTTCCAGAGGCAACAGAGCATGATGCACCATCATTATGTTCATCTATTTGAAAAATAAACATTTTCATATATTTGTTTTTATCTTGAAAACTTGATGTTTTACTTGGTGAATTGATACTAGTTATAGCAACTGTTTGTAGATGATTTGAATTTTCCAAATCTTCGGAAGTGGTACTTTCTCTTTTATTAGTCTTCTTCACACATATCGTCGAGATCTCATCTGAATCGGCAGGAAAAAAAACAGATGTTGATCGTTGCATTGCGTCCTTTTCATTTCTTACCCGGTGTCAATCGTGGGATACGGATGATTGGTCGTTTTGCTTGAGAGTGATCGGCAAGCATTTGTTCGATGCATTGCGTACGTCGTTTCAATTTATAGATATCTTTTTCCATTTGAAAAAGTATATTTGTCATCGCAATGACATACTTTCGATTCAGTGAATATGTACGACGAAATAATCTATCGTGACGAAAGCGCTGCTTAGAAAAAACTCTCGATTGATGATCACCTAACAAAAGTATAATCACTCTATATGACGAGCAAAACATGTTTTTCATTTACTTTTGAAAGCCAAATTTCGACGTTTGGATGGACGGTCGATCGTACTTACGGACGCACTTGATGATGAAGACATATTTTTTATGTAGGTACTATCAGTGATACCCACGTCGGCTGCTTGGATAAATCTCTCATTCTCATTCGCAAATGTATCGCTTGTGTCAGATGAAACTGACTTATCAGGTAAAGAGGTATCCGACGACTCAAAAACTATACCAGATTCCATGGATGTCTCGTGTCTATTGATAATAGATATAAATGAATCTAGATAAGAAAAGAGAAAGCGTTTGCGAAAGTCATTATCTCGCAAAAAAAAACGAAAAAAGCATTTAAATACTTGTGTGATGCATTCGCTCACTTTCGGCGAAATCCCACCATGTAATCGAAAATAGAAACACATTGACGCGACAAAACATACACAGAAAAAAAGAAAAGAACCTGGTACTTCTTCAGCAGACTGACGAAACCCCCATTTGATTGGTAAAGTTTATGAGAGGAAAGAAAAGAAAACTTATTGGTCTATCTATTCAATAGACAGAATGATCAATAGAAAGAGGGCGCTTGTTTATCATCTAAAGGAATCTATATTATATATATAAAGAAGAAAGTTTGTCTGTTTGTTCGCTATGCATCTAGTCCCTGTAGTAGCTATCGGCGTGAAACTTTCCACAAAGCTTCCTGAGACCCAGAGGAAGGTCAACACCTACTTTGTTCCGAGAACAAATGAACCAGACGTTTTCTACAGGCAATATATGAAACGGACCAATAGGAATGCGAGATTTCCAAAATTGAGAAAATTAATAGCGAAGGCGGCCGCAGTCCGTCTGAGCGCTCAAAGACAACAATCCACATGTTCTATCTGTGCTTGGGAGTCCTATACATGCTACAAGCAACCTGCGGAGCTGACTAATAAGATTGCGAGATGTGAAAAATTGCAGCGGGTCGGTAGCGAAGGCTGTCTGAGCGCTCAAAGACAACAATCCACGTGATCTCTACGCCTATGATAGTTCGGCGAATGCTACAGATAATCTGCGAAACTCACCAATAGCGTTACAGGATCTCAAAAGATTAAGATAAATGTTGAGGGTGGGTGAATTCGAAGGATATAAGGTATGAAATGACGTGATAGTTAGAAAGAGGTCGATGAATGAATAGCTGGAATGTAGAATGAATATTAGAGAGAGAGAGAGATGAAATTTGAATAAGTTATGAGGCAGAAATCAGCTTCGGTAACTCTTTTGCATAAAAAGCTATAATTGAAGTTGTCGTTTTGTGCGATGCACGGTGAGAAAAATTAGGACCGCCAGCGTACAAACTTGGAGTCTATTGATTTTTCTATTTGCTGCAACTTTTCAACACGTCAGACGTTCGACATAGATATTTCTTATTTTGCAGCGGGTACGCCCGCTAGTGTTCTATAAATAACACTCCTTGACAATAGCGGATTCCATTCACAATGACTTACTCTCCTATTCCAGCTCTTGATAATCTTTCTGTTCGTGAATGGAATAGCCTAACCGATGATGTAGAAAAAACTATTCATTTTTGTCAACATGTCGCCTTATTACATACTTATCCAACTGAATTCTGTCCAAAACAACATAGAAATTGGTATTTAGGATCATATTCAAAGTCGATTGATAAATGCAAATGACGCTGTCGAGTATGTAAGTCGTCTCGTTCTTTACGTAAAGATACTTTTTTTGAGCATAGTAAACTTACAATACAACAAGTACTAGATCTCATGTTGTACTAATGTCACGATTTAGACTCACATAAATTTATTAGAGTGAGGCAACCGAAGACAAAAAAATCACTTGCTATTTTTGTATCGTATATAAGTCAGTCATTTTTTGGAATTTTTCTCTATTTTTTTCTGACCTATAAAGTAGCATCCACTCTACATTCTCATGTAAAAATTTGTTAGAAAAAAGCGACTGAACTTGTTCAATCGACTATTTAGTACGAACAACTATCAAAATGTTGCAATGACCCAGTGTGAGGCAAATGCAGACAACAGCTAAACGGAACAAGTAATTGCAGATTACCAGCAGTTTTACATGGTGCTGATAAAAATAGGTTTGCTCATTACTATTTTTAGATAAACTAATATTTTTCTACATAGCTAAATAGCTGTCAAAATTCTCTACAGTCGGCGGAAATCTTATTTTTTAACTCTCGAATATTCAGAATGATACTCAAAATACTGAATTGAAAAAGCACTGAAAAGTTGTGCAATCATCCGCTCTGTTTAGCTGTTATCTGCATTTACCCCATGCGGAGCTATTGCAGAAATTTGATAGTTGTTCGTACTAAATAGTCGATTGAACAAGTTTAGTCAAATTTTTCTAACAAATTTTTACATGAGAATGTAGAGTGGATGCTACTCTATAGGTCAGAAAAAAAAGTAGAGAAAAATTCCAAAAAATGACTGACTTATATTCGTAACAAAAGTAGCAAGTGATATTTTATCTTCAATTACTTCACTCTACTCTACTCTACCAAGAACTGAAAAACAAAGGTGGTAGACTTCAATGTTCTTTTATTTGCTGTCTAATAGACGATAGAAAAACAAAACACGAGAATCTACATCGACTAAAATTCACCGTAGCTGTTGACACAAAAAAAAGAGCGGAAAAGTCAAGAAGAGAACAGTTTTAAAAAGAGAAATAGAAAGGAAATATTGGACAAATTTGTAGACAGAATTCTTCTTCAGGTATATGAATGTTTATGCTTATATTGAAAAGACACATGTGAATATTTGAACACGACCGTAGTAATCAACTAAGAGTTGTTTTGTTCCTTTTCATCGAGTTTTTGTGCTACACACGGTACCCAGGAATGGACGACCATAAGTTCGTTATCAGTGGTAGGTTTCGGTGCCGCCGATAGCCATGATGGACAAAATTCAGCTGCATCGGGATTCAAGTTAGTTGTCTGTGAACGCTCCACCTAGATTCCAAACAAAATACGCAATTCTAGCATTGTAAATTTAATCCTATTTACTAAGTCAGTCGGCATTTCCGCTGTAGAATATTCTTGTTGCATGTACATCATACATTCATGCATTTCGTCAAACATGATATCTTGCTAGAAAAAAAGATAAATGTTACACAGGTTTGTTCATAGAAACTAATATTGATTGCATATGACAAAGCAGAGTTATTCATTACTACCTCTTCGGCCGTGAAATCAACCCAAATCTAAAATAGAAGTCGATTTCTAATACACGTAAAGCAAGACAACACAAAAAAAGATAGATGACTATATATACCGAGTCAGTCTGTTGCCATTGTCGAAGATTCTAAAAAAAAGAAATTTAGATGATAATTGAAATGGACAACAGTCGAGTTTTTCAACTACTTCATTTTCATAACTTTCAAACGCACGTTGAACATCATCGGAAAACACAGAATCATCTTCATCGACATTATTTCTCTGTGTATTTTGAATATGTTGCTCGCTTTCCTCCCATTCTTTTTCAACAGCGTCCAATGTTGAATCATCAAGGTCGTATTCACCATCATCTTCAGCATTGTTGGTATCATCCAAGCCGTTCTCATTTCTTCGAAGAATGTCTCAGAATCATTCAGTCAAATAATCAAATGTCTTACGAATTTTGTTCGACATGCTCTGTACTATTGTTATCTACGTTCCACGATCCAACATCGTTATCAGTACTAAAAGAAATCAACCAATTTCATTTATTGCTTTTCATGCTCATCATGATGAAATAGAATCAATTAGTTTAATTGTAACGCTTCCTCGGTGAACGCATCGATCACTCTCACTGACATATTCTGCTTCCATATGAAATTTGCTGTCTACAATGCTACGCACATTCGTTAAGATGACATTTCAACTGAAGAGAACTATCACATACTTCTTCAAAGGCCCTGTATATTAATAACGTAGATTGAAATTTTGTCTCAAGAACTTGAGCAAAAAAATGTTTTTCCTGTGAAATGTAAATATAGTTTTTCTCGCAAAATAAGACTAGGAAACAACATCTTGGTCGTTTCTTTCAATGACTGCTACTCTCTTTTTCTCTAGTAACGAGTACAATATATACATAAACATACGACGCGTCGACAAAGATGTCTGGCATTGAAAATAATCGATAAATTTTAAGGGCCTATCAAACCGATGTCAAACAGCGATTATCAAGGGTCACAGTTGGCGTAAACAACTGTTAGAAAAAAAAAGTGCTTTTCCCTAATATATTACCAGCTTATAAAATATCCATTCGTCTACTAATATGTCTACAAAACATACCCAGGATTCAGTTGTAACGATGGATCGTCTTCATAATCGGAAAGTATATTGTAGTTTGAAGCTTGTGATTGAGAATTATTTGAATTATTCGGTTGCTGTTGAGCAGACGACATCTAAAAAAAGAAAACTCAGAAATGCATTATCCGACAGGCACCATCTAGGTTAACTACTTGTTAGTGAGTAATTTACAGTGAGGGAAAAAATTGTTCGACTTGTTGTAAAATACCTGAAAAAGTAAGAGCAGTAAATATAGTACAGTAGTTATTTCAATTCAATTATTGGTGATAATCATCCATCACTTATATAATACTGTTGTTGAATGTGGATTTTTCAAAACCAAATCCGACTATTTACCGAAAAACAACTATTTTTGTAAGTAGGAATTTTCTGGAGTCCATCATTTTGTTGGAATTATGAAATAGAATCTATTTTTTGACTTCGAATAGATGTCGCTAATCATCGATCAATGTAAAACAAGCGAAATTATTTCAATATGGGGCATATTAGAGTGAAACCACGGTCTTTTTCAGCATCTTTACGTCGCTTCCAAGCGCGGACTCAACCGGAACTGACCGAAAAATCACCCACACTGGAACTTTTCAAAAGTTTAAAACTTCAGCCGTCGTAAAAAATCGGAATCGTTAAGTATCTCACCGGGAAATACTCGAAACAATATTATAACCCGTCGGAACCGGGTCGGACTGAGTCATATCTCGTAATCAGAAATCAAATAAAGCGTGAATAAATTTTTTAACGAGATTTTGTATAGACCAGAAAACTTCATATATTGATGTGATTTCATGACCGAAAACAATAAATTTAATGTCTTTTCCTCTGACTGAATTTAACAAAAACTATCGACAGTAAATCTCAGATATATCTTTAAAATCATTACATCCAGTTTTCAGACTCAACTGCGTTTAACATGCTCAAATACGCTTCAATCTATCAGATAAGAACGAAGATTTTAGTGACTTCCAGCAATATCCATGCAAACGGAACCTGACAAAAAGTAAATCAAATCTAAATCTCTACTCAAACAAGCTCCGCTCTAGAACAATCAACCAGATATCTCCGTGATGTCATAATTAAATCGATTGAGTCTCATGCACTATCTGAAATCCGGTAAAACCCTATTACACCCACTCTATATTTGTCCTCGTTTTTCAACTACGTCACCAAATTTGGTACGATTTCCAGTATTTTCCCGCGATATCAATGAATTTTATTCTGCTTTCACCTCGTCTTTCCTTGGATTGAAGTGGATTTGACTCGATTCTTTGTGAGATTAAGTCGATTTCGTATAAATATGGTGCGAATTTCTATGATCTATCATGAGGTGTTTATAGACTCTATTGTGGCTTTGTGTGATTTCGTAGAGATTTCAGTAGCTGTGAATGCCTTCTCGTGATCGTTTTGGGTTTTATAGGAATTTAGGACATTTGAGTACGTTCGAACTTTGAACAATGGAAAATGATCGTTACTGCACCGTATTAGCTTTCGTTTTTGGTTAATGTGTAGCATTGCACTGAAGGAAGTGTACTCGTGAGGGACGGCATGGATTTTAATCAGCATTTAATATTTTAGATTGATTTTGGATTAATGTGAAAGAAAAAATTGCTTTGTACTACTGGGTATATGTTGAAATCAGCGAACTCTTTAAAAAGCATAGAAATTCTTCAAATATGAAGAAATCATCTTATTCTGATTTGAATATTTAGAAAGAATACAGCTCGACTAGTAAGCTTTGATTGAGAATCCAAATATCACATATGAAATACGTGCGAGATCTGAGACGCTGGACTTCGGTTACTCTCCGCCGAACAGTAAAATATTGAATATGATCTGTATCCGGTACCTCGTAAAAATACCAATAAATTAATCGATATGAACCGTCGAGGAAACGCCAGGATGCGATCAGTATCTAGAAGCTTGGGAATTTTAACGGATCCGGCCGGTTCTCGCCGTACAGCTTTGACATGGGAAAGTAATCAAATATATGCGGACGCGTGCTTTGTTCAATAGACAGAAAAAATCTTATATAGAAAAAAAATAAAAACAAAAAATTGTAGAGAGATCGAGATTGGAGAAAAAGTGCAATTGTGGTGTTGGGATTGATTTCGTAGACTGATAATGACGACGACGACGACGACAACTCTTCTCTCTATTTCTTTGTGTTTACCAAGCGCGCATATACATAGTTAATGTGGAGGAAATTTGACAAAAAAGAAAAACAACGATGACGACGATAACGACTGTAGTTCGAATTGAAAAAGAAAAAAAATGCAAGAGTCTTTGAGCGTGTTGGTTCTTATGTGGTCATCTGTCGTTTGACAAAACGAATTGATAACAGGCAGATAGCGAGAAGTAGAACAATTTGTTGGAGATTTTGAATGCTTGGACCAGCACCGTATGCTCTCACATCTTGATCATAGGCATATTCTGTCAAGAGGAAAGACATTGAGATGTGAAACAATGTAAAGGCGACTTACTGAAGAATGCAACAAATGGAATAAAGGTTGCCCATAGTCCAATAAGACCGAGTGCTGATAAACAACAAAGGCAGGTGATAGCACCACCTAAGCCACCTAATAAACCACCTACTCTGCCGCCACCTGCTGCTGGTCGTCTAAAGTCAAAAGGATAATAAGGCGGTTTAGATAAACATCAGTCATTGGCACGCAACAATACACTTACGCTCCGATCATCTTTTTATTTTAAGATGGACAGCGATCTAAAAAAGTCAAATAGAAGTTCAGTTGGTGATCGTCGAAAAAGGAGAGAGAGATTTTCTGTTCTTTGAAAAAACAAACATCCAATACTAAATCCTCGTATATGCACTCTCTTTTTCTCTCTTCTCCAAGTATAAGCATATAGCACTCGCTAGTTATTATTGTTTGAAAAAAATACGCCACTGTATTTCTCCGCACTATGCTTCTCTCTCTCTCGTTGTCTCCTCGCATCTTTTCTCTCTCTGTCTCTTTTTCTACCTACATTCTATCATCTGAAGGAGACACATCACTGTACATTCACGTCATGGTTGACGGCACCTTTTCCTTCGTGTTAGTACACGAGAGAAATTAATATATTTTTCATCAATATGCATGACTTATAAGATAGAGGGAGAAAAAAGGTATTTCACCTACGTTTACAAATAAAAGAAACCTCATCAAAAAGAGAAACAAGCTATGCACAGCAGCCTCCGTATTTGACGATGAATGTGTGCATATATGACAAAAAAAAGACACCAATCATGCATGACGTCGCAGGACAGCACATGAGTAACGAGAAGAACGACAGGTTTTTCTTGAGTAGATGTGTAAATAACCGAGAATCGTCCTTGGTAATCATACTCGACGATGATACTGTGACAGAATATGTTGAGAAAAACACGAGTATCAAAAACGTTTTTCGACATCCTGGCTTAATTAAATACGTTTCTAAAAATGATCTATTGATATCAGTTGAAATTTGCCTTTTAGCAACGACGGAAATAAGTCAATTAAATAGTAAAAACAAATTCGCAGCAGTTTATTTTATATTTCGAAAAAAACTTGTAAAGTATAACGACGACGACAACGACGATGTTGAGGGATTAGGTTTAGAAAAAAAACGAATGTACTCGTTCAAAAAAAAGAGAATTTTTCTTCTAACGCGCAATGAAAAAATTGAAAGGAAAAATATAGTTGTGTTGCAAAAAAAAATAGGCGATTTTTTCTGATTCAAAGGTGTTGAAAATAGGTATATAAATGTCTGTGTGTTCAATTAAGTGCTAGCAACACTGCGGCGGTGTTTGGATAATACATAGAGTGAGCAGATGAGAGCACAAGCAAGAACCAGAATGTTCAGCTCCATTATAGATCCAGCGCCTGTAGCATTTTTACGAATTTGACTTTGGATCTTATCTAAATGAGAGAAAAGGAATGAACATAACGTTTACACACTGGAGATATAGTCGTACTCATGTAAGCAGCAGCAGCGATCATAGTGGCGAAAAGACCGAGTAAAGCTAGTGATGCTAGACAACCAAGACAAAGTAATGGACAAGCTAAGCCACCGATGATACCAGCGAGTCCAGCACCACCGGCTCGTGCTGGCGCAACTGGTGCTCGTGGAATGAATGTCGGTCTTCGCCTACGAGAAAAATAAGATTAAGAGTGAAATTAGTTTGTAAATTAACTTACACGGCATATCGATTAACGGAAGCGTAGGGTCGTGGCCGGATGGACATGATGCTATTGTGCACTTGAGGAGTCCAATCAACAACGACTTAATCTGAAAGTGAAAGTAGAAAGAATTTTCTTTTGTAATCCTTCTCATTAACACCAATTTCCTAGGCGACTTGCGTGCAGTATTTCTTCTCTAAGCACGGTCCAATACACTCGCTCTTACTATTTCTTTTTTTCTCTCTCTATCTTTTTCGCGTCTTTGTTGTGTTTTGTTAAATCAGAAAAGAGAAGCGAAAAAAAAGAAAACAACGTCTAATTACCAATCGCTCTGCATTGACGAGGGAGAAAAACCCTAAAGTATATGTTCTACCGGACGGACAGAGAAAAAAATCGAGTAAAGACCTCCAAAAAAAGCATGACTATAATATTGCACCTATACATAAAAAATCGAATCTTGAAGGCAACATATATTCGTACGTGTATAATAGGCAGTGCGAGCTCGCTCAACCATACCGAAAGTCAGTGATACTACAGGTAGACACTTTGCTAGAAAGAAATATGAAAAGAAAAAGAAGAAACAAACCATGATCGTCTCCGTTTCTCTCTCTCTCTCTCTTCGAAATGCTCGACGGGAACAAAAAAAAAAGTACAGTCGAATGTTATGCGTGAATGCTCGACAGCAATAAGACGACGAGTGGGTTGATGAGGATTGTATGTAATTAGATAAGAAAAGAAGGAAAAAAAAAGTAGAAAACATGATATGATGTCATTGAAATATTAACTGGTCATGTCTTGCAATGATGAAAAATATCATTTGAGAAAAAGGAACAATGACATTGATGATTTATTACAATTAATAGAAATTGGCGTAAAAAAGGAAATTATTGGAAAAAATAGGATCTTTCACGCATGTGTGTAAGTTAATCTGTTCAATATGATTGATTGATGATTTGATTGAATGATATCGAGCCATTGAATATCAATGACATTGAGTAAAATGAACACAAGGTATCTATATCGCAATCGAGAGATAAGATTTTTTGCACAATGGTTATAATTCGATGTAATCGAAAAATATATTTGAAAATCTATTCGAGATAAGGATGGATTGATAATGAACTACAATGTGAGATATCATCTATTTCGAAGGACAAATCCCTGATTATCATAATCGTTAGATCTCGATTTTCAGAGTAATTTGTCGAAATAGCAAATGAATAGAAATCAAGAGTTGATCATATAGTTCATATTTATTCGATGATCAATTAAACGAACAAGCAAGACACGAAAAAAAAACCGAACAGAGATGTCCTCAGGCTTCTTTATATTCCACTCTTTTGTCTTTTGGCCAATCGACGGTGTAGTTCAGCGGACATCGGCATTCTCCTTTTGGCTGTAGGATCCATTTCCATTCGACATTATTGGCGTCGTTCATTGTTACTGTACAATTTGAAGCTTGTTCCTTTAATCGTAGATCAGGTATCAATAGTTTTACTCTGATCTTCTCATCTGACGATAATGGGACTTGTTCGTAAATGTAAACAGTCACGTCAGTTGCTTTAGTATTAACTACGCGTGTTTCATGATAAATATTTTCGCAATTGATTTTAGAAATTAAACCTTGCGTATCTGTAACCTTCTTGACAGGTTTATATTCAACTTTAATACTTGCATCCATTCCTAATGGTAAGTCGAATGTATCACCTAGACAAACGTTGTCGATTGAGCTGTGGGCAATGAAGTTATTATCCATAAATACGGCCGCAGGTCCGGCAAGGAGTTGTTTGTCTGATGTGTTTGTTGTTGTAGCTTTCAAATAAGCATGTAAAGATAATTTCGGTATGATTGTGTAGGTAAACGTAGAACTTAAGTCAAGTACACCAATGGTTACTTTATGTGGTTTTCCCTAAAAAGAAATTACACCTTGAAGTTTGTGTATCTGTTAAGATATCATACAGAAAAACTTACATCAGCATCGATTGTTGCTCGGCGAGGTATAGAAAAACTCGAACTTGACATGCTTGCTTCAGTTTCAGCTGCTAAAACATTGATTGTAGGCGATGCAGTGCTTTCTTCTTGTTCGTTGAACGAGCTTGAACCAAGACTTGTAAAGGCACGCATCATCGATGATGGACGGGATTTCTTCGCACACATAAGCATAGGAGCTCCGAAGCTTCCGCCGAATCCGGCAAAATTTTCTCTGCGGTAATCATACCGAGGTATTTCGTAACCGATCCTCAGTGTTGCTAGTTTCGGTGGAGCACCACCGAGTGATGGTTTTGCTGTTGATAGTGATAACTGAACGTTTGACCAATTCTCTTGACTTTGATTGACCTGTACGTAAAAACATAGTCCTATCGCTCAATTCATAACAAAGGTTTTCAAAAAACTTACAATAATACCATAGTAAGTTAATTGAGTTTTTTGTTGTTCTAGTTCAGTACTGTTTACTCGAACGTCGTAACTAGCTCTCCATGAACAGTTGCTAATCAAATAGGAGATTTCCAAAGCAATATCAACATTGTCTGATGCTATGTGAACTGTGACAGTGACTTCGCGTTTTATTTTTTGACGGTGAGCTTCTCCCTCAGCACCATATTGACTGATCTTAGCTTCGAAACCATCTTTCTCTTGTGTTAATTGTTTAATATGATTCTGTTCATTGGTTGTTTCCTCATCTAATTTTGTTAAATTTTTGTAATAGAATTCCAGAAATTGTTGCATGACATCAAGATCATTACTACCACTTAATTTTTCATCATGATTCATTAATTTTGTGGCACGTCCATCAAGCCATGTCCGTTGTTTTACCAATCGTGCCAGTTCTTGTTGATGTTTGTCAAGATTTTTTTGAATTTGATCCAATTCATTTCGCAATTGATCTAATGGTTTCAATTCGGTATCTAGTTTGACTTCTTCGTGTCGTGTTTGATAAGATACTTCGAGTATTGTGCATGCTTTACCCGTTCCACCACTTACATGTAACGATGTTAAATCAACAGATGGTGAAAAACCTTCGAATACAAGGTCATAAGTACCTTGAACATTAAAATGATATTGTACTGAACGTGTCACTTCTGCACGGTCATTGTAAACAGTTATATATTGAATAGGACATCTACGATCAACATTAAATTCAATAGTGGTTGGCTTTGAGTCGGAAGAATTTTCCATCGTAAAATAATAGAACATATAAATCTGATGGAATTGATTATATACTTGCACAGTCGTTACTCAATAACAGTGCAATTATTCACCTCTCCGATTGTAGGTTATAAACGTGGCAATAATATGGCTATGACTAAAAATATTGTGCGCAAATGAATCAAGCATTGCAGAAAATAACGCATATTATTTTACGTCTTGCGCTATGAATGAGTCATATATGTGAAGAGGAAAATTTGTCTATATGCATCAACATATTCTGAGTCATTCGTAGTTGTCACAAGATTGCGGTGTTTCTATAAAGGAAATATTGTTTTGTTTAAGGTAGTAAATCCAAGATGTGAATGAAAGTGTAAGCCAAGATTTCGATCTGTACAATTCTCATGTTTGCATCCACAACATTTTACTATTAAATTAAAGTTCTGCTAATTGAACACATATCAAACTTAATTTCCCTAGTTTACTTGACTTTCGAAGAAAGCATCTATTCACAAAAGAAGGAGAATAGGTATAAAAGCCTATGGAATGTGCTATCGCTTCATCGGCAATGACAGGTTTCAACTTGGCATAGTTGATTCTAGTAGCACTATTGGTAAAATTTTTGATTATATCTATTAAATGTTCATATTGCATGAGAATCTCATTGAGATGAGATAGATATATTTTTCTGATGTTCAGGAACTGTTGGGCATAGTCGAACAGGAGTAGAACGAAGGCTGAATTTAATAAAGTGAGAATATGCGATGATTGACAATGGTTGTTTATCATTCAAATATTGATGTGGGTGAACTTGTGGTAACGAGTTGATCATATGCACGTGTGCGTAGGTAAGAGGACAGTGTGAAACACTAAAGACGCAAACAAAATTTCTAAACTAAAAAAAAAAAGATTTTCATTGAGAGTGAAAATAAAGAATTATCTTAGGGAAGTTTCATATTAAACCGATATACCTCTTTGGAAAATTCATGTGTTGATCTATACAAGGACCTGTGAAATAGATTTTTTAGTTAATAAAATCAATAAATGTCCTCGAATATCTTTTGCACTAGCTGGTAGATTCAAACTTTGACCTGCGATAGCGGATGTGCACAATTGATTGAGATCAGCATCTAAAAGACAAAGACAAATGAACGATCGTCAATGAAGGAAAACATGTGGAGGATGTTGGAAATCATCTTCAAGAGCAAAATCCAAATGGGTCACACTAGTGAACACGTTAAAAAAAAAGCAAATACACATTCTCGGCTATTGTCGATTACGGATACGGTTAGATAGGAAGATTGTTTCTTGAAGTTGTTCATGTATAGCGATGACCCTCACAGCAATCGAATTTAATTGACATTTCGTTCATTGAAATAGCGTAATGCAGCTTGTAGATCGACTATACTTAAGGCGACTCTGGATAATTTCGGATAGTTTATTGTACCGAAAATATGAATAAATAGTGAATATTCGATGGTTTGATAAATTCGAGGCAGAACTTTTTGTCAGAATCGGTTCATCATCCTATGTGATAGCGAACGGATTTTATCACTTGACACCGTTTTGACAAAATTGATGGATTGAGTATGAGCAATATCATGTGCTAATCTGGCGAGTGTATGATTGACATCTGTGACATAATATGAAACATCGAAATTAGAAATTTTTAGTATGATCTTTCTCATGTAGCAACATTGTCAATACTGAACGTATAAATATCTTTATCATCCTATAAGTATAGTCACTGATTCGTCGTCGGCCGTGAAGAAAAGTGTACGTTATTTAGTAAATTGACAACTTTCTTGCGAACTTTTTATTCCACCAATGTAATTTGGTATAGTCGGACTGTGAAATACGATGGCTGATTTTCATCTTTTACTTGAAAATTGATTTTATTCAGAGGTACAACAAAAAGTAATCCATAGCAAAACCACCACATGGCTTTCAAATTACGAAGTTCTTTTTTGAAAGTAAATGTATTTTTAGATGAACTAATTTGAGAGAAGATCTCTGGAGCAGAGTGCCAGACTTACTATCAATTAATAAAGAGCAAAGTCAGAAATAAGATTAAAATATTTAAACAAAATATAAATGAGTGTATTCTGTAAGAACATCAGTGATAAGAGAAATTAGTTTTTTGTCGATGACGCTTCTTCAAGTAGTCATTATCTGTAGGAGACGATGAATTCGACTACTCTTGAAAAGTAATGGATTCTCTTCAGTTCATATGCTATACATTTTCTCAAAATAGCAGAACTTCAGACAGTGTCAACTCGAGAGTAGAACATGGACGATCCAGAAAGATGAAAAGAAAAAGCAATATCTCTCAATTTCTTCAAAGGATGCCTGGGATTTCAATGTAATAAACGTCTGAAGTGCGACTTAAAATATGTCTTCCAGCGATTATGACCTATGTGAGTTCCAAAAAATGCGTGGCTTCCATTTCTTTACGATGATAAAATCCACCGTACGAAGTCCAGGATTCGATTTCTCATTAGCTTTCAGACTTAAAAGAACACACTTTATTTTAAGTAAAAATGCTTTAGAATAAAAAGTCTTATTCTTTTTCTAAATCAGGCCATAGTTTATAAGCTTTTCGATAGCATTTAGTGGCTTCTTCGAATCTCGATTGGTCTTCATGCTGTTCAGCTACAGCGACTAAATCTCGTGCTTCACGTTCTTTGTCGGACATTGGTGAACTTAATACTCGTTTGTACATAACATCACTAAATACAATCAGAAAAGTCGAAACTGATGTCAAGGTAAAGTCTCCGTTAACTCACCTTCGCATGATATATTTCTTGCCAGTAATTACCGCTTCACCTTCATGAAATAGTTGATGTTCAAATATTAAAACCATTCCTTTGAAAAAGAAAACGCGCAATTTCTTACTCGTATCAAAACAAATTCTTTGAGTAACTTTACCTGTTTTCGGCTCCAATGCATGAGTGATCGCGTGTGGTTTCGAAGTGGCATCTAGAAAGTTGGTGTGCCCACCTGTGAATTCTTCGTTAAGATACGCCATAATAGTCAATTGACTTTGTTCCATATACGATCGTTTGTAAATTCCATCATAATGAGGTGCAAAATATTGACCAGGTTCATATCTAAAATGTACTCGTTCTATAGAAATTTGTCAATCCATTCTTTTAATTTTGTACTTGCAAATTCGGATTCGCTCATTGAGATTCAACAACTCCCAATAAGATGTATTTAGTTTGCCTGGCCATTGTTCGGGAAGATATTCTGTAAATAAATTATGTTAGTGGAATGAAATATGAATTCCTATTGAAAACAATACCTTTTACACGGAGAAGAAATTCATCGGCAAGGCTTCGTTGAGTTATCTGAGTTCTAAAAACAATTTTCATACTGTTTCATCATTTTCTGCAAGTTAATTCTAACCGTGTATTCGTGCGATAATTGTTTCCGTATAAGAGTTTGTTAAATCCGATGTTTTCTATTGAATTGATTAAAAATTGACATTCATCGAAAGAAAATGTATCGTAAAGAACAAAGCAGACGATATTTTTGTCAGGAAATATATCCACCTATCGAAACACGACCAATGCCGAACACGTGTATTTTCATCATCGAAATTTACCTTATGCATGCGCTGTTTGGTAGCATCGTTATCCGCATGAAATTTCTCTAAAAACCCACGCCATTCAACTTCGAAATCTTGAATAGAACCTTCGTCACCCATCGTGTATCGATGTGTTTCTTTCAAAAAGCCATTCACTATACTCTTTTTATATCAGATGCCTTCTCCATTCTTGCGCAATAACCGGCATCATGAGTCATGTGTTTACTATCCAATCAAACATAGATGAGGCTGAAATCATATTTTTCCTATAGAATATTTCTTATTTGAGTTTAAATAAAAACAAAACATATACAACACACACAGTATCAACAATGTCTTATGTTCAAAAAAAAATCGATTGGATTAAAAGACAGTACTCTTTCTCTCAATGTGGCATCAAAGACGAAGCGGCAAGACAATCTGTAGGCACAAAACCTTCGTTACTTTCTTCATTTCGTACCCAAACCCAATGCGGATGTGTACAACGAAGAACTTGTACTAATTCATTCTTTCGCACACTTAAATCTTGACGAAATGTTGCCGAATAACTTCGGGTAATCATATACCATCCATCAACAAGCGTCGACGTCAACGGGCCCACTTGCTCATCTTCATCTTCAGCCACAATAGTTTGATCATTCTCGCAAACAACCCGTCGGCTGCTTTCCGCTAAAGGTATTTGTGCTGATGGTGATTCTTCGATTTCATTGAGAAAAAACTCGGAACCATCCGACGATAAAAGATTATGTGAAACGTAATTAATGAACGATGGATCACACCTTAAATGACACGATTGCGATTTCGTCATTGATCGATTGGGTAACGATGTCGAGGATAATAATGAACAGTGTGAAAAGTCACTCAATGTTGACACACCAGAATCTGATGAATCTCCACTAATCGATGAGATCGTGTCATCGGATGTAATCTAGATCGAAATCAAAATATCAAATATTTTATCACATTCACCTATCGATCTGTTACTCACATCGGTCAATGGAGTAATTGTTAGTTCGGAGAGTTGTTCAGCATCGTTGTCTGGCATTGATAAATAACTAGTTGGAGAACAATATGTACCATTTTGATCGATGATCCCTCCGCAAAACTTTGGTGTTCCTACAACAGATTCAGAAATTACAATATCGTTCAAATGCATGATGATAATTCTCATCTTTGATTGTAAATATCAACGTTGCAAACTTACGTTTAATCGTTTTACATAAAATGCTTTTCATGTGATGCAACCGAGCAAAGACTTTCGCTGTGGTTTCTTCCATTTTGTTTCGATTGGTATATTCAACTATGTTTGTTTCATACATCTAACCGGCAAGCTGATGCTTTCACAAATGACAGATATGATCACAATTATGCAGCTATTTCACGCGTTCATCTAATTGATCTATTGGCCTAATCCACTCTCGATCGTTTCTCTCTCTCTCTATTAATAAAATAATCTATTGGTTGTTTGCCGTTTTCCTCTCGACTTGATCCTATTTCACTTCTCTGTTCGACTAAATTAATCGGCTAATCGACTCATCTCACTTCTCTCGGTTGAGAAGGAAAGAAACGAGCTGTTAGATATTATATGCATGACATCAATCATTCATTTGTTCAATTCGCACGTGCGAGTAGAAAATAATTCTTTCTGTTTGATCTCGTTTCAGACATGATAGAAGCATTAAATACATAAAGAAGAAGAAAAGAAATTTGTCTTGGCTAAGCTGTTGAAACTCGATCTATTTTGAATAGATCATCACTCCATTGGAGTTTTTCAGCCCAGGCATAGAGTGCATCGACTTCACCGTCGTTGAATTCATCTTTAGTAGCAAATATATCAACAGTCTGGTCGCGTGTTTCGTCATTTTCACATGAATTGATTGTGGTTTGTTGTTCATATTGAAGAATGAGAGTCGTTGGCAAAGATTCGGATACTGTTTTCATGTAACTTTGTCGCATTTTCGATGTATTTTCCACAGCACGACGAGAACGACGTCCTGATAATGATGGCTTTTTCGGAAGTACGGATGATGTATGACTTGTCCGGGATGCGGGGGTTGATCTAACGAAAGGTGAGTTGAAGAAAGATGCTTGGAGAAGATGTCATTTTTTTTGCGTACTTGATTTGTTTCAGTAATTGAATGTGTTGTAATTGGATCGTGGGGGCATAGGGTTGAGTGAGAAGGAGAGGTATATTATCTCGTAATTCAGGTGTTATTCCACCGGATTCGATGTAGCTAATAATATCATAGAAGATGGTTTGTCTTGGTATATCTAATTAACAAATCAGTACGAAATTTAATTATAACAGAAAGGCTATGATCATTACCCTCGAGATTTAGTCGTCGCCAATGGTTCGCTCTTCCGCCTAGATAGGAAGGGAGTTCATCAAGTAAGCTTGTATACTAAAATAGGATCTTTATAGATCAACAATTAAGCACGCAAAGAACAATCTTACTTGCATATAATCTTTTAATGTGACTACGTCGAGTTCATGTGTCGCTCGTCCGCTGGTGTTATGAAAGGAATCGGAAAGCATCTGCTGATAGAAAACTCGTTGTCCCATTTGTTTACATGCTGCTACACGAGCCTACATTTAAAAGAAAAAGAAAACCATAGAATGTTTCCTTAAAGTTCGATGACGAGGCCGTACGTTCATGTCAGCATTAATGACTTTTTTACCATTGACGTATTTGGGTAGAGCACCATTGAAATTTCGAGCATAGATTTTAAAATAAATAACCGGAGGAAACTCTGAACCACCAAAACTGACAATCAAGATAGAATCAGTGAGATCTCGAAATGAACTCGAATTATTTCTTACCGAAATTTGACTTTTACACTCATACTTGGATCGCGTAGAAGCTCAGCTTCACGCGGAGCGATCCGACGAAGAATATCATCGGATAGACCATGCTCAGCTGCACATACAGCATGTTTTAACAGGCGAAACATCTGTTTATCACGATGTCGACACCAAGCATTTTCTATAATTTGAACTGCTTCTTTGGTAGAAATTAAAGCACTCCGGGTTCTGAAGAACAGATCAGTCTCGTTCGCAATGTGATATGAAAGAAGTCTTTTACCTTTTTCGAAATTTTGCAGACATGAAAATAAGTCTTCGATAGAAAAAATTTCGATCTGAAAAACGAAAATAAACATATAATTTGCACTATGTTCCCGTTGCGTATTCTTTTTCAACAAATTCTTTCAATTTCATTTTCAATTCAATGCCAAGTAAATTCTCAAACGATGTCGCATCTAACGTCGCCAAACGACATTTTTCCAATGCTGTCACTGTTGCATAACGCGGTTTATTTTCCAACAATGCTAGTTCGCCAAAACATTTTCCCGGTTGCAATGTTTTCAACTCTCGTATTGATCCGTCTTTTTCCTTTCGTGTTACTTTCACCGATCCGTGTTCGATGAAAAACATTTCATACGCATCTGTATCACCTTGTTGAATGATTATCTGGCTGGTTGAGTAATAGCGTGGGCGTAGAGCATCGGCTAGATCTTCCAGACGATTGTCATTCAGCCAACCACGAGAATAGAATGTTTGAATAAAGTTAATTGTGTGAAGAAATTTCAGATATTTTTCACGTTGTTTTATTGCAAAGGAAACTGTCAGAGTTGAAAATGTATCTCGATCAATGGACCATAATTGACCGTCAGTTGTCGCTATGACAGTCGCTGTACGTGGTTGACTAAAAATAGAGTAGTTTCCTGAAGTTTTATGAAAAATAGAAATAAGATTTCTTTTGTCCTGTGCACAAGAAACAGACAGGAATGTACCCACATGAGCGAGTCCAATTAATTCGATACTAAAAATGAAGAATTACCTGTAAAGTAATGCGATCTCTCCGAAGCATCCCTATAGAATGTTCTCGAAAGCTCACAATTGATCATTCGTATACCAGGTGAATTACTTTGTTATCAAGTTCTGAAACCTTCTTTCCGTTGACAATAACATCATATTTACCGGATTCAATACAATAAAAATAATCACCTTCGTCACCTTGTCGAATGATCTCTTCGTTTTTCAGAACATTCTTCGGTGATAAATATTTGACAAATTGTTTCACTAATGAGGGATCGTCGCCGACGTAAATGACAGTATCTTGTACAATTCGGCATAACCTTTCGAACACGTCCGGGTCCTTTATAACAATCTTGTCAGTTAGGTCACGATTCGGATCCTGCAATAGACAACTAATTATTACGTTATTGTGGAAATGAAAAAGAGCGTTCTCGCTATACCGGGGAACCACCCCAAACAGATTGCCGTCGTTGTTTCTCATTACTGAGATTTGCGACACTTTCATTCGATTTTTCGTTGGTTTGATTTGTTAAAAATAGACCTGTTTGCTCTGTTCCATGTGAATTACTATTTTGTTTGGCAGAAAAGTATTGTACTGCATAAGAAGAGAGTTGTTCCGATGGAATTCGCTCGCGTAAAACATTCACAACAAAGTCCGTTAGGAGAGGTTTCAGTGCAACTGGAAACTGAATTGTTTGATCATTGTTCGACATGTTCTAACCAAGAAACAAAATGATTCATTAGGCGCTTTTCAATTTCATAGCCAAAGAAACAAATATCTCGTGTAGACATTCTCTGCTGCCATTTATTTCTCTATTTTGCAACAGTTTCTTAACAATGAACGAGACATGTTTCTTGTTCTCAGTCGGCGAAGCGACAACTATAGAGAGAAAGAGCGCGACTTTCACCGGGGTATGAAATGATTTACTTTTATTTGAAAAACAAGAAAATAAGCGAGGTTCGTCCTATCGAAAACATGAAAACCATGTTTTCTTCTTCGGTTTCATCACTGTTTGTGCATGCTGTTGAGGAAAATAGAGTCTCATCGAATTCTGATTTGTAATATGTGTGGTTTGGGTCACTGACTGATAACCTATGGAAAATGGTTGATTTTTTCTCAGACACTCTTTGGAAATATTCGATAAACATTGTCTCGACGCCGAGAACGGTCGATAATTGAAATACCATCGGCAATCACAGCAATAATTGTGAAACGATCGTGACGTAGGTTTAATTTCTAAATAAACATATTCCGAATTGGAATTAGTTGGACTGTCATTATCTGCAACCGATGCATGATAGGCTACGTATTGATCGTGTTGGGATTGTTTACATTGAATATGTAAGTAACAACAACAAAAGTTTTTCCATAAACGACCGATGGTCTGGTAAGCGGATTTAAACATGGATTTCAGTTCATTTCGAAAGTGTCGTCCACATAGGCAATGCAAAATGATATTGGAGATGGAATTTAGTATATCGAATTTGATTAAGATATCATAGTTTTGCTGTAAAAACATTGGACAATCATCATCGGCCAGTAGTTTACGTTCGCAATAGACAAATTTGATTAAGATATCGCTAAACCATGAATTGATGATTGCTAGTAGACATTCAATGGTAATAACAAGTAAAACTCGACGTGTATCGTCTGTTCGCCGACGACATGGTAAAATAAAGTTTTTAGTTAAACGATTCAATTGCCGTACTCGATACAATGACAAAATATTACTGATAATCGTGATTAAGGACGGAAGAATGTTTCCAAAAACTAAAATAATCAATTCAGTTTTATAATTAGCCTCGAATTTCAACAACAAATGAATATATGCAATTTCACACTTCTAGTAATCGCTTCTATCCAGTCGTAAGATATGCATGTCATTCAAATTAGAAATGTTGAACCTGCTCATCCTTATAGGTAATCGAAGCCTAAATAATGAACATCTCGTGTATTCGTATTTTTAATTGACAAAAAGGAAATGACAGGATGGACTCGTACCTTTGATATTGCTTACTTCACTTTGATGATTAATAATCATCTAACGCAACAAATCCCGTGTTTTTCCGCTAGATTAAGCCGGGAAGATCTTCTTCTGCCTTAATTAAATGTACTTTTTGGTTTGACGTCGAAACAAATGTTCTTATTCATGTAGAATGCAGAATATCAAAGCTTTATAGAATTTCCCTATTAATTTTTCCTTAGCCATTGAGCAATATCAACGCTGTAGGCTACTATTAAATATGCAAACGTTTTCCGGAACGGAAAATCCACGTAGACACACACACGAGTTTAATATCATTTTATGTTAGATTATTTGCTCATTGAAACACTCTTCTGCACAGTACATCAGTGTGATTGCAAAATTTCCTAGTTTTTCCAAGAAGTCCCGGGAGTTATTTCCGAATGTGACAAATCACATGTAATTTTCCTCTTTTTTTTCTTTTTGTGAAAGCACATCGGTTCGATTCATTGAATAAAATGATCGATCATATCGCGCTCTATTCTTCGACTCTTGTCATCTACAATACAATGATAAATTTGCAGTGATAAAATATGAGTCAATTAGCTAAGTGCGCATTGACGTATGGACCCGTCGTTGTTTTCAATCAAGAAACGGTTTGTTAGTTCTCGTTTTTTTTTGTTCCAATAATGAAATTCAATATTGTTCCTATGAATTATTAACAAAAACAATTAATAAAGCTCGAAATCGTTTGCATGCTATTTGAGCGTGCGAGCGACTTTTCACCTTGTCTCATGTGTATTAACTAGTTGCCACTTACGCATTCGTCTCTGAGTTCTTTGTCTGAAACGTTCCCGACGATTTCCAAAAGCTATTTTATTATCTGAATGCTTATCTAGTCATGATTATGTCCTAAGTCTCTTCAAAGGTATCGTGTACTCTTCGTTTATTGAAAATTGTTACACTATAGCACTCTACCAATGGATATTTCGTATTTTTCTCGCGATTAATGTGTCTCTGTCGAATTTATTTATACTATCAGCCGTATTTAGACATTTTCAGACACGCACACACGAGTAGTTGTTGTAATTGTGGTACTGCTACAATTAGTTTTTTTTCTTCTTCGATAGATGTTACGTGACTACTAAATAGTCCACTTAATTTTGAAGTTCTACTCGATGTCTTCTATTATTTTCGATGAGAATCATCAAGTGTATAATCAGACTTTCATTTCTCATGTTTAATCGGATAGGAAATCCTAGAATCGACTTCGAGGATTTGTCGTCTCAAAAGCTAATGGCATCATCTTACCTAGAATTAATGTATGACGATTAAATCCAACGTTTCGACTGTACATGAAATCGTAATGTTGATGGAAAAACTTGGGATTTTGAGGAAATAAACATTCGTGAAAATGATACTTTCGGCGAATTTCATTTCGTGTTATCCGAACACCCGAAAGATTATATAAAATCTTTCCGATGAGATTCACGATTGATTTCTGGTGTTGGTCAAAGTAAAACGATAAAATATTCATAAACTCTTCCTCGGTACAGATCTCGTTGTTGTAAGGAATTTTTGAGCTTCGATTGTGTTCTTGCAGGCTTTTCAGAACATAGGTCACGCATTTGAATTTGCTTGGCTGATCAAGCATGGGATTCGTTAGAAGATAAGTCGAATTTTCCATATGTTTCGCCATGTACATAAACCATTCAAAAGACAAATCACGATTATTTGACTTCGAACAGAACAATGTTAAACCGGCAAATTCGAATATAAACGCTATGAGAAAAGCTAACACGATGAATAGAAATGTCCATTTATGCTTGTGTATATCACTAAATGCACTCGGCAGAACTAAACGTTTCGATGAACGTGTGATAAATGTTGTGCGTTGTACGGTCATGATACACATTAATATTAATGAAAAACGCATGTAGGTCTCCGAGTGTAGCAGCGGGACTAGAGTTTGTGGCCAATTTTGTGTTGCATGTTGATACGCACGTGCGAGAAATGTGTTCGAGCACGAATCATTGGAATCAGCTTTCAAATAGAAGAGTGTTTGAGAGTAGTAAAATAATTTCGTTAAACGAAATAGCAAATAGATTGAATCAGCAAAAAGAAGTACGATGAAGTAAGGCGTAATGATTCGATGGCGGAATTTGTCACGAAGGAATACTAATATGCACAAACCATTCCCGGACGAACCGATCACGAATAAAAACAAACCAATAAATGCACAGGATATGACAAACATCTCATATGAAAGAAAAAAAAGCTCGTTTAGACCAGATTTATGAGTTTATATTGACTGAGAAATGTTTTCCGACAAAATATAACCTTAGTTTTATATATAAATTACAAACACTAACGAACACCTTGGCTACGATGACGATGATGATGATGATAGAGAAGCAAAGAATCAGTGTCCAATAATTACAAGTGTCAACTATTCGCAGACGAGAGAAGAAACATTAGATGTACACTGCTAGCTTCTCTGGAAGAAACACAATTGAAAGAATCGCTACCACGCAAGTTGGTTTCTTTTCAGGGGAGCGAGAGAGAAGAAAGAGTTAATCTTAATAATAAATAAGGTATTATAGCTCCAGCTTGACGAAAATTATTTTTAATGGCTGCAAACAAAGCGCATCGATAGAGAACATATGGAAGACGAGCAACAAGTGAAGAGAAAAGTAACGATCTAGATGAAAACAAAAGAAAAAAGAGAGAGCAAGCGAAAAGAATAAAAATAGAACTTCGTAGAAACAACCTTTCTCGACAAAGAACATGTCTTCTTTTACTTTCTCACCAGAAACACGAATAGCTATGGTCAAAACTATGGACCTCAGAACATTCTTTTTTCATGTTACACCTTCACTTTTATCTGAGCGCTATATAAAGAATTACTTCATCAGAAATAAAACATGATGCGAGAAAAGATGTGTCGAATCTGCCGGCATTTCTTTCTTCTTATTTCATGAACAATATATAAAATCTTCTCTCAGGTGGAAGTCAAAATTGACACATTGAAATATTTAGCAATCTAAAAAAAAAGATAACACAGAATAATGCGTCGACAAGCACACTGTATGTCGTCTTCAATAAAAGTAAGTGCATTTGTTTTTCTTTGCTTGCCTACAAATTCATTTCTCATCAAATTAATATTAAAAAGACTTGGTGAAGAAACATGAACATCTTTGACTGTCTTCTTTTTAATAATATATATTCTATGTCATCGCATGTAATTCACTGATCGTCAGCAGATCGACATGTGACTATATTCGAGGTACTTCGGAATATTCTTCGATGATATAGTTTCTCCGATCGAACAAAGAACATCGGAGGAGAAAAACTTCTCATGACCTGATTAGATTTTCGCTGAAATATCGTCCCTAAAAAAGAGTCAATTTGATTCAACAGTAGTTCTAATCGGATGTAGTAAGGAAAACAACGATCTGTAATAATTACAACCTCATGATCGAAATAAACGATAAACATAATCTAGACGCTTCCTTTCACGAAAGTAAAGGCGACCTTCTTTGGTGTAGTAAATACTAATTCACAGCGAGAAATCCTTTTAGCGCGCCGTGTTCAGGTCATGTGTACTCCGAAAAGCAAGTGTTCATGTTGTTCAAGTATTGTATATATGATAGAATATTGCGTTATAATAAGGTTTCCTTGAAAAGCATACTTCTGAAAGGTTTGCTCATCTATAAAAAAGATGCACTTCATGCTCGAGAGACCTTCTGTGCAAAGTTGCCGAAGACTTACTTTGATGTTTTAGAGAAACAAGACGTCAAAACGATTTGGCACCGTCTCTGATTGGTTGAAAAAGAACTTAGAAGGAAAGGAAAACAACTTCTTTTCATGCACTGATCGTTTATTCATACGATCAGATTAAATATTAATAAAGAAGAGAAACTACAATTTGATTTGATATCATCTTCGACGGATGAACAATGCGATGATAAGTCCAGGGATGTTCTATGGAGGAAAATTAATTTACAAAATCTATTTATAATTTCTCATGTTAGTCTTCTTAGAGATAGAGCGAAAATCATTGTATTATTGAATTGAATGTACTCCCGGAATGGTTCTGATTAGAGTCTGACACTTCGCTCACGTTATTCGAAGTCTATTTACGTTTTAATATATAATCAGATTAACAAGCTATTTGAATAAGGATTTGTCAAATAACCAATATGTTGTGCAAAAACTCTTGAACTACGCTTCGTGAATGCATTTTCAGAAAAAGAATCTTTTATTCTTAGTCAGTTGTATTTCTTCATAACCTATTCGAGTACATTTATTCTTCTCAAACTTCTTTTTGATGTGTCATCCTCGTACGGATGTCAGAACAAGTCTATTTAACGCCATTTGCAGGTAAAATATTTCAGGTTCATATTTGTTTTTCCATATCAGTAGTGGAATTCTAATAGAAAGCAAATTTAGCATGTTACAGTCACATTTTGATACGAAAAGGTTCTTGTTTCGATTTAGCTGATAGTAAACTACAATATTTAGAGCATATATTATCCGAATAGCGCTCCAGGGTAAATTTAAACTTCGGATGACATCATATTAAAGGCAGATGTGAAGTAATTTTGTCATAGAACAGAGTTTAATCATGAATGTTAGTTTCTCATTTTAAAAAAAGCTAATTTTCTTTGAAAATATCACGTCTCATTTCAGTTCTGAAAATGAATAATGCATAATGAACGTTTCTGAACATATGGTAGACCGATGGTGCAAAGATGACGACACTGCTTTGAAATAGTCTAGTAATTATTTGATTTATGGTTCGATATAGAAATACTATTAACTTCGATTCTAAAAATATTCTCTTAGGTTACCTGTCTTTGACCGACATAAAATCACTTTTCTTCATTGTCAACATCGAACAGATTCTTCTGGTTGATAGTTGAATTACTTATCTACTAACTCAATTGATAAGCAGGCATCCCAGTGTAGCGGATCTAGCCCACTCCCTTTCTTCCGTCTTGTCAAGGTTAGACCATGCATATAATCCAATAGGGTGCAATTCAATTAATGAATATTTAAATATACAAAGAAAAAAAAAAAGAAACATGTCTAAGACTTCTACGCTAGTGAGTTTTGTTTCAACCAAGGTAGTATCGTATCTAGACGAATGATAGTGGTAATCTGTGTTGAACGCACATCACAAAATGTTTTCGAGAAACGTGATACCAAGCCAACAGCAAATATCCGTTGATTTGTCTGAGCGAAAAGTATGCCACCTGCATCACCCGGGCATAAATTCGCTTGTTTGATTGCCATTGCTGTTGTACACAAGATCATCGGTGATGACACACTTTGATTGCATTGTATCAATCGTTGTTGTATATATTTCAGACGTATCGGTTTATCAGAATTTGTTGATAATGGTCCCCAACCTGTTGCATACAAAGATATGTTGTTTATTAAAGTTGTCATATCGTTCATCGTAGGCAATGGTAGTGGGCGAGATTCGATACTGAGAAAGAGTAAATGAACTTTTAATATAACAAAATCATCGGATGAATTGAATATTTGAATAACAGGTGACTGACGTTCGAATGCACTCATACTCAAGCGATCGTATTTGGCAACGTAAATTATTAATTTCGTCGAATCGAATGTCAGTTGTTGCTGCTCAAGAAACGTTTGCAATGAAGAAGATCGGTCGAAGCACTGGGATACACTTAAAACGGTATCTTCGTCAATTAATAAACCCGAACAAAATGCATCGTATGAAAAGTGAGAGGACACATCGCGATATGAAATTGTCACGTGCCAAGGTGATGAACTGGGAAGAACGATTCCATGTGTTCCAACAAAATTCAATGGATTCGATTGGAATCGATCAGAAATCTGTTGAGTATTTTCAAAGACGAATAAAGTCCAATAGGATGTTTGTTTACATTTCGATGTTGTTTGTACCGTACATGAATAACTCGTATTATGATTAAGAGTAATTGTGTCAATAAATAGCATGTATTCAATTAAGATCTGCGTATTATCAATACCATTGCCCTGAACTATTGCACCGTTCTTTTGCCATGAGATTGTGGCGTTCGATGTCTTTGCTTGACATTGAATCGAAAAACTTGAACCTAATCGAACATAATAAATGGCTTCAAGTGGTTTAATCAACGCACATTGATTGTCGACAGCGTTCTCGGCATCGTTTCCGTGAGTATCAACTATCATCCACGCATGACGACTGATATGTTCACCATTGGACATATTTACTTGACAAGTTATTTGAGTTTCAGACGAGAAATAGTTTGTCACTGGATAGATAAATAGTGTTGTCGTATTGGAAACAACTTTTATTGAAGGATTTTCGATTGAAAGAATAGATACATCTTGACCATTGATTAACCTATGAACACGTGACTAAATCATTCTCAGTAGATTTGAAATTACATAGTTACAATACCATTTGATGGCACCACGCTTTTGTTTGCAAACAAATTGTGCATGTTTACCGATCATGACGGTGATATTACTTGGCATTTTATCGAAATATTCTTCGTCATATTCTGCAAAAGTTTTCCATTCCAATCAATCGAAGTCAATTTCGAATGTAAACCTACCCGGTTCATAACAATCCTTCAAACAACTGTCATATTCAACACGGTCTCCGATACAATTGATATTCTTGATATCTCGGCGAACAAGATCGCTTTTCCATACGCATATACGTGTTCGATTACGTACGCCATATGTTCCGCACTTGGCAACACATCCAGACCACGATGACCATTCGGACCATCGTCCACGATCTTTAATAAAAAGAATTCCTTTTGAAAACACTAGCAAACATTCTCTTACCAGTCATGCAACACGAATCGACAGTACTCTCGTCATCACATACGCATCGATTCGATTCATCCGACCATGTACCGTATGGTGAGCATGTCTGCGAACAATTTTCATATTCAATCAGATCACTTGCTTTCCTATTGCACATTGCCACATGTTGAGCAAAATCGATGACAGGTAGGGAACACATTTGTCGATAACGTGTTCGTTGTCCGCCACCGCATGTTTTGTCGCATGCACTCCACGCTTTCCACGCTGTCAATGAACAAAATTTCCACGGTGAACACCATCGACGATATTTGACTGAGAGGAAATCGGCATCTTTTGCAAGAAGAAATGTTACCACGAATAATAAGATAGAACGATTCATGTTAGAAATGGATGTTGTATACTTTGTATTCGTTCGGATATACGTACAGATCGACGATTGTCAACAATGTCATTAATCACATACAGATATACGCTGACTGGCCAAATAGCTTATACAAACATTGAAAGTGACAGGGTGACAACTTGAAAAAAGAAAACGAACGAAGAAAAGAAGAGGAATAATAAGCAGAAAGAGAGAGATAGAGAGGGAGAGAGAGTAACGGTCAAAGAATGTATTCAATATATATTTATGAGCAATGATTACGTTTTTCTTGTTGTTGTAGGATATTAGAAAAGAACACTGATTAGAATTGATTCTACTTTGATGATCAGTAATACGAGTGCCTGAAGGTTAAACAGCTAACGATTGTAACGAATATTTCCGATTCTTTGATAAAAACGATGATTTTGATTTTTACTCATAAACTCTTAATCAACTCAAAGTAAACATATTGAGTCTGCGGATTTAATATCACGTACATTATCTACGAAAATTCACTTCATGTACGTGCGAAGCGAAGACTGATAACATGCATCAAGTACAAAAGCAAAGGAAGTATACGTGTTACCAATACAGTCAAATGCAATCTTTATCGTCATAATGAATTAAGTTGATCTTCTTTGAAATACGTAACGTTTTCTTTTGAATTGAACTGAAGGTCATCAGGGTCAAATATTGCAGTAAATCATCAATAATAAGCAAATAAATATATGACAGAAATGAGTGACACCGTTTTTTTTGCACCGGCAAAGCTTAACTTAGAGCGAGAGTGGGTGTAATCAGAATCATCGCCCCACGCCGTAGTCAAATAGAATATGAGGAGTCATCTCTACTACTATTTCTGAGTTCACTTTTCGTTTTCAACGTCATCAATCCTGGGAATAAAGAGATTTAGAGATATGTACGTCGCTCTGCTCAGCCATTGTAGATGTCACCAGTGTATAGCGGAATAGTATATAATAACAAAATGAAATAATATTCAACATACAAAAATTTCTCTTTAAACAAAAAAAAACAAATAAATTTACTATCTTTTGTCTGAGAGATGAAATATTTTGTTAGTTATATCTCCAATTAAAAATCGAGATGATTAATCAATTCAATTGTTACGACATCATAACAGTCGAATATATCATTCTTCATTGATTATACGAGTTCATCGAGTTTCGAACAGCATTTTTAGATCTAGACGTGAGTCACAGCGAATGGCTGAGGCATTACCTTCGTCCTTCGAGGGATGGATTCGTTCCTTACTCAATGATTTACAATCAAACAGCGATGATATGAGTGATTTCGTTCAATATTTACTCGGAATCGTTTCAAGTGACAGTGAATCTGATGACGAAAAACTAACAGCCATTGGTGAACTACTCGCTGATCTTGATTTAAAAGTAAACTTCAGTTCAAAACATGCAACTAGACAGACCTATCGATTTCATTTGATTAGCACGATCACAATGTTGGTGAACTCAGCCAACAAATACTCGATCGATGGTATCAATCACAAAACGATCTAGATCATCATTCGAAAGCTACTAACAACCGAGTAGGTAATAGATGTTTGATTTTGTCCGTTGTCTTACATTCGCGAAAGACGTACTGATGAAATTTTTAATATCAATTCATTTAGCGACTAGTAAAGATGATGATGCTATCAACAATGCGTTGATAAATGCTATGAACCAAATTGAATCAACTTCAAAGCTACATAGATCTCCAGGTGATACAAATTGGAACAAATCAAGCGATGATGCTGCTTTGAAAAAACATAAGTCTCAAGTCTTAGCGAAATATTCGGAAGTTTCCGATGAAGAATTCGATTATGGAGATGACGATGAAGCAAACAGCAATGTTTTATTCCAAAACACAAATACTCAAGATATTGAAGATCGTGAAAAGAAAGTTCGTGAATTACAGCACGAGGTGAGACTTAATTTAAAAGAAGTTTTCTTGTGAGAACAGGTGATTTGGGTTTTAGACACACAAAAAGCAGCAAGAGAAGAATAAAATCGATGCTAGCAATCAAAAACAAAAAGACGATGAGAGAAAAAAGAAGGCACAACAACGAGCTCAAAAACAAGAAAGACGGCGTTAACAACTTCGATCCGTGTTGTTTCTTCCGCCTCTTTTCGAATGAGCTGTGTTTTGAAAATGCATTAATAAAAAAAACGAACTGATATTCATATTCTTGACTCGTTTTTATTGTCTCCACTTACTTCATTCGACTGACTTTTAGATATAATAAAGAATGAATTATTTACTACGAACACTTATTTCTCGGCAGACTCCTGCCCTTATCTGCCGTCGTCAGTTAGCTAGTGACAAACAGCGTCGAGCATTTCGTACGCCAACTTTGATAGAGAAATTCCGTTCTTCACAGCCTTCATCGCCTCGTTCGAATAATCAACGACCGTTTGGTTTTATTAATGAGAAAAACGTCATTCTCGGAATCATTGCTGTCAATGGTGCTGTTTTCATTTGTTGGAGATTCGCGTATGCAAACCTCCGATCGAATCATGACCAACGTTTGCTATGGTTTATGACGAAAAATTTCAGTATGTCTCTTTGAATTGCCGACGAAAGCTTGTATTTTCATTGTTTAGTGGTATCATGGGATGGAGTCGTGCGGGAAAATCGTGTTTGGACATTGCTGACCTCAGCATTCAGTCATTTTGATTTGACACATTTCTTGATTAATAATCTTGTTTTATATAGTTTTGGTAAGATATTGTTTGGATTTTTAGGAAAGTGACTGTTTGAATGTTTAGGTCCACTCGTTCTAAATCACATTGGTTTGCCCGCATTTGTTCAGTTATTTCTTGTTAGCGCTGTTGGTTGTTCACTTGCACATATTTTTTATCAACGATTTTACGACCGAAGACCTGGTCTACCAGCTGTGGGTGCATCAGGTTTGCTCTGTTATGCAAGTTATTTTTTTTAGGATGATGTGAGTTGTATTGTAGGAGTCACAATGGGTATGACGATGCTCTATGCATTTCTTCGTCCGTTCGATCCCGTTCTTCTGTTTTTCATTGTGCCAATGCCAGTAATTGCTGCCGTAGGCGCATTTGTTGCCTACGATCTCTACCGAGCAGTAACACATCGTCAAGGAAATATTGGATCAGCTGGACATATCGGTGGTGCTCTTGCTGGAACATTATATTATTTTTTGAAAATCCGTGGACGGTTATAAACCCTCTATCAATGTCCTGTAAACTATTTGTAGCAGTAAACTATTCAAATGTAAAAAGAATTTGTTGTAATAAACGAGCATCTGATGATAGATGAGAAGTTCCATTCATATCTGTTGACTTTGGAATGTTGTTAACATACCAATCATCATACAAGTAATTGTTAAATACTTGAGAAATAATTGGCAACGATATATATATACAAGAAGAAGTTTGTACATGATATGCATAATACTATTTTCATCTTCTAAGAGATATGCGTGGAGTAGCGATCATCTTCGTTTGTATGTTATTGTTTCAAACAGATGTGTTTGCACAATTGAGTACAAGCTCATGCGCTTTGCTTCGAACCGCCAGTAGTTTAACAACAATTATTCCCGAAGTTACGCAGATTGCCATGCGATCATATCGTGCTTCTTCGTCAAGTCAAGGAAGCACTCATCAACGGCAAAAGCGTTTCATAAAAGATGAAATCACTGGCAAAAGCAGCACTTCGGGTAATATCCGAGGTACTATAGTCGAACAAATGATTGCCAATACCATTCGTGATGTTAATTTTACCAATGTTGCTATTTTAATCTTCAACAACAACGATACCATGAATAAACTCCATCAAAACATCGACATGGAAGCAGTGATGCGAATGATCATACGTGAAATCGATTATGAAAAACTTGGCAATGGCATAATGGCGACGATTGAAAGTGAATTGGATTTGGAACATTTAGTAGCGAGTATCATCAACGTTACTCAGTTGGATGTTATTCACGAGCAATTTCTTGCGAACGGTACTTTACCACAACGATTTTTAAAACATCTTCATCCAGATTTGAACACTCAGTTGGTCGAACGAATCTTTTCGACATTGAAAAATGTTACATATAGAGTGGTAAAAGTTTTGAGTAAATCCGAACGCTATGATAATTATTTATTTAATATGATAACACAACAAGCATTAACACCATTGAGTAATATCATTCAAGGTGTGAAAGCAGATAAACCGAAGACGTTCGATCAATTAGTGGAAATTATTGTTAATAATGTCAATCGAGTGGCAACAGTAAACCGAGAATGATTTGCTTCCAGTCAAGGGTATCTATTTGAATTGTTTTAGGAGCAATTTACCACTGATGCAAAACGAAAAATACCGAAAAAATCTGGAAAGAATCCAACAGCGTCTTCGGTTTCGGCAGTCGATTTAAGCAACAGTGATGAGGTAAAAATGATGCTCTATCAATGGTCGATTGCTGTTGATTCCATGGGACAAACAGCTCGAGTGATGTTGAAGTCCTTAGAACAACTCTACTGTGGATCGACATGAGATTAATTCTATGAAATCTAATGAAATATCATCAATTAGAATACCCTTCAAGTAAACCAGCGCATTTCGTTTCATTTTATAAGTAGATTTTTTTTATTCAGAAAGAAATAAAAAAAAGAAGTTTTGTTTATGCTTCGGCATACTTTAGTGCGTCTAAAATTGTGCGTAGTGGCACGTGAATGTTCTGCAAAGAGATTGTAAAACGTCCGGTTTCCGAATCGCGCCGAACCTCGTGCACTTCGAATAGAGTTCCCGGCAAAACAAGAATTTCGGATTCGTTTTCATAAGCAGATAAACACAACAGTTTCTTGGCATCATTGCGCCGCAAATCAATAGCTGTGCAGCATTGTTGATCGAATTGAAACTGACAAATCACTCGGTGACGATCGGAATTATTCGTTTTCTTGTTGCGTGCGAATTCATAAGCAATTTGGGGATCAACGGATGTCGAAGTTAATGTCTTAATTTCAATTAATGTTCCTGGATTTTTAGCAGCCCATTCATATTCACTGATATCTTTATTCGCCATCGAAAGACCACGATAAGATTGACCTTGAAAGAATCGTTGATTGAGTGTTTGCAATTGCGAATAAATTTCAATCGTAAATATTTCCACATTCGAGTGCAACGCGCCATAAAAATCCGTTTCGAGTGTGTAGAGACGAATGAGATATTCTATGTTGTTACGAGAACAGAATTCATCGAAAAGATAAGATGCTTTCTGATAATCACGATGATTGTATGGAATGCTTTGTTTTAATAACTTTTGTAACTGCCGAGCAGAATCATCGGATCGTTCCATTCGAGCAAGATAGTATTTGATAATTTGGGCACGAACGATCAATTTGATGTCTTTACTACGAAAATATTTGTGTATAAGTTTATAGCCGCTAACCCAACCATTTGGTATATTGTTCGAAGCGTGCTCTGCGCTCCCTTCGTGTGACCTTTCTGAAATTAACTCTAAACAATTCGCATTGACGTCATCGTCATCGACGAATCGACTGATATCTGTTTGTAACGGACGATGAAATAACAAACGAATTTCTTCATTCGCTGCTTCTTCATAAGGTGTCATTTGGTATTTATTCATGAGCCATGGCTTAGCACCATGTTGAAGTAGCATTTCAACAATAGCCCTGTGACCATAGAAAGAAGCAGCATGCAGTGCTGTGCTACCATTCGGTTCAAGACGATTGATATCACCTGCGTGCAATTGTGCCAATAGTTCCCGCGCTAATTCAACATCACCATTGCGACAAGCTAGATAAAACTCACTGGGAGTGGCTGAAGAAGCGTTTTCAAGATCGATACGACTATTTGTACTTGATATTTGCCCCATAAAAGTATGTTTCTGGAAAACGTTAAAACATCATATCCACGAAATCTTGACTGGAGAAGGGTTATGATGACGTACACGTGGTCAAAATCGTATAAATATGTTATGTCAATACGTTTTTGCTAAATAATTCTGTTCTTTTCATTCGAACTCTTGTTGTGATTTCTTCGTTCGACAATAGCAAACATTGAGTTTTACATTAAATTTATTGTGACAACAAGCCGTCATTCGAAAAATAGATTTCTCCTCTCTGAATTTTATTTGATTGTACAATCAAGACAACATTCATTCTCAATGGGAAACTCAAACGATAGAATGGGAGCGAATACTTCGATTAGCAAGTTTTATCTCGCTTGTAGCGAAGGTGACGTCGATGCAGTCAAACGTTTGCTGTTAACAATGAAGTTGAAGGATATTAATCGTATTGAATCCAACGGCAGCACAGCGTTACATGCAGCGGCTTCACGTGGTCATTTAGAGCTTGTCCAATTACTTCTTCAACATGGCTGCTCAACTATAACAGTTAACAGAAATGGTAAAACTGCTGCGCAAGAATGTTCTGATGAACAAATTCGTCAGCTAATTGAGTCGTCACGAGCCACGTCGGTAAACAGTGACCAAGTGAATGAAGATGCTCCCAATTCAAAATGGTGCCGACTTTATGAGAATGTCAGCAATGAAAATAAATCAATTGTCGCAACGAAGATTTTAAAAATGCGTCTCAGAACATATTTAACTCAACAGTTTAAAATTAATGGACCAAGCCGAGCTGAACATCTAAAACAATCGATTCTTCAGTATATACCCTCGACACACCGTTCTTATGCTCAAGTTTCAAGGCTTCTTCATAGATATATAACAGATGGCGATCCTTCGGATTTACTTAGAGTTTATACATTGGAAACACCTTTCTCTCAATATGCATCCGAAACTGAGGTATATGTTATGGAACTGTTAGTTGGTTTGATGACATTTAAAAATAGATTCTATATTGGCACAGTCTATCGAGGAATGAAAGTGTTGGCAAGTGAGCTGGTTTTTTATAAGTGGACGTGCGATCATCCTACAAGTTTTATTGAGTTGCGTTCGATCAGTCCTTGGAGTAAGAATCGCCAAGTGGCAGAGTGGTTTGCAGGACACGACTTAACCGAGAATAATATGGTTGGTGTACTTATGATAATTCATTTTACTGAACAGTGTCAGACGGCTATAGATCTGACGCGTATTTCACCGAGTACGCCGTCCCTTTCTGAATATGAAATGGAAGAAGAGGTTGTAATTTTACCGGGAACATTCTTCGAAGTCGTATCGCTAGAGCAGCCATCATCAAATGATTCTTCCGATCTTGTTATTATGGAACTGAAAAACATACCTGTATCACATGATATTTTACGTAAAACGATAAACGAATTAAAATAAAATCTTTCATGATTACGTGTACAATGGCAACATTTATTCATTAAGGTATTCGAGTCGATAACTATTCACAATACATCACATTTTGTAATTGATACAAGAGGTTTTATTGTATGACTCAGATGTATCTCTCTCGTATCTTAGTATTGTCCGCTTACGTATGGTCTTTCTCTCTCTACCATTGTGTGTCTCTTGTTTCAAGCCGAACAATACGACGGTATGTCAATGATGACGACTAAGGGAATGATGCCAAATGGAGAACAGTTACAATCGCTCTCATTTTTGTCTCTTTTTAAAAAGCATTTACAGAATCAAAAGAATATGTCAGTCAAATGAAAAAGTATAGCCATCAAGTCAATAGTGACAACAAATCACAGATAATACGATTGTTTTGAATGCAATAAGACAGTATCAAATACAAATATATCTATAGGTAAGATTTTGCGTCATTTATCTTTACTTTCTAAAAGATGAGAAGAAGAAAAATGCATGTGTCAATCTCAATTTCACAGTTCTATAGGCATCGTTATCCATGAAGACAATCCATACATTAAAGTAACATGAAGAAAAGCGCCATCTAGTCCACTGCAAAAGAAAAGTGAATTTTTAATGTCAAATTTATTCCTAATGAATAAGTTTTACTTTTAAAAATATAAAAGATATGTTGTAGATGACATCGCAGGATATCTGATTACAACGTCGTTCCTAGCAACAAGGAATGAGCCGATAATCGGCGGTAATTCGTTATCCTTAATTCTAGATCATCATGGAAAACAACAGTCAAGAAATCGTCCTATCACAAGAAACTGAAGGTGTCAATATTTTTTCTCATTTTATGTAAATCTTCAACTGTATTGTTTCAGATCATCCATCAACAAATGCACCATCATCGGAATTAGGTTCCACATTAACACTGTTAACAGTTCGTGATTATGATAAAGTAAGATATCAATCGCTTGAATGACATTGTTTTCTGAGAAGTTATTCGATAAGAATCCAAATATGTGCGCGTTTGAAGGACAATGCATGTGAGTATTTTTTGTCGTAAAATAAAACAACACAACACAAAGATCTTATTTCAATGAGAAAGTAGCGATCTGCGTTGAATTACCAAACGATTAAAACCACATCTGAAGGTTGTTATTTCTTTTCTTTTTCTCATCGAGATATATGAATTTATAACAACTACTTCTTGATTTGTCGAAAGTCTACTCGCGATGTTTTTTCGAAACCACCAAAAGCGTTTTCTTTTTCATGTCGAATGATATGCAAGTCGAAGATGACAATTAACTTTTATGATATTCGCCATTCGTTTTCATGATTCTTACATTCCTCAGTTCATTTTACGATTGAAAGAATTTATAGATGGTTGTTGAAAAGAACAACGAAGAAAATTGATAAGAACCTTCAATAAATCGCCAGCGTAGGAGAAGAAAAAACGAAATCTTTTGTCATCCATCCGATCCTATTCAAAGAATTACAAATAGATCAATGTTTTTCAACGAAACAAATAGCTTGAAATTATAAGCATCATTAAATTTCAACATATTCATGAAGGATTATTAACACGAGAGAACGAATGATATGTACACTTAAATCCTACTTTGTAATATTAATCGTCTTGCATGACCCTGTAGTTGACAGATTAAATTTTTCTTCTTCTTCTTCTTCTTCGATTATATATTGACACATTCCATCCTTTTCTCCTTTATCGTCGGTGTCTATATATCTGTGTATATTTATGTCATATTACCTCGTTTTCTCCTTTCTCAGCGAATAACAAAGGTATTTTTTACGCTTGATATCAGTGGTTTTTTTTTTCATTTATTGGCCTCGGTATATCGTCTATTGTGCATTCGGCTGATCGGAAGAGAGGAAAAAGATATCTCAATGCGTATACTTTTATGTCTGTAATGTGCTCGGTTTGATAGTATAACACTCGAGAGATAAAGTACAAGATGGCAGACGAGGTTGGCTGAAAACGAATCCGAACTTCTCATTGTTCAATGGCTCATTTCTTTTCTAGGAAGTTCAAGATCTGAAACGGGAAAATTTTAATTTGAAATTACGTATTTATTTTCTCGAAGAACAAAATCAAGTCGCTGGAAGTCATGAATATGCAACGCGAACAGTATGTCAAAAATTCTCTTGCTTGTTTCTCTCCGAAAATGATCATTTCTTAGACATACGTGCATCAACTCGAAAATGAACTCGAACAACTTCGCCGACGGTATGTTCAGTTCTTTTAGTCATACAAGATGTCGGATATGAGACAAAGGATATCATTCGAAAAGACTCAAGGTCATTTCCATAAGTTCAGCTCTGACAATATTGAAACAACAGAATCATTCTTAAAATACTTAACCTCGAACGAACAATTGAATGATTTCGTTTTCTTTTTTTGTCTTTTCTTCTCAAGCCTTTGTTCCCAATCAACACAAAGTGATGTTGTCCCTCAAACAGTTTACAACTTCGGCTACGACGATGAACGACGGGCATTTCGCGAAGAATTGGAAAAATATCGTAAAGATAACGAACAGCTCCGTCAAATGTTGCATCGGTACAAGGCACAAGCCGACAATCGACTTGGGCAAAGTACTCTGACCATGGCAACATCGGTCGATTCAGCGTTAGACAAAACGCCGTCTGGAATGTCAAGTACATTTTTCAATTCGAATAGTTTGCAGGTAGAATTAGACGAAAGTAAAGAACGAGAGAGAAAATTACAAGAGCAAGTTTATTCATTACGACAAGTAAGAAGAACGAAATTCATTTTTTCACATTTTAACAGCATGTTTTCACAGCAACTTGACTCATCGAAACCGAAATTGAACGATTTAAACAAAGTAAACCAATATCAATTGTCAAACAATATTTTCAGTTGATGTTTTTGCTTTTATCTAGACGATTGCCGAACTCGATCATGCTCGTCGACAGATTCAGCAATTTGAAATCGAAATTCAAAATTATCAGCAACAACAATCGAAAGCCGAACGAGTTCTCCAACGTTTACAATCGGAATATGATGCGCAAATATCTGTAAAACATCTCAAACTAAATTTTCAATGAAAATCGTTTTATGTTCTAGCGATTGGTTGAGCAACAGCAAAACCAAACGGCTGATTATGAAAAGTATCGTCAAGAGGTAAAGTAGACTCGTTGCTCGAATAATCATCTTCTGCGACGATTCTCTCTTTTAGTCATTAATAGCTCGAATTCGTCTTTCTTATCCTACGGTTAGTATCTAAATTGCTTTCAAATCCTTGATATTACTCTCTTTCACTCAACTAACTCGTTCTTTGCATTTCAAGTGTCAAAAAACAAATATTTCTTTTATTCAAGTTTCGAATGTTAACATTTGTTTGTTCTCTTGTAGCACGATCAAATGAGTGCGAATGTGAACATCGATGAGTACCAACAGGCGTTGAATAATCGAGACCGAATAATCGAAGTAAGAGTTGCGAGAAAGTCATTGGAAACTAATGGAAATTTTCATAGCAATTAGAAGAAGCGATCGCGGAAATCACAACTCGGTTACGGACGCCATTCACATTGATGCTTTCATCGACTGTGACTTCCACAGGTTGGCAAGATGAAGTGAGTAGCCTTTTCCATTACTTGATGAACAACTTTCAATTTGGTTTTGTACAGAAAAGTCAAAACCTAATTCAGGAATTAAATACACAGATGCAAAGCCATTTGGAGACAATTGAGGTATAAAATGTTTGAAAATCGCATGAATATTCAAATGAAGTTGTTTTAGCAATTACGAGCTGAATGTATCGAACTTCGTCAAGGTGAAAAACATCTACGAAATCAAATCGACGGATTAACTCATCTAATCAACACACCTGTTCGCAATCCTGAAGTAGATCACCTCATTCTCCATTGTGTTCTTTTGTCTATGTTGTTGTTCTTTTCATTCCACAGTTACCTCCACTACCTCGTCCATCTTCTTCGACACCAAAGGTTTCTCTTTTATTTTCCCTGTTGAACATATCTTCATTCATTTGATTGACTAGGCCATTGATAACATTGAAGACGCACAACAACTCGAAGTAAGCAGATGTCTGATCAGCGTCTTGATGTCATCTATTCGAAATAGGCTCTGCAAACTGCAATCGTTCAAATCACATTACAACTTCGAAGTGATGCAGAAAACGTCTCTGGTTTAACAAACCGCGTTGCACAAATTCTACGAGATCGGGATGAAGTAAATGAACGACAAACTTTTCCAAACTTCAATCAGTCGTTGATCTTTAGTGGCAATACAAAATCAATCGATTACAAGATGAGCTTGAACAAAAAACAACTCGAATTCTGGTACGTGTTTTCCATCTCTCGTCTCTGTTTCATTTCTCCTCTCTAGCAATTGGAAAAACGCGAACGTGAATATGAAAATCAAGGTCATCAACAATATTCCGTACAAATCGAAACATTACAACGTGAGATCAAAACTCTACAAGATCAGGTTTGCATCTGTATTGAATTCCATTGGTTGACATACTTTGAAATTCAGCTTAGAGATCGCGAACGTTCAATGAATGAGATTCGAATGGAAAAGGAAACTCTTCGAAGTCAATCACGAAAAGATTATGAAAAATTTGATAATATTCATAATCAAGTTCGTTACTTAACCTTGATTTCACAAGTAGTTTATTTATATTTCTTATTAGGAGAAACAGAATCTTCAAGGTCAATTGAGAGTATGTATCTAGTTGAGAAGACTTCAATATCGAGAATCATCGTCATTCAGGAACTTGAAAATGCACGCAACGATCTGAAACGGGAATTGGAAAATGAACGAAGACGATTTGATGATTTACAACGAAAATACGAAAAAATTGTATGAAGAGTTTTTGAGAGAAGATTAGAACGTTTTTTTTCTCTTTATTGCTTTGCGTTAGACATCAACGAGCGAAACTCAAGTCGAACAAATGGAACAAGAAATTCAAGTAAAGTGTCATTTTTAGTAATCTTCTTGACATTCTCTGTTTATTTTCAAGAAACAACGAAGACAAATCGAAACATTCAATGTTCAAATCCGTGAAATGGAGAATACTTTTCTTACTGTAAAACGTCTTCTTTCCAATGATTTCTTCATTCAAATTTCATTGATTTTCAGGAACGACGTCAACTCGAACGTGAAAGAGATGTAAATCTTCACTGAAATTCTGTCACATAATCTCAATTCGTCTATTTTAGTTCGAAAAGAATAAATCAATTGAAATTCAAAATACACTGAACACAACCAATCGACGCTATTCAGAATTACAAGCGGATTTCGATCGAGTAACTTTACATTGAAAAACCTTATTCATTATGAATCTCGATGGAGTGTTTTAGATCAAAGAACACTCAGGTGATGAACTACAAACTCTCAGACGAGAAAATCAAGTAACTTTCGAATTTGTTCGATCCGATTTTTCTACTTCGTTCATTTTTAGTCGTTGCAAGAGAGTTTACGTGTTAGTGAAAATAAATTACATGACTTAACCCGAAGAAACGAGGATGTAACGGACTAAATACCCGTTTTAGTAATTACTGATTGCTTTCTAATTGTGTTATAGTTCAAATCTCAAGTGTCTGTGTACGAACATCGTTTTCAAGATACGGAAGACAGTGATCGACGACATCGAAATGAAAATGCTCGATTACAGAATGAACTACAAGAAATAACACGAGAAAATGAGAATTTAACTCGTGAAATAAATGTAAGTGAAACAAAAGGATAATCGCATAATTGCCGTATTTTTTAGGAAACAAGACGAAGATATGAAACCGTCAAATTGAATTTCAGCGACACCCAAACTACCATCGAAAAGATCGGAATCGAAAACAAGAATATCCAACACGAAAATACTGTAATTACAAATCTTCAATAGATTTCTCGAAATAATCGTGTTTGTTTAGCAACTCAAACGTGAAATTGACGAATTATCCGTGCAAATTCGTATACAAATTCAAACGGAATACGAAGAAGAAGTAAGAAGAATCTTCTTCACGAAATGGATAAACTGTTCTCTTTTAGCTTCGCCAATTAAGTGCTCGTACAGAATCGCAAATCCAAGTAAACCATCCTCTCAATCATTTCCATAACCTTCTTTCTAATTCATAGAATACTGAAAAAGACAAACGAGCTATTCTATTTGACCTCGAACAGTCGAATATTGAAAAGCAACGCGTAAGTATTCAAAGAGAATCTCCTTTCGTCTATCAAATCTTCGATTTTATTCAGTTAACCGATCGATTGCAATCAGTTGAATACAACTTAAAACAAGCTAATCAAACTATAGCCGTTCGTTGAGTTTCTCTATTGCTCGACACGATCGTCCGTTCCTTTTTCACTGTAGGACTACGAAAATGATATCAAACGTTTGAAACAAGCGATCAATACATCACAGGAACGAACCGAACAAATCGAACGGGAAATCTCTCGGGCGTATACCACCGAATTGAAATCAAAGACTAATCGTTTACAAGTACAGATCATCTCGAATATTTTCTTAATGATCTTAATTATGTGAATTGTAGGACTTCGAGAATAAATATCGCGCACTGGAAAGCCAATTAAGTCAAGTATGGACAGAGATTATGGTTTTCTCACGGGGAGAGGACGCGTTTGTTTTAGTATGAGATAACAATACAGGATCTTCGAGCAGAAAAAGCCAAACAGATCGAGTGCAACGATCGTCTTCAACATGATTTCGATCAGTATCGATACGAGCAACAAAAGCACATCGATGATGTTGCAAAGGTATGTATATCTTTCATTGTTGATTAAAATCAATATTGATTTCATTTGTAGAAAAATTCAACATTGTATGAAGAACATATTCGACGAGAGGTTCTCGCAGCTATTGAAAACAAACAAGAACTGGTAAGAGAAAACCAGAGGCGTTATTATACTTCCGATCGATCGGTTCAAATATTTAAAAAAAAAGAACAAAACTCAAGCATTTGCTCCTCCCCATACCACGATACACCTTCTAATGGAACAGGAAAGAAAAATCAAAGTTTTTTCTTATGAAAAAAGAAAATACCTCATCGATTCACAAATCAAGTTATGTTTATTTTTAACTTGAAAAAGTGTATCTAGTATAAGACAGGCACAAATCCCGTAAATGTTTTTCACAGTGAAGGACGCTGTTACAGACGGATGGCTTACCATAAAAATAAAAACATCTGTTTTCAATGTCATTTAGATTGCAGAACTTGAAAGTCAACTACGCGAACGAGATAATCAAATCAAGGTAATTGGAACGTTGAAATGACGAATGAAATCGAAATGTTTCTTGTAGAAACTTCAACAGGAGCTTGCGTCATACGAACCGAAAGATCTTCGATTTGAACTTGAAGTAAATTTGAAAACGAAGAGGTTGATATTTTTGTATTTGCTTTTCGATGTAGATTCGTATTGAACAATTAGAAGAAGAGATTCATCGACAAGAACGCTCAATTCAAAACTTCGATCAAACTGTTCGAGACAAAGAACGACAAATCGAAAAACTTCGGGACAAAATTCAAGAAGTAAAGACCTTTGATCCTTTTCTATAAAAATCATCTGACGCGTTTGAATAGAGTGAGAATAGCACTACGAATACAATTGAAACATTGCAAATTGAAATTCAAAAGCGAGATCGACAAATTGAAAAGATCGCAAATGATAAAAAATATGATGTTAGTGGATTCGAACGGCAGATAAACGAATTACAAGTTGTTATTCGCGATCGAGAACGTGAAATCGTTGATATAAACGATAAACTACGCCAGATTGAACGTGAATATGATGTAAAAGCAAGATTTTCATGTTGTAATTCCATCATAATCATTGTTTTCCTTTCTTCAGACTCAACAACGTGAATTAAAAGACTGTCGACAAAAACTTGACAATTCAAACATCAAGTTGAACGTTGCAATTGAACAAAACGAAGTGAATTTCATGGAAAAACCACATATCCAACAGACTGATGTTTTGTTTTCATCTTCTAGGCTCATTTAGAACGAATTAAACATTTAGAAAAGAAACTTGAAGGAACTTCTGTAAGTTAAATGATCGTTCTAAATCGAATTGCCACTTATTTTTTTCGTATTAGAATCGCACTCAAACATCAGAACAAACTCTTCATTTACAAACCGTTATCGAAGACCTCAAAGCTCAACTTCGACAACGCGAAGATTCACTCAAGGTAAAAAGTACCGTTTTTCACGTTCAGCCATGAAAAGAAAAGAAGGAAAATGTAAACTATTTTATCAATTGAGAGTCAAAGAATAGAACATTCATCAAGTTTCTAACAGCAACAAGCATCAATTTTTATTTTTCTTCTTCCTTTTTTCTTGAAATGACGCGTGTTGTTGAGGAGATTTTTCTATCTGTAACTGTTTCAGGGTCTTCAACGAACGATTGCTGATTGTGATAGTGAATTAAAAGAAACTCGCCATATTTACGACACACTTCACAGCGAACATAGCAGAATGCAACTTCGTTATGAAGTATCAGTTGAATTCGATAAGATCGAATCTATCTTTTGCAATTTTTAGCAAATGGATAAACAATACAAGGCCGAATTAACAGCGCGTGATCAAACTATCGATTCATTACAAACTAAACTAGCAAGAAAAGAACAAGATTCGAAATACAGTACCATAGGAGCATTAGTTCCTACGGATCAGTCATGGAAATTAGAAATTCAAAAGAGAGACGAAGTAAAAATTGACGAATTTGATTGAACTTTCGAATTGATGATCATTATTCTTCTAGGTTATTGATGAATTAAAACGAAAATTAGATCAAGCGAATAAGAGCAGATCTCCTGTTGGACAGGTAGGTTGAGTTCATGTAAAATAACAATGAAAGATGAGTTCTTTCTTTCAGACCAAATCTTCCAACTATGAATATGCTCGACGCATCGAAATTCGACGTGAGTTATGTTTGATTCCAACCTCGATCTAATTCTCTTCGCTTTTCAGCTCGTCTTGATTCGAAGAATTTCTCTCAATTGAATCGTGAAGAACTTCAATATGAACTTGACATGGCTTTACAACAAAACGAAGAACTAATTAAACAATTAGCACGTAAGTCATTCGGATTTGTTTGTTTTCTCTCTCTCTCTCTCCGTAGAAGTAGAAACAAGAGCAATCATTTCTGCTTCTTATGCTTTCTATTAAAAGAAATATTCAATCTTTTTCTATAACTTGGGTGTATAATTAACAGAGAAATCACCTAACATAACCGAATTACACAATCAAATAGTCGTCATACGCAAAGAACTAGCACGACAAAAGTATGTCAATCAAGTTCTATGGAGAAAACTTGACGCCTTAAGTGATATCTATGGTTCAAATACTCGAGCTGAATTAGCTGATGAATTAGTCAACTATCAACCCGAACTCGAAGCGTTGAAGTCGAAACAATATGGTAGCAGTACCGTTTATGTTTCTGCACCCAACTTGAGTTCGAGAACATCATCAGGTGTTTGTCGATTGATTGTTGTTCTTCCACTTCGCACCCTGACTACTCTTCTATATGTGTGCAGATCTGACTCCTCGCTTACCTCACCTTTGCTTGCGCTTGTTCCTCTCATTAATTCCACTGATTGCATATTTCTTCCTTCTCTGTCTGTGACGATATAATGAATTACCATCAACATCGACAAGACTTCGACGGCAAGATATTCGCGATGTTGTACAGGTTTGTATAAATTAGTTTTTGAAGAAACTAAAACGACATAGTTCTCGAGTTAGAAGTTCCTTTTCCCATTAGATAAAATCAAGAAATAGTAGTTGGGATAGCTTATTACTAAACGTAACATATTCTTTATAAAAATTCAATGAATATATTGTTTAGATCTACGCGATTCTTCTTCGAAACGACAGTTTCGTGATTATGAAGAAGAATCGCAACACAAAGCTTTAATTACGAAGAAATCAAATGAAGAAATCGTTTGTTCTGAATATAAACGTAAATTAGAAGAACTTCAAAACATTATTCGTCAGCAAAACCAGCATATCCAACAACTTCAGACACGCGTTCAGATCTCTACACCTGATATACTTCAATCATCAACATTAGAGAAACTAACGGAAGAAAACAAGGTATGTTCAATTCATTTATCGAGATTGTTAATGTTGGAATTTCTAGAAATTGCATCTTGTTAGCGATACGTACAAAGCTGAAACAGAGGCATTGAAATGTGAACTTAACAAAAACTACTCAACTATTGAATACAGCCGCGGAGCATTGAAACAGTATGAAAATGTTATTAAAGATCAACAGAAGTACATTGATCAAATCAACTATCGACTTCAGCAACGTGAACAATCATCCACAGTTCGTTTGATAAATAAAATATAAACAATCTATGATTGTTATTTTAGAAACAAAGCTTCCTCTCATCCGAACAAGTATTCAACAAGCTCGAAGACTTAATAATCAATTTAGATATTGATATTTTACCAATCGACGATAATCCGACAAGTATTTCTTTCTCTTGTATTCTGTTGATGATGATGATGATTCAACTTGCATGTTTATTTAGATAAAAGACAGAGAAGGAGAAATATATTGTACTTTCACACCTTGATTTCCCAAACACATTCTAATTGTTTTCAAATCTTTCTTTTCTGCTACACACTATTCACTGATCTCACCAATTGCTCCTGCTGCTCTAGACTTTCGCTGAGAAAAAGTCATTCAGATATCATGTTTGTCGTTTTCACTTTCATGTCTTAATCATCACTTGACTGCTTACACATGAGTTCAACAAATTCAACTTCCTATTCTCTTTAGAAACATCGATCAACAAAAAAGAAACAGCTGCTGTCAGCACGATCGACAGGTATTCGATCTTCGAAGGGAAATCATTCATTCACATTTTGCGGGTTTTCCTAGTGCACGTTACACATCCATGAAAAACGATTATCAACAACTGATAAATGAAAAAGATGATGAAATTCGGCAGCTTCAGAAACAATTGAGCGAGTAAGACAGTCGATGTTATCTGAAGTTGTGCAGTTTATCTCCGTCAAATTTAGTTTAAGAAAAGCACATGAAAATGAAATGAATCAATATCAACGTAAATACGAAAGAATTCAAATTGAGAGTCAAAATGGTAAACAGAATGAACAGTTAAAAGCCACTCAACAGCAACTTGAACAAGCGCAAGATCAAAATCAGAGGTAATGGTTTTCTTTGCATCGGTATCAAATGTTTCACGTGAATTTCAGATTACGTAATGAAATTAAATCACTACAACATGAACTGTCAAGTCAAAAGGAACTAATTGCGCATTATGACAAGCAAATTAGTTTACTGGAAAAACAAATCTCTTCGCGTGGTAGAATTCCGCATGGAATCAGTTGTGATTTTACAGAAAAATCTATTTAGATAATGGCAAAGGTGAAATGACTGTCCGAACGAATGAAATGTCTGGATTATTGGAAGAAATGCGTCATCTCCGTCAGGATCTCGAAGGAAGTATCAATCGACAGAATGAATTGCAGATCAAATTAGATGAGAACATTCGTCTAACAAAAGCGCCACGTGAATTTACATTTTCTGGTCGCGGTGTTTCATATCCTGATCTTCGTGTAATTGATGCGTCAGCATCAGTGAGTAGCGCGGAGAACTATTTTATCACCAGTATGACGGAAGAAAAGCGTTCGAGACCTTTGGGTTCGTCGACCATTGAATTCGGTAGGGTAAAATTTTGGATTGGAAAGTTCGATTGAAGTGTTCGGATTTGTAGAAACTGAACGAACAGGCAGTTTAGATAAATTATATGCAATTGGTGAACTGGAAAATCATGAAAATCTTCGACGATTGATTGTTGAAATTAGAAATCAATTGAAAGCAGTCGAAAGCCAACTCCAAGAACGAGCTCGATCAAAAACTGTATGCGAAGATGTTTTCACTCGATCAGTTCTTTCCCAAGGCATATTTTTAGATTTCATCGATTGCTGATCCATCGGTTCAATGGCTTGAACAACGTTTACAAGCACTCAATCAATGTGTGACACTTCTCGAACGAATCTATCAGCTCGTTGAAACATACCGTACGACACAACTACCAGCTAAGACGAACTCTGATGAACGTCTCGTAGCTGAAGTAAATATTTCCGAAGATTTACATTCATTTTTACATTCAATATGATTAGAATAAAGAACTTCGACAATCTCTATCGAAATGTTCGCAAGATTTGCAATCATTGAAGCAAAAATACAAAGATCAAACGGTTCATCTCGAACAAGTCTTAGGGCAATTAACGGTAAGTCTTCCACCTTCATTTGATTGCATACAAGATATGTACGAGAGATTCTTCTGGCATCCGTTTCGTTCTGGTTATTTCATCTAAACTTTTTGCAGAAAGCAAACTACAAAAAATCTAATACAGACGATTATTTGGCTTTGCTACGTAAGTTTTCTCGTTGCACCGGCAAACAGCACACATTCATCTCGATCAAAAGTTCATCTCTTTTCTTTCCCTTGCACTTGTGTTGTCCATAGAATTTCACTAATCGTTCAAATGATTGTTTTCATGCATGTATCTATATAGTTCGCATGAATGACTATTGTGTTCATTTGCTTGACATCATCTTATTGTTTGTTCTGTGTGTCGGGTGTGTTTTTAATGCTAATAGTTGTGTGCTCTTCCAACTAAAACTCAACATTCAGGATTCGATGCGAAAGTCACGTTTTGCATGAGTACTATTTTTATCGAAGATTAGATTTTAATAGAGAATTGCATCTGAGGATGTAAGAAGATTACATAAACTAAATTTGTACTGAGAAGAAAATAACGACGACGAATCGGTGCAAGATTGATTTGACTTTGTTGCTTTGTTTTAGTCCGGCCAACATTAGATGCTTTGCAAAAAGCTCGTTCGAATATGGAATATCATTTGAAAGAGTCAAACAAGATCTACCAAACACCTACAAAAACTTTGCAATCCCATCGACGACATCGAACGAATCGTTTCGATTAGATTATCAATGATCTATTCGTGTTTTCCTTTTTTTTTTGCTGTTCTTTGCTTTCATTTTCGCTTTTCATCCACCAACTTGTGCCTTTCTTATACTTCTATATATCAGGTTCCGTGCTTTATCTCTCTCTCTCTTTCTCTTCATTTTTTGCTTTATTGCTCTTTATTTTGTCTTTTTCTCTTTTGATAAAATACAATAATTATGATTATAATACAGGCAAATGAAAGCAATTAATCATGTGCGGAATTGTCCATATCTTCATCGGTAGTGCTACTCACATTGGATAGATTTCGCTCGGTAGTTGTTGAGGTGTTCAACTCCAGAATTGATTGAAGTGCAGCTATATAGCTTTGAGCCATTTGTAAAGTTTCATATTTGGAAAAGCGCCGTTGTTGCTGAAACATCGACGATGGTAAAACAGTACGAAGACGATCAAATGCTGTGTTGAGACCGTTCATTCGACGACGTTCGCGCGCATTTGCTGCAATTCGACGAGTTTTCTCTACTTGCACGATCGTCGATGATGCGCGTTTGACCACAAATGTCGGTGAACGTTTCTTATTGTTGATTTTGGTTGACGATTGTGTTTGTGAAAGAGCCTTCATTTTTTCCATGCTTCAACCGAGTTGATATAAACGTCAAATGATTTTAAAAGCATTACCTTCAATTGAATCTGTATGTCATGAAAGAGGGGAACAGTTGGAAAGCGAGAAAGTTAAAACAACGGGGAACTCGTGCATTGAACTAATTAATACGTCAATGTCACTGAAGACAATAATCATCAATAGGAAAGAAAAAACGAAAGACGAAGTTATCAGTCAATCGTTTCGTACATCTACATGAATGTGTGGATATTCATGTTTAATTCAATATTGCACAGTTGGAAACTGTCAAATGCCTAGTTGACATGAAGGAGAGAAAGGAGGAGTGCTTTTGATTGATTGAATGATTGCACAGCAGGTGGTGGATATTTCACATGATAGACAATATCGAAATATAAAACATTCTATCGAAGAAAATCAATCGGCAAATACAACAAAAGTTATTGTTCATTGTTTGGTAATCGAAATGTCTGTAGAAGTAATCAAATTGTTTATATATATATAAATAAAAAGGGGAAATGTGCTATAATTAACGCATACATTATTATTTTCCTCCCGGCATTTCTTCGTCTTAGCTGAATGGTAATTATAGCAGAAAATCCTGTCTGCGTCTGTGAAGTAAAATTAAAATATTCATTTTTGTAGTTGTATTGTTTTGATGAGTTTCATATTGCCATTATATCATCGAATTGTGAAAGAGAGATCGTCGAGTATATGTTTGTGACTATTTTCTCGTCAGCGCAAGAGGAAAGTTGATATTAATCAGATTTGACAAGGATATTCTTGTATAACTAATTGGAAATTCAACTATTGACATGTTCATACATCATCCTAAATCATGTTTTCTTCTCCTCTCAAATATTCCGTTCGTTTTCGTCAAGCAATCATCAGGAACTCGTTCAATCTGCTTTCTACACGACAAGCGATGAGTACTTTCCTATGTTTCTACTTTCTACGCCTTTCATATTCCATAAGCAATCATTTTTCTTCTATTGATTCCTTTACTATTGATTCACAACTATTTGCAACAGAACGATTCCACACGTATGGTCTATCAGACATTCAATGGAGTGGAAATATCGAGACGTGAGTGTAATATTAATGCCTATTCACCTTTGTCTTGCTCTCAGCATGCCTTTTATTCGTGATTGTTTCCTTCATATTCATCCGCGGAATAAAGTTAATTAAGATAAAACATTGAAAGAGATCATCTCAACTAAAACTAATAGACGAGATTTTCAAGTCTACTTCTTGTATTTTCTATTTTCATACATGTCAAGATGAAATCTTTTATTCATAACAAGGTTATTGAACGTTGTTTTTGGAATGCATATATGCAGATCAATGTTGAAACAGATCATGTGTATTTTTTGTTAGAAAACAGAAGCAAGAAAACATAATTACATCACGGTACTAAAGTCGCAGAACTTTGCTCTTATTTTTCTGTTCAATTATCCGAAGATGCACAGCAGGGATACTTCAATGTTAACTACCACTGAAAAACTGGCAATGTCAAGTTCGCAAAATGATGAAAAAGAAAGTATCTCACGTTATCCAAGACACGTGTCATTTCAAAACATCGTGGATCAGATTTCTGTGTATTTGACTCTTGACTGTCTTCTATTCGTACACAATTTTAATATGTGCGCATTGCGGAGGAGTTTTCCATTAAGTAATACTCTATAAAACCACCTCATGTTCTCATCAGTCGAACATGCGGCTAGTTACGTAGATATTCCTAGCGGAGTAATCAGAGCTAAATCAAATGAATGTTAGATTGATCATAATCTCGAGTAGAAAAAAAAGCATGCGATGTAAAGCGACTTCTTGACCTTCGCCTTATTGTTACTGTTGCGTATTTGTTATAATACAAAGTAAAGTCACGTTTGATAGTCGACTAAGAATAACAATAGGCAGAAAAGAAAGACATGACAAGAGCAAATCAGTAAACTAGTGTGTGAGTCAGTAAAGACGTCTTCTTATGCATTTCTATGCTAACACATCAAAGCGTATAAGTAATCGGAAAGGAAGAATATACGATTGATGGGGTTGCATAAATCAAAACGATTAATCAATCAGCAAAAGAGAAAAAAAAACACGTAAACTCGATCGAAGAAATGAAGAAATACACAAATAGGTAACATTCGTTCTCATTTTATCCACATTTCATTAAAAATTTGCGGTAAGACTCGGCGTACGTGCTTCTTCCATTTCAGTTCCTATGAATTTCAATTTCTTCATCTCCCCCAACTTGACATTCAGAGAATAAGTATAACGACCCACTAACATATGACACAGGACATTAACTGGAGATGATGAAGAAGAAGAAAAACTCATTTATCACGGCGAGTTTCCTCTAATGATATGGCGTTCATTGTTACTAGAAGAAAAACTGAATAATCTGCTGATATCAAGACAAAATGAGTTCGTGCAATTAGGATAAAAGAACGTCGACACGTCCTGGAAACGATGTATTTTAAACATATGAACATGCTAGATGTTTGTTAACATGACTGGAAGTAACATGTTTCACTAAACGAAGGAAGCAAAAGGTGATAGATTCCAGCTATATTTACATCCAATTTCTCGATCGCTAAGTATGTCTCTTCACTTCTAATAATCTCCGAACGGCAAACAAGTGAAATTCATCGAGATCGATAAGCACAGGTGACATGAGATTTTTCTTCTCGACGAAGACTTAGTATAGATTTTCGACCTGTTCTTTTTCCGTGAATATTTCAGAGAGAAACAGTTTCATCTGATATGCATAACACGCAAGGTAAATGAGTAAGAGAAGACGAGATGAATTTTGACATATTCACTAGTAATTGAAAGAACGGATAAGTAGTTCTTGCTTTCTTTCTTCTGTGAAAATGTTGTAGGCATTTGTGTTTTTCGGAACGCTTTTCCTAGCAGATAAATTCAGAGATAAACTGTAATTTATGTTGTTTTTCGTTCTCTCATTTCAAAGTATTATGTGTAATATAAACCGACTAGCCTAATTGAAAAAGATTGTTTTTTTTTCGTCGTTACCAATCTCCGATGTTAATTAGCGAGAAAATGCGAGAGATATTAGGCAAGTAAAAACCTCGTACATCTAGATATACGTATACATTTTCTTCACAATTTCGAAGTCCATCTCTTTTTTTTTCTATTTACAGTTCACTCGATGCATTCAATGTGTCAAGCGATTCACTCCTCTCATTAACGTCAATCTTTTTGCCTGTTACTTTATCGGCTTCGCCGGCGTCAATACTATCGTCTTCATTTACTTTACGAGTTGAGAATGCAAGAATGACACTACCAGCGCAACTTCAACTTGCCTATTATATCACTATTGCTTTAACTGGTCTTATTGGTAATACAACAACCATATTCGTTTTCTCGCAACGTCGACTACGATCATTACGTTCGTCGTTTTTTTTGACTTGCCTCGCTATAACTGATCTTATCTTCATTCTCATACTTGTCCTCGCTCTCCTCGATGAATTACAAATTCCGATAATGACAGCACCTGTTTGTGTGCTAACCATCTATTTCAGTCATATAGCCTCATTTTTATCGTCGAATTTCACGTTGGCTTATACAACTCATCGCCTCATTGCTGTTTTCTTTCCAATGAAATCAACAACATTTTTAAAACAGCGCACTAATCGTTTTCTCGCACTGACCTTATTAACATTCGCGTCGATATTCTATTCTTTGTCATTTCCTGTAACAACAACGACATTACGTTCGAATACAACTAATGTTGTCCACTGCGAAGAAGATCGACACAATAAAATATTATTTCCGTTTCTTTTCTTCGATACATTATTTACATTTATCATTCCATTTACCATGATCACATGCATGAATTTGGCGATTGTATATAAACTTCAAGGAAAATTTGCCTACGTGCGAAAGACACCCACGATGCCTCAATCCACGAATTCATCCGGGCAATCAGCTAGTGATAGTGTTCAATCATCTCAAATGAATTCTACCAACAATAATAGCGAAACACATTGCCTTGTCCATCAACATAATCGTTCACTATTGGCCGTTCGACCGACGGATCAGTATAAAAGTGGATCAAACCGGTTTGCGCCATCGATAGTACCACCACTGCAACGACGTACATCAATGTACTACACAAACGCATCGTTTCGTATTCGTTCGACTCAATGCCGTGCAACAGCGTCGGCTAAAACAACTAAAATGCTCTTAGCAGCTTCGACCGTCTTTCTTGTTTTTAATCTACCCTATCATCTATTGTTATTCTGTTTCTTGCTCAATCAACATCAGCCGCCATGGATGCTCAACGCTGTAAATATTGCTCGTCTTTGGTTTTTCGCATCTTTTTGTGTCAATTTCTTCGTCTATGCCATATGTGGCCAACGTTTTCGTAATGAAGTCGTTCGATTGTTTAGTTGTTCAGTAATTTGCCGGTATTTCAACATAAGATATCAAAGCAAATCTCAAGACCGCCAGGATAGCATCTATTTAAGTCATCGATTGAAGCCTAGTTCGTTGACACGTCTCTCTCAATCGAACTAATTTTGTTTCGCTTTTTTGTTCCTGTTCGTCTATCTATTTGTATAAACATAATCGTATCTTGAAGTCAAATAAAACGAAAGCTAGAATGACGATGCTTATAATCTTCCTTATAGTACGTATCAAAGGTGAATTGTTGGTCTTGGTACATTGCTTTGAAGTTGCTCGAAATAGATCTTCGTTTGAAAGAACTTGCCGTCGTCAGCGTGATATGTCTGACGAGAAAGAACAAGCGAGTGCTTTGCCTACGTGATACACCGTTGTAATTAATCTTATATGGGATTTCAATTGTCGATGAGGATATTAGATTTCAAATTTAATTATTTTCATTGAAATTACGCCGTAAATAACTCCGCCAAAGATATTTGAGGTCATTATTAAATAGAAAGTCATTTCCTTGGGGATTTCATTAATAAAATCTTTTGCCTTGAGTTGATCTTACTCATATAAACAAATACTAATAGGTCATAACAATAGTTGCTTATTATATTCGTCACAACGATCGTTTTATGATCGGTATAAAGTAAGATGTACCTGTAAGAAACAGAGTACAATGACATTCGCTTGTGTGATCAATTGGTTTTCGTTTGTGTCGAATTCATATGCTACTTTCTAGATATTCATTAGTGAGTAGTTCTTGTTTCTCATTCGGAAGAATTGGATACATACTCCCACACACATAAATTATTTCAGATTAACTAACATGTCATAGAACACAGGTGAAGATCTATTTTTAACCAGATTATTGGCGAGAGGAGAAAAAATCCTACGCAAATATATCAAATATTGTCTAAAAGAAAATTTACGATTTTTTCGATCAATCAATTATCTAAATCGAAAGTTATGTCTGTAAATTCCTCTTCCAATCATTAACCATTATCGACATGTGTGCTTAACAACGCCCTCTACAATGATCAATTCTTGAATGCATTTGTCTTCTGTGCATAGTAAACTTATGTTTCAAATCGAAAATTTTTCCTTTCCAGAAAAAATTTCTTCCATAGAAGAAAAACACATACTTTTTCTTTTTTTTTGTAAATAAACATCATTTCTACACTAGGCATACATTAGATAATGCACTATGCACATATATTTACTTATTATGTTTTTCTATCTTTGACATTTTCGTCTGTTCTACTCGAGTATTTTTTGCTACGCTAACCATTTTTATCCATCAGATTCAAAAAAAAACACCTGGATTACTCATCGAAGTATTTTTACGTTTCACCGATTCTAGATGGCTCATACAGTATTTATTCTCTTTGTATGCATCGGGTTTCTACTGAAACCGCATGCAACATTCTACATCCCCGGTGTTGCACCACTAGATTTCCACAAAGGAGAAAATGTCGAAGTTAAAGTAGGAGTAAATGTCTGCTTCGTTTTCACATGAGAATTTCGTTTCCTTTCAGGCTGTTAAAATGACCAGTACAAAGACACAATTACCCTATGATTATTATGACGTTGCTGTCCATTGTAAGCCATTGAATGGAACAAAATATAAATCGGAAAACCTTGGTATAAGCAGATGATAGTTTGACATCACATTGAACCAAACTGATGTTTTCTTTTTAGGCGAAATTCTTCGAGGTGATCGAATTGTCAATACCAAGTACAAAGTAACGGCGTGATAGAGAATTTCTTCGATCGAATTTGTGGACTTATTTAGGTGGAAATGGATGTCAATGTTCAATGTCAAACGCTCTGTAAAGATATTACTCTAAATCAGGAACAAAGTGCCACACTGGGAAAACGTATTCGAAATAATTATTATGTTCATCTGTATATACAACGAAACATTTGTTTTTCTTTCACTCGATACAAGAGAAATGTTTCATTTTAGTCTCGTCGATAATCTTCCATGTGCAACAAAATTTCAAAGTGTTCAAACACATGAAGTTTTATATGAGCATGGCTATCGCTTAGGAATGTATACAAAAGAAAGCGATGAGGCATTCTTAAATAATCATTTAGTCATCAAATTGTTTTACCACAAGGAATCTGAGTAAATCAATTCTGCATACATACTTTCGCCATGTCTGTGTTGAAATTCTTCAGAGAACTCTATCGTGTGGTTGGATTCGAAGTAGAACCAAAAAGTATCGACTCAAAACGTATAACTGTTAGTGATGATGGCTCGTGTACGATTCAAAATGGCAAAACTACTCAAAAAATCGATCCCAAAGGTAGAATTAATTTGTTAGCTTTCGAACTTGAACTATCTGTTGTTTCGTAGGAGAAAATAAAGTGACAATGACCTATGAAATTGAATGGTCAGCAAGCGAAACACGTTGGGCAAGTCGGTACGTATTCAGAAAGTATATAGTATGAGTCATTTTTTCAAACACTCGCCGAATGAATCATGAATAAGTCTTTGTCATGATAATAGTGACGTTATGATTCTGCCACATCATCGCTCAGAAAATTTATTGAATTTGAGCTTTTCCCGATTCGATAGGAAATGAATTGAATCGATGTTGTTTTTGTTATTCATAGCTGGGATACTTATTTAACCATGACTGATGTACAAATTCATTGGTTTTCAATTGTCAATTCGGTTATCGTGGTGTTTTTCCTCGCTGGTATACTATCGATGATCATTGTCAAAACACTTCGTCGTGACATCGCCCGATACAATCAAGAAGATTCCGTGAGTATAGAATTGAAAATCGAGATGAAACTTGACTTGATTTTCTTATTTAGGATGATGTTACCGAAGAAACTGGCTGGAAATTGTATGTATTTTCTTCATATTCGTATTCAGATTGATTGTGTTCGTTTTTAAGAGTGCACGGCGATGTCTTTCGACCACCTCGCCGTAAGAACGTCCTTGCCGCATTGATTGGCTCTGGTATCCAGATATTTTTAATGTCATTTATCGTCATTGGTTTGTCTTTTAAAATTTCACTGATTAAAAGTCAATTAAAAATTTCTCTTTATAGTCTTTGCTGCACTTGGAATGCTTTCACCATCATCGCGTGGTGCTCTGATAACAGCAGCTTGTTTTCTCTATGTATTTATGGGGTAAGTCCATCGAAATAAAAGTTCATTTTCAACATAACTTTCTCTAGTCTTGTTGCTGGTTTTTATTCTGGACGAATCTACAAGACAATCAAAGGTTCAAACTGGAAGCGGACAGCTGCTTTGGTAGGCACACAGATGATTAATGTGTACGTGCAACTAATTGAATTTGTTTCGCCATTAGACTGCAACACTTTATCCAGCAGTCGTATTCAGCGTTGGTTTCTTTCTGAATTTTTTCATTTGGGGAAGACGTTCATCAGGCGCTGTTCCATTTTCTACTATGTTAGCTATACTTGTCATGTGGTTAGGTATCTCATTTCCATTAGTTTGCCTTGGCTTTTATTTCGGCTATCGTAAACAGGTATGTCCGAGAAAATACACGATCCATTTTTCCGATACAAAAAGGAATTATCATTTAGCCTTATGAACAACCAGTTCGAACTAATCAGATTCCACGACAAGTACCCGAACAACAATGGTTCTTACATCCAGTTTTAAGGTAAATAACGAAACAAAATACCGATTTGATAAAGAAATCCTCTTCATTTTCTATCTATTTCAGCACTTTGATGGCTGGTAAGTAAATGCTAATGACGAAAGAAACTTTCTCAAGAATTCTTTATTCTTTAGGCGTTCTGCCATTCGGTGCCATGTTCATTGAGTTGTTCTTTATCTTCTCAGCTATTTGGGAAAATCAATACTATTATCTCTTTGGTTTTCTTTTCCTCGTCTTTATAATTATCATTGGTAAGTATGACAAGAGAAGAATTTATCCGTTGAATTCATTTGTATTTTAGTATCATGCTCTCAAATTTCCATTGTTATAACTTATTTTCAACTATGCGGAGAAGATTATCATTGGTGGTGGCGATCATTTATTGCATCAGGAGGCTCAGCATTCTATGTCTTTACTTATTCAATCTTTTACTTCTTTACTAAAGTAAGAATCTTGCGTACATTTGATTTTTCAACAAAAACGATTCGTTGTTCTAGTTGGACATCACTGAATTAGTTCCATCAATGCTTTATTTTGGTTATACATTGTTGATCTGTTTCACATTTTGGATTTTGACTGGCACAATCGGTTTTATCGCATCGTACATCTTCGTTAGAAAAATTTATGCTGCTGTGAAAATAGAATAAAAAGAAAGAAAGAAAGTTTCAATGAATCATAAAAGAAATTCAAAGGGAAAAGAACGAGAAAACTTATTTTACTAGTAACATCTGTATGCCTTGACTTTGTCTCATTTGGGAATAAATAAATAAATGAACGAAAAGTTCTTCTATTTTTCTTTCTTTCTCTCAGTTCTACTCTTCTGCACGTTTTCTTGTGTGATTGTTCATTTTACTCGTAGTTGTTCATTACTTTCTCTTCTACCCATTTTCTTTTCGTCTCAAAATAAATATTGTTTTTGCTTGTTGTTGCTGTTGCTCTTTTTTTTACGCCAAACGATATAATATATACATATAAAACATGGGTTACAATGATCGTAAAACTTTTTTGTTTTTGTAGATTTTGAGAGTATGACTTCAGCGGCTGGATTCATCATATTCCGACAATTAGTAGGAAGACCAATTCAGTACTTGCTACTACAAACATCCTATGGTGAACATCATTGGACGCCACCGAAAGGTAAGAGAAATGATGAATAGTTATATTCGACTGAGGAGAGTTCGTCCTATCGAAAGAAAGTTCGATACAACAGGTTTGATATTGAATTAGGTCATTTGGACGCTGGTGAATCTCCTTTGCAAGCAGCTGAACGAGAAACCAAAGAAGAAGCTGGTTTAACTAGAAATGACTTCGAATGCTATGAGAAATTCGAAGAGAAAACAACATACAATGTTAAAGGAAAGCCCAAAGATGTTTATTATTACTTAGCTCGTCTCCGCAATCCGGAACAAAGCATAAGTCTCTCTGATGAACATCAAGCATTGAGTTGGTCAAGTTTACAAGAAGCCTGTGATTTAGTAAAATACGAAAATATGCAAACGATTTTGCGAAAAGCAGACGATTTTCTTAAAAATCAATGATTTATCCGTTCATTTTTTCTTCATTTTCTCTCTTTTTTTCTAGATGGATATAACATCTATGTTCGATCGAATATGTGCAAGTAACGTCGTCATTGCATCGCAACAACGTGACGAACCAGATTTTACACAGGAACAGAAATATCATATCCTTCAACAGTTATATTCGACAAATCCAGCCACATTTATCTATCGGTTCGGTTCACTGTTAACTGACGATGATTTACAACGATATTTTGATCCAAATGCTGATTATATTCGTCAAATAGCCACTCCACAACGCCATAAACAACGCGCAAATCGTCGATATACATACATGCAACAACTAGTTGCAAACGGATCGTATTTCAGCGATGAGGCAATGAAAGAACGTTCACCACTACTATATGAACAAATGATTGGTAGATACGAAATTAATGACACAAATAAACAATTAGTGACAAGAACTGCGAATGGTCCCTTAGCTGATTTTTATATGGAACATCTAGAAGCTATAAATCATCAAGAAAGAGTTGAAGAAGAATTTCAAAAAGAGGAACGGGCACGTCGCGAGGAGGACAGCGAAAGTGAAGAAGATGAAGATGATAATGAATGTTCCAATGCACAAAGAGAATTGTATAGAAAAGAATTTCTTGCTATTCAGAAAGGTAATAATCAATTCTTTTCCTTATATGTTAAAGAATAATGTCTATGACTTTCTACTTCGTTTAGAGAAATTTCTCAATGGTGAAGACTCGAATATTGATTATGCATCGATTGATAACAACGAAAATCTTGACGATATGAAAATTCGTGAACGTGACGAAGAAGAAGGATATTTTGACGATGAAGATTCGTATACCTATGGTGATGATGAACGATAATAGGACGTACTTATTTCATTCGATATCAAGATTCTCATATCCTCGAATAAATGAATCGAGCATCGCTCATCGTGGCTGACAATGTCGTCAAAAACAAATCAAGAAAATATTACACATCATCTTGATCTCTGTAATAAAAAAAAACTAATCATAATCAGGATTATGAGCAAATAATTGAAGAATCTCTTTCTGTTGAAGAGAGCACATGTAATGTTTTCTAATTTGTGTTTTAGATATACGAACATGGTTGAATTATTACTTGATTCAGCTATTCGATTTTGGGTTTTTATGCCTATTGTCGTCATAACGTTTTTTGTCGGTATGCTACGGCACTATATTACAATTATTACAGCTGGTGAGAAACCGGTTGATAAACAACAAATAGCCGACAGGTAGTGATGCAATTCGCATGGAATATGTCTGCAATCATAGTTATTCGTTTGTTTCAGTCAAGCACTTATCCGTACGCGAATCTTACGTGAAAATGGAAAATATATTCCAAAAGAGGTTTCATTTGCTGTTGAACGAATAGTTTTTTTTCTATTATCGGTTTTCTATATTAGGGATTCGTTATGCGAAAACATTTTTTTGTTAACGAAGAAAATGGTTATCTTACTACGCAACAAGGCCGACAACAACCTATTCGAAATCCAATTACAGGTAGAGTCGAACGGAAAACGATATCAATACATTACATGTGTCAAATTCAATAGATCCGACGATGATGACAGAAATGCTCAAAAATAACATCTCAAATATGGTACCTATGATTGTCATTGGTGGTGTGATCAACTGGGCATTTAGTGGTTTTCTTTGCAGTATGTATTTCAAGAATTCGAATCCGATTTTATAAAATTTTTTTGTCGATATTTTTAGCTAAAGTACCATTCCCATTAACATACCGTTTTAAACCAATGTTGCAACGTGGTGTCGAATTAGCAACTCTTGACGCTAGTTGGTCAGTAGCAAAGTTTCTATGTGTTCTTTAGGAAAATGATTATATGCTATTCTTTGACTAGGCTATCGTCAGTTTCCTGGTATGCTATCAATATATTTGGACAACGTGGTGTCAACAATCTGCTTCTCGGAGAGAACAATGCTGCTGATCAAACAAAGATGATGCAAGATCAAATGAATATGGCCGCTGTATCAATGCCACAAGATTCAGCAAAAGCATTTAAAGCTGAGCGAGAAGGTCTATTGGTTGTTGATCATCAGTGGGCATTTAGAAATGTCGAAAATGATGTTATGTCTCAACGATCGTATTTCCGTTCACGCTAGGTCATCTGTTCGTTTTGTATGTGTTTAGTAGCGAATAAAATCTTATCAAACAGATTCTCAACCCTTCAAATACGTAAAAATTTCTTTATCAAAGTTTCCCCATCCAGTACTCTTGTTTCTACTTCATGATATCTAATCAATACACTATAATAGTTCACTTTGTTTTGTCGACATGATATCATGCACTAAATAATTAATTTTCATTGAGAAAACATAATGATGATGAAAACCTCAATCATCACCGAACTATGTTTTGTGCATGTAATTAATTATAAGAGTACTAGTTAGTAAGCACGTTATCAATGTATTGATTTCAATTTTATAAATTAGAACTTGAATTGAAAGTCAACCAACAGAATATTATTTTTGAAAGAGGACAATAATTAGTAAAAAATCACATGAAATATGCCAGTAACATTGTTTGCCTGATATCCATGCAGTAGAAACGAAGACATGTGATGTCAACTGAAATTTAGTTTCGATTTTCTGGAAGATTTTATATACTTATTAAATGAAACATATTTTTCCACATCTCTGAAGTCATACTTTTGAAAGTAAATTTCAAGCGTTAATTATTCGTCGACATCGTTCTACTTCGTAGAAAATGTTTTTTAGTGCTGATTCAAATTCAGTTAAAAGAGTACTTCTTGCCGTTACAACAACTGACTGCTGAAGATCTCGATTGTTTATCACGTTTCTATCATTATTTTAGAAAGAGAATTATACCATACCACCGATTGGATAGTCGCGAACCAATCGTCACCTTCACTTACAAACTGTATATTCATAGAATCTAAACACACGTGTTGTGTTGTTACTCTCATAACGAAGAATCTGTATTCTCTATATGTATATTTACATTTGTGGTTGTTTGCGATCTACTGTTAATCTTCGTTATTGTAGTGTGTATAAATAATTCTTTTCAGAGAACATCTCGTTCTCGACTTTTTCTTCGTCCTTTTCCTCGCTTATTCGTATGTCATTTTCGAAGATACATTTAACATAAGGCGAAACGATGCTATTCAAGTATGGTTCACTCTCTCTCTCTTTTCTCTACTTTAACTATTCGAACCCTGGATTTAAATATATTTTTCTTTCTCTCTATTTCTAGTATTACCATTCGAAATAAATCATTTAACGAATAGGTATATGTCTGAAGAATCAGCCGACAATTGCTTTTTCTAATATTTATTTGAACTAATTTTGTTTCAGTGACAAGTCATTGATCGAGAAAGAAAAAACAATGCACGATCGAAGTGTACACCTACACGATCGTTTTCTTCTACGACGAACACCCATGCAATTGGATCAACGACATGTGTGTCCACCATGGAGACATACACAAATACCTGTTGAACTTTTCGATCTCATGACGTTAGTTCATAGCCAGAGTTTCCATTTCACGTGAATTCCAATTATAATCTTTTTTTCAGGGCACCACCATTTATGTCCGTTCGTCTGTATCGTCTTCATTATGAAATCTTACAATTCTACCAATTTATGATTCCAACTGAAGAAGAACATGCTGTACGCCAACAAGTTATCAATCGTATAACAAACGTTATTAATCAATACTTACCTACAGCTTCTGTAAGACACACATTTAACAAAAAAATTTACCCCATTATATCTCTCTTTCTATCAGGTCGATATTTATGGTAGCTACAAAACCGGCTTATACTTACCGATGAGGTTGGAAAGACGAAAAAAGTTCAAATTGCTAAACTCATGAACTTTTTTTAGCGATATTGATTTGATTGTTCATTCAAAAGATGGTCGCCAATGGCGACCTGAAGAACTTGAAGCGTTAATGTTAGTTCTACGCGAAGCATTTTGTCGTCATCGTATTTGTACACAAGAAGGTATTCAACTATTGAACGGAGCCACAGTACCAATCATCAAATTAACTGATCGAAGAACTGATGTCAAAGTGGATATGAGTTTCAATATGAACAATGGTCTTCGAAGTGCTCAACTTATTCTCGTATGTATTTGGACTTCTTGAATGCTGACAAATAGGAGAAAAATAGATCGAGATATATTTTTCTGATGGTTAGAGGCAGATAAAAGACAATGGTTTATTTTATATTTGTTTTAGCACTATTTGGAAGTGTATCCATCATTGAAATATCTCGTTTACGTATTAAAACAATATCTATTGCAACTTAATCTCAATGAAGTATGGACTGGTGGTATTAGCAGTTATTCACTTATTCTCATGTTAGTCTGCTTCTTCCAGGTAAAGTAACGATAGTTCAATTAGATTTGGATTTCTGCATCGCATTTCATTATTCTTTCGCAGACCTACTACAAGAAAGATCAACATTCATTTTGGTCATCATCGTTATCATCATCATTCCTATCTGGTTTATCCACATCATCATCAGCAACAATCAAAACAACGCCATCATCTTCATTAAAAAATGGTACTACGGATGATTGTTCATCGTTAACATCTTATCCATCATCATCAGCTGCTTCATGTATTTCGTCCGATGATAACAATAGCTGTGGCAATAATAACAGTGATCTCGATGACGATCATTTCAATAACGGGTTAAGTGCTGCTAACAGTAGTAACAGTAGTAGTTGTACAACCAGTAGCACGAATAGTACCGTTGAACACGCCAATCTCGGCCATATGCTGATCAGTTTCTTGGAACTATACGGTGTCTATTTTAATTATGTGAAATTGGGCATTCGTGTACAAACGCCACATCAACCTGATCGTCCAGCTGGTTTTATCGATAAAGAAGAATTGTTTAAGAACTTTTGTTGCGGTCATCGAACAATCAGTAATTTGTGCATCGTTGATCCATTCAATGATAGTATGTCAAAACAGAACCAACATTCTCTTTCGTAATTCAGATATTGATTCATTTGTTTTTTATAGAAAACGACATCAGTAAAGCTTCATGGTTAACGCCGAAACTGAATTCAGCATTTCGTGAAGCATTCGACAAACTATTGCAGAGTGTATCCGATCAAAATACCACATTGAAAAATGCACCATCGTTAGTATCTTTTTGACGAAAATCCTCCTCAGGTTTCTCTATCTATTTGTTGTTCTAGTATTCTTTCTAAAATTCTTTCTGTCAGTGAAAGTACATTGACTTATCGAAGGCGATTACGTTCAATTTATCGTGATAATCAGAATGAACAAAGAACAGTTCGACAGATCCAACATGGTCGAATGAAGTGAGTATTGCAATCCATAGCGAACCATTTCATTCGAAAGCCGAGCAGATTGAATCTTAACGGAGAAAAACTTGTTTGTTTCCTTATAACGTACATCGCTATTATTCATTGATTGGATTTCTTTTAGTTATGGTCCAATGGATAAACCGTTGATACAATATCCAAATGGCAATTCACTCAAATATCCATATCATATTCAATTGCAGCAACAATTCTATACACATAACTACTTCCATCGACCACAGTCACAACGAACAAATCACCAAAGGTAATCATAACATCTTTGTTCGATCGAAAACGAAAATGAAATGTCGATGATTTCGTCTTCTCCTAGATCTGTCGATGACGACCATCATCGAAATGCTCAAGAATAAAAAACGGTGTATATGTGTGTAAGAGGAGATGTAATGATATACATAATGGTGAAGATAAAATCCAGTCAAATATCTCTTGTTGTCGTTATTATCGTTTCCCTTTCACTTCTATTTATTTTTTTTCTCATCTTCTCGTCATACATATCTATTTTTTGTTCATTTCCTTTCCTTTCCTCGGCTCAGCAACGTACAACACCTATGTCTTTCTTTCTTTCATCTTCGTATTTTCCCTGTTTCTCTCCCATTGTCTTTCCTTCTCTATGCGAAAAAACGCTCTAATCTATGCAACTATACCTTCCAGGAAAAAAAACTTTACAAAAAAATCGAAAAAAAATCATGAAAAAAATTCAACCAAAAAAAGATAAAAAAGACCTTTTTTTGTAAACACGTATAAAAAATATCAGTAATTTCATTTTGCGTGCGCGTCTTCTTGTCTTCTTCCACTCATTCTTTCCCTCCAAGATTCTCATACACATCCCCTTTTTTAGTGCTTTTTCAGTGAACCTACGAAGACAAGAGACATCTTATTCCTTAAGCCTTCTTTTACTCGACCCTGTGTGCAATATATATTGGTTCTAACTTTCTTCACAGTTCGACTTCTTTTGTACATATATTGGCATTCACATGTCTCTTTTTTTTCCTTTATTTTTCGTGTGTGTGTGCGCGTGTGTTCATCTTTTTTTCTTCTTTCTTCTTCTTTCATTATTGTTTGTTTGGCTCTAACTCACATGATTGCGAACTATTTTTTCTTACAAAAAAACATCATTTTGTTGTTGTTCTTCTCTTTGTGCAAACTTTGCCTATGTGTCACTTTTTCTATCTGTTCGAGCCAGCCCGAAAGGAAAAAAGCGTATCTATGTAGAATTAGCAGATATATATTTATATGTGTGATGGCTGCACTTTTTCGGAATAAAACCGACCCATTGCGAATGTTGGTTCCAGTGAAAACGCTGACCAACGGAAAAATTTATCTCATTTTCATTTATTCAAACAAGATCGATTGCAGATGAATGTTCGAAAAGAGATCTGACTTGTTTTTCCTACTTTAGAAAATAAAAACTTATCTAGATGACTTCGTCAGGAGCAAATAATAGTATTAATGAAGAGAACAAAACGACGATTTATTCCATGCTTACTGATCAGCCTATCACAATACCTGACGCGTATCTGTTTGGTACATGTAGGTAAGATCTGAGTCTAGTAGAAAGTCGATGAAGAGTTGTGGTCGCATTGAGCGCAGAGATTGTCTTACATAATTTCGTTTAGGCCAGTATCTGAATTTGAAAAATTGAATTGCATCGGCAAAGGCACATATGGCGTTGTGTATCGCGGCCGAGATAAAGTCAGCCAGGAGATTGTTGCTTTGAAAAAAGTTCGAATGGAAAATGAACAGTGGGGTTTACCAATAAGTTCCATGCGTGAAATAAACCTTCTGTTAAATCTACGTCATGAAAATATCGTTGAATTACGCGAAATAGCTGTCGGAAGATCCTTACGGTCAATATTTCTTGTGATGACTTATTGTGAACAAGATCTAGCGTCCTTATTGGATCATATGTCTCAGCCGTTCACTGAAGCACAAGTCAAATGCATCGCATTACAATTATTCCGTGGATTAAATTATGTTCACAAACGCTTCATTGTACATCGTGATATAAAAGTGTCGAATCTGTTATTAACAGATAGTGGCTGTTTGAAAATAGCGGATTTCGGTTTAGCGAGACAGTTCACATTACCAAATGGTACAATGACACCAATGGTTGTCACACTTTGGTATCGAGCACCTGAACTTCTGTTCGGTACGAAACGAAGACGAACTACAATTGAAATATCATTGAAGATGTCATTCATTTTCTTTAGGTTCAAAATACCAAACCACAGCCATCGATATCTGGTCGGCAGGCTGTGTACTTGGAGAATTACTCTGTCATCGTCCATTGTTACCTGGCCGCTCGGAAATCCAGCAGATTGATTTGATTATTGATATGTTTGGAACGCCGACTGAGAAAATCTGGCCGGGATTAAATGAATTACCATCATTGAAAAATTTTACCTTACGTCAGCAACCGTACAACAATGTCAAACAGACATTTTCATGGTTATCAAGTGCAGGCTTGCGTCTTATTAACTTTATGTTTATGTACGATCCGGCCAAACGGTACGTCTTTGTTCATCGTATTTTAATGTGTTTCATATTGTTCATACCATTTAGAGCAACGGCGGAAGATTGCTTACGAAGTTCGTACTTCAAAGAAGCACCATTACCTTGTGAGCCTGAACTGATGCCTTCATTCCCACAACATCGAAATCAGAAATCATCCTCATCAAATCCATCGCGTCCATCCAATGATTCGAGTTCGAATGCAAATGATACTCGTAAAAGACAGAATCTACCTCCGCTTCGCGTTGGTTGTGTTGATGTAAAACGTGTACGAAAATCTTAATAAAATCTTGTCGAAATGATTGTCTGTTGTCTACTCTAATGTACATACTGTACAATTTCCATTATTCTAGATGAATTTTCAAGCACAGAGGGGACAAATAGGAAAGCTAGTTCGTGCATTTGCATGTGCAGGTATGTAACAACATTTGTTCAGTGTTCATCTCACAATTCGAGCTTTCTTCGTTCAGGTGTCATCATAGGTCCCTACTTTTATACAATGGTTCGACCTGAAAAATCATTGAAATATCTATTTCAACGACCAACAAATGAAGAAGGAGAATTTCTAAAAGTTGATTCGTCGTATAATCGATTGGCAACTGAAGTATAAGAATGTTTTGGTTGACTAAAATGTATTATTGTTGTCATTTGTAGGTTGCTGTTCGAATGAAACTACCCGAACAAATGCGCCGTACACCCAATTTTGATATTCGTCCAGCTGTACACACGGGTCTTGATTTTGATCTTAATGGTAACTTTTCACCACTATTCAGCGGTGTTGTTTATGTGATGGTTCCGCAATGGGCAAATCTATCGTCAATAGAGGACTTGAAAAAAGTCAAAATAAACATTAACGGTCAAGAAATTGATTTTTCTAATATCGATTTATCTCGTGTTGATCTAAGCAAATTGAACTTTGCTTCGAATCAAAGCGAAAAACTAACACCACAACCACAAGAAACAACCACAAAATCGAATAAATCAAAACCTTGGTTCAGTCGATGGTTCGACAATTCTCCAACACCGTCATCTCCACCACCAGTGTCAGTGCAAGAACCTTCTCAGCCAACTCCTGTTCCGCCCATGACGCGTAAGACTGCATCATTTCGTTCTTTCAACGATACCACAAATTGTTTACGATTCATTATAGGTGAAACAATGCTCGTACAAAAGCTAATTGAGACATTCTATCTATCGGACGATGCAAAAAAATACGCTCTAGGGGATCAACTCGAAATGGCATCTGGTCCATGGTTTTTGATACCATGGTTCGTTGTTGCTGGCTCATTTTTTCTTCCATTTACACTCTACACCCGTTTACGTTTACATTTTCGAACGCGCTTCAAGCGTTTTCTCTTTTTCCACTTTCTTCTCTCCAATGGTTTATTATGCTTATATCTATCACCATTTCTCGGTCGTCTTATCAACATGCAAGTTAGTCGGATCCGTGATTCGTCAACAATATCCAACGGTCTAGATTTACTCGACGGTGGAATCGAATTTCTCGACAAACAATTGCAAAGAAATCGCATCCTACGTGAATTGTTACCAAATGGAAAAGATCTATTTGATGCAGATGGTGAACGTACGAAGACACGCGTTCGATTTCCATACTTTTCGGAATTGTCTATTCCAATGTATCGATGGAGTCCATTGATTAGTTATCGATTGAAACGATTACGAGCTAAAATGGACCAATTAATGAGTTTATCTGAACTCGAAGCACGACAAACAATATTTAAACCAAATCCCAAACCCACTTTACTAAAAAGATCAACATCTACCATTGAATAGTCCTTGTTTCCATCTTTCTTTTTCTTTCATTCGTAAGAAAATTAAAAATAAATAAAATGCAAAAGAGAAAAGATTAAAGTTCGAAATTGTCTCAGTTCTGATCTCTGGAATCGTCCTAAGTCAGTCGCAACGAGACTATGAGCAAGCAACAGAGCAATAATAGATCTGCGTACTCATATTTCTAGCGCCATCTACTCAGAAAAATGTATACTCATTTCTACATTGGTGATGGAAGGCGTATGACTGATTAAGTTTAGTAAGAACAACAAGGACAAGAGAAGAGAAGAAAAAAAGTAATAAAAACTGCGACAATGCTTCATGATAATTTCTACTTTCAGATGAAGTATTTTTTGAAGAAGAATGTAGTCTTGTAGAAAATAAACTTTCGCCAATATCGAATGACTCGATGAACAGAGTTTCAGTTTGGCAGGAATTCAATGCATGGTAACGATCTTATTTATACCAAAGAAAAACAACTGAATTGTTTGTTATTTTATCTAGTCAATTTCTTGTTTCATTTTGCTTGTTAACCTTCAGTCTATTCTATGCTTTTCGTGAACAGTTACTTATACTTTGGCCGTACTGGTTAGTCTTCCTTCCACTATTTATTTGGAAGTTCTTGGGCATCGTTGGCGCAGTTGTTGGAATACTAACCTATTGTTGTGTTCGATCGAGAAAGTGAGTTCAACAAAAAATACAATGGCTTGATTGTTCGTTGGATTTTCTGTTTTAGTCGTGAGCGAAATTCTCCGATTCAATGTCGAGCATTATTTTTGAATCTCATCGAAACAATACTCTTGCTCATATTTGAAATCTTAGTGTGTTATAATCTTGAACAGCCGAATGATCCGGAATATCGTTTAACTTGGATTGTTTGCTTTTTACCCTTAATTGTTCTTTCAATTATCTCAGTATTCACCTATGTTTGGTTACTACGCCATGGTCGTTCTTGGGAGGTAGAGTGAAACGCGTTCGTGAGCTTCAAATGAAATTCTTCTCTCTTTAGATTCAAGCTTTATTTGTTGTTAATATTCTTCAATTCATTTTCTTTGCATTAAAATTAGATAATAGTATTTTAACGTGGAGCTATGCGGTTTGTTGACTTTGTACGAGTTTTCTTTTGATTGATAGAGGTATTGTAGGCAGTATTTATTCCGTTGTGGATTGTCATGGGTATCTCGATTATATTTTGTATCGGTCGGATAATCTGGACGTTTTTACATTATTATCGTAATGAAAATCAATCAAATTCATCTGGTCAGCATTATTTACATCGACCTTGTTGTCAAATTCTCGCAAGTCCAACAGTTGGCCATATATGCATTCTTTTCTTTCTACTCATTTTTCAAGTAAAACTTCACTTTTAACTCAAACAAAACGAAACTCACAATGATGAGTATGCTTCTGCTATATTTAGATCCTTTTAGTCTTCTATCTGGAACGCTCTGTTGATCTTTCATTTATTGTCGTGTGTTTACCATTGTATATTGCATTACTACTACTCATTTACATGTCATTTGGTAGTCGAGTACCCGCAAATCATTGTAAGACAAAAGTTCTCTTCTGAGACGAACATTCATCACTTTCTCGTTATCTCTTCCGAAGGGTGGTTTGGTCTACGACAAGATACGTGTACGTGGCTTTTACATATATGTCCGATATTTGAAACCTATGCTAATATTGAATATCATTTTACTACAAACGATTCTCCATCAACAACTGTGAATCCTACCAGACAATTGAATCGAAATATGCAATCAAATCGTCGCATTTTTTTCAAGAAAAAGTCCTCTTCATTCTGTGATCAATCGAAGGATGGTCACGACGAAAACGAACGTTTAACACCTATATTATTATCACCTACGAATATTTTAAAATTGCATGAGCCTGATTAATAAATGAAAGCAGTGGAAATAAACCGTTTTTTTATTCATGTAAGAACTTCCGCTTTCGTTTTAGATGAATTGACGATGGATGGACACCTCGAGGTATATTCAGTCGTGTAATCCTGCGTAAGAATTTCGCGTTACTATGGAGAAGAAGTGAACACCGAGAACTTTTCCTTCTAGACGTTTTGTTGTGACTTTTTCACTTCTGATCTTTTCCATCTTATTCGCATTACAACTTGATGGATACATTCAAATCAGCTACTGGCTGGTGTTCCTACCACTATTTATCTGGAAAATGCTGGTGGTTTTCGGTGCCTGCACAGGCATCTTCTTCTGGTGTAAACATGGCGAACGACATAGGTAAGCTGATGGTGATTAGAAGAAGTTGTACACGTATTCTCGTTGAATAGAATCATTCGCTCACCAGACAATGATTGTCGAGCATTAATCATTTACTTTTTTCTTCATTTGCTTATCTTTATATTCGAAATTCTTATATGTGACAAATTAGAAAATCGCCCAGAAATTCCCTGGACTGTATGCTTTGTTCCATTATTTCTCTGTACATTTCTTGCCTTTATATCATGCCTATGGTCACTGAAAGTGCAAAGAAACTTTCTCGTATGTATTTTCACTTGAAACTTCTCTCTCTGAACATTGATTTCGTTTCGTTCAGATACAAGCATTTATCTCAGCGAATGGGCTTTTCTTTCTATTTCTGCCTCTTCGTTTGGACTCTTCAATTACATGGCGATATGTCGTACGTTTGTTTTGACTCCTCTCATTGAATAATTCCACGTAAATATCATTCTAGGTCGTCTTTATTCCAGTCTGGATATCTTTATGTATTGCTTTATTATTTGTCATATCAAAATTGATTCTCGCAATCATACACCGATGTTCTCGTCGCTTAGTGCCTAATCAACGTGAATCAAGTACCATTACGGAAGCAATTGTTTATGCAGTTATGTTCATTCCAATTAGCATTTTTGCGGTAGGACAGATTAATCAAATTCTCATGTGATTACAATGTTGAATATCTTCAGATTTTACTTGTCGATCGTCTAGACCTTGGAGACAGTGAACAAATAGGAAAAACATCTTACACGGTCGTGGCCATACCATTGTGGATTGCTCTAATAGCATGGTCGACGTTTTCCTTCGGCGCAACGGATAGCAATCCGTGTAAATATCTGTGACGAGTATGATTTATGTTGTTTTTCTTCTTTTCCTCTAGGGTGGTTTGGTTTACGACGTGATTTGTTTGAGATTATTCTTGGTAAATGTCCATTTATCACACTCTATTTCAATAATCAATTCAAATTCGGACCACGCCCATCAACGACAACGCCAATGAATGATATTGTCATCGATGTTACAACATCAAGTGTTCAGAAGAATATCGAATTGGTCAATATGAACAAATTATTTGCAACGAATAATGAGAAAACCCTTAATAATCAGCATCATCTAATGTCACTACTCGAGCCTGACTGAAATGAAATTCAAGGAATGATCTTTGTCGTTTTGTTGTTCTTCTCTTGCGATAGCCGGTGACGTCTTGTTGTTGTGTTGTAGTAACAAAAATGAAAACTTAACAAATAATCAAATATGTGATTTCATATTTTATGTATATAAAATCTATTTATTTGTATGAAAATTGTGTTGGTTGTCGTTTGAAAAATAAAGACAAGAATGAAAGTACGTCGTGTACGTATGTTTCCTCTCAAATACCACCACCACCACTGATAGAATGTGACATGCAAACGTCTTCAATGCAATGAAATCAAGAGCAAGTTTATTAAGTTCGACATGTATAAAACGAAACAAAAACAAGTGTTCATGTATCCCGAGGAGATTTCAAGTTAATTGCTGTTATCAATCTGTTCATAAACCATTGTGTTAGTTTCAATCCATTGGGGAAAGTCTGTAGTTGGTGTTGCGGGTAATCCCATTTCACTTTCCACGGGAAAAGGATCAGTTCCATTAAGGATCTCAGCAACATCAAACGCTAATAAGTGTGAGATTATCAATGGATAATCTTTGGTTACTACTTCTATGTCTGAAACAGTTGTACTGGATTGTTGAATTGTTGCGAAAGTAGTAGTATTTTCTTCCATCGATGTTTCGTTCGATTCGCTTTTATCAATGTCAGTATCATAATTGATTGGTTCACTTGTTGCGGACGTTACTGTTTGCTTTGTAATCAATTGATCGTCAGGTATCGGAGCTGATGAAATATTGATCACAAAGACGAAAAGTAAAGACACAAATACGAACTTAACTTGACGGGCAATCATAGTTGACTTTTTCTCGCGAATTTACGATGCGGACGACGTAGTAGAAAAAGTTAAAATAAACACAAACACTGTCTACTGTATACCTAGATATACGATCGAGAGAATCCGAGATAACACTCTTCGATCGTCCACTCTTCTATTTTTCTTTCTATTCATATTAAACATAGAGCATGTGACTGTGATAAACATCGTCCTGGACGTAACAACAATGTAATTCGAGAAAAGTCGATTTTCGAATGTCGCATTTTGCCTTCAGATCATCCTATTAAAAACCAATCGATAGTTACTTTCCATTGATTCTATTATCGATAAAAGGCATTCGTATAGCTTCTTTTCTATTTAATCGTATCGGAAAGATTTAATTGAATTTATCAGATCAGTCCCTCTCTTTTTTGACTGATCGAAATTTACAATGAATAGAACTGTAAGATTTTGCTATTAGCTCATGACTTGAAGATATAATCTTGTAAATGACTAGGTAGAAGAGATTCTAATCGCATGAGGCCCTTTTTTTAGAAAGAAATAGTCTAAATTCTTATCATAATTATCTGAATGAGTCTCTCGACTGTTGTTTCCTAAGGCGTTGTTCTTTTTGTCCTTCAATCTGAAAACATCTGATGATTCAATCATTGGCGTCAAAAGACTAATCACCTTCTGCTCGGCGATTAGATTTGAACACGCGTTCAATCAACATACTTGTTCGATAAGTATTGAAATGAAAAGACAAAGCAAAGTAGGCGTTTCTCATTCACATATGCAGATTGTCTAAAATACTTGTCAGTTTGAAGGCAGTC